GGCTGGCCACTAGTGACATAGAATGGGAGTGATGTGCACATGCCTCAACTGGTCCTTAGCCACTCGAGCCCTTAGCTCATGGCTCTACCTAATTGTGCCTCCAACTCATGTGCCAGCTAGCCAACAGATCCCTAATTGTGCTTCCAACTTGCTAGTAAGCCTAATTGGCTAGTGAGTCCCCTCTTTTTTATAATTTATAATTTTATTTTATTTATCTTTATTTTATATCAAAAATATATTTATAAAAAATATATAAATTCATATAAAATCATAAAATTAGCCAAATTTCATATTAATCAACTAATGTTTTTTTAAATTAATATAAATATAAGTCTATTTATTATGAGTTAAAGCTTAAAATATATTATTAATTGATTATTAACTCACTATAATGAAGACTTATTAGTAATTGATGCAATCAATCTTGTCCTAGTTTTCCATCTAATAGATCCACACAAGGTACAACATAAAAATGTTACATCATTTCATTAAATTAAAGAGTTAATATTAGGTATACAAGAAAATATGGATCTAGTTGATTGGTGTGTAAGAACTAACCAATCTTAATCTATTTTGATAAGAGTAAAATTATAAAGGAATAAAATAGTGTAACTACATTATAATTAAATAAAAAAACTACATCTTCCAATAGGAATTATTGTGAAAAAGTCAAAGGAGAACAACTGCAGAACAAACATAAAGTTGAATGGGATCATTTAGGACTAATTTTAAGTGTTGTTGGGTTGAAATAAGCCGACCCACTTTAGCTCTTTTCTCTCCCTCATTTAAAAACTCTCTTTCCTTTGGTTTAAATAATTTGAAACACCTTATTTTTAGGACTTTTTTTAACATGCTCCTTTCTCTCTCTTGACTATTTCAGCCATCGTCTTCTTCAAATTAAACATGTTTCCTCTCTAATGGCAACATATTTTTCTTACAAGGCCTATGATTGCACTGCCTTCATCTTTTAAGATGTACAACTAAGTTCCTGACCTGACCTGACCTTGCTTGTGTCACTTGGATATATTCCCACCATATTGATGTTCTACCCTTTAGTTTCTAGGTCATAGACTTCACTTTCTCCTTTCTCTAGATCTTCATATATTCAAGGCTTTTCCAATGTTGAATTTACTAATGATCTCCATATTTTTTTAAATGTCCAAAATTGGAACATAAACTTTTCCAATGGTTAAATCCTCTCAAAAATGTCGTTCAATAATTCATGCAAATACTTATTTGTATTGTAATTTTCATGGAACTCAAACTAATTGTCTTAAATAAGCCACCTACCTCATGAATGAGCTCGTTAGTAGTGGACTCCCCATTCTAGTGAGATCTTTAACACTCGTGGATTGAAATAATACTCTATACCAACTAGTGTAGTGGGAGTTGCATAAGAAAGAAAGTTTGACCTCAATGACTAACATATGAAATTTCTGCAAATGATTAATGTCCTGAATAAACAAAACACGGAGCATTCCACCCTTGAATCGAGGACTTATAAGAGCCATCTATGAATTCACAAATAACAAACTATTACTTGAATTTACCAAGGGGATTTAAATTGATAAACAAAGAGAGGAAAGTCTTAAACATAAAAAATCCTTCTACTTAGGATTTATCAAGGATTATAATGTGGAGGCTTTCAAGTGATCCTACAATAGCAGATCAATTTTAATATCATTTAAAAATCATTTCAATGTGCTTTTTGTGCCAAGAGAAACATTTTAATAGAATAAATATAGTATTTGTTAGGGATACTACTATGAACTTTATCCCATATTAGGGCATCTCATTCTTGTAGCCCATCTATCAAGCTTTCGAAGATCATACTCAACTAATGTTAGACTTTTCTTAGTTATGATCTACATTAGGGTTTACATTTTTTCAAAGACCATGATCTACATCAGGGTCTACATTTTTTCAAAGACCATGGTCTACATCAGGTTCTACATTTTTTCTCTTAAAAAAATCATTATAGTTCACTCTTGATCACCCCAACAGAAAGGAAAAGAAAATATGAGTAAAGGAAGAGAAGAAGAAGGAGAATGAAAAGATGAAGGATGAGCCACTCCATCCATGATGCTGGTATAGATGTTCTCAAGAAAGATAAGAAGAATATGAAGAAGAAGTAGAATTCTTCACACTATGATCAAGTATCAAATGAAATATTTATTATGACGTAATCTACTTCCATTTTATTTACATCAAATTGCAAGTGATAAAGGTTTTCTTAAACTCGAATCTAGGAGGATAGAAGTACATAGCTTCTCATATTTGGCATTGTAGAGCCATTGAATTTAAGAAGAGAGAAGTAGATGACAAATCTAATTGAGAGTTATGAAATCTAGTATAATGTGGAGCCTAAAACTTATGTGTTCTGATTAGAAATTTAGTATAAACTAAGGACAATGTGTCACAAGGTCAAGGTTAGCCTCACCTCAAGCCATGAAGAGAGACAGTAGCACCCCCAAGGCTAAGAATTGCTCAGATGAATGAGTAGATTGCTTAGTTTGTTGTGTGGAGGCCATGGAACCCAATTTCAAGTCATAGAGGAAATGGATCGATGGTTAAGAGTGGAGTAAGGGATGGTTCAAAGTGGACTGGTGTTTGAAGTGATGATTTGCTATGTTGTTTATTTGGTGTGAGATCAGGAATTGACAGATGAACAAACCAAATGGCCATTGTGAAAAACTATTTGATGCGTGCTCCCTCATTATAGAGTAGAGAGAATAGAGACATGGCAGGATTTCCAAGCAGCCTAAATTGTGGCTTGTAAGGACAAAAAACTTGAAGTCCTAAGAGAGCTTTCCCCTTGAATTTAGAGGGGTTTTGAGTGTGAAAATGAGAACCAGTCCTTCCTCTTTCTATATCATCCTCATATATTCAATGAGAGAAAATACATGTTATCCATTGGTGAAGAAATCTTCAACAAATGAAGAGGCTGCAAGATGCTGATGAAGGTGACCAGGGCAGGTCCCAAGCAAGATTTGTGGTGTGGTCAATCTTGACCTTGGAGAGTGAATATAGGTCAAGTGGACCAAAAAATCATAAAACTATTGTGTATTTGTGTTGATGATTATTCCTTCTAATTAGAATCGTAGGTGAAGTAAAGATTAAAACTAAAAAAATGACTAATTCAACCATTATCTTCTTGATATCATGCTACCATTTAGAGGCTAACATTTTGATTATTGATCTTGTTCGTTGTCATTAATTCCTATAAGGTAAATTCCATTAAATATTGGTGAAATTTATCATTTATTTTATGATCTTTAATAAAATTTTAATATTTTTAATTTAATTATGAAATTTTATCATGAAAATATTATGAAAAAAAATTTAACCTTACATTTTGTGAGATGTTTATGTCAAATTTGAATAATTATATCTTAATGTCATTTTAGATATTAAAAAATGTTACAAATAACTTTAAAGATTAGTTTACCCAAGTAATGAAACTTTTAGAAGATTAGTTGAAGGCAAGGCTAAATCAATGAAAGAATAGTATTTGAAGCATGTGCATTGTCTTGTAATACTTAGTATTTTGTGTACTTGTATAAATTACTTTAAACAAACATTAGGGTATTTACTATACTAAGAGATAATAAATCCCACTCCATCTTGGCCTCTTTGTGCATCCTAATGGATGAATATTTCTTATAGTTGTCGAGCATCTATTTTATTTTTATAAATTTCTTATTTAATATATTTTCACACCAATTTTTTAGGGTTTATATTATTTTCACACAAGTTCTTTAAAATCCTTTATCTATTATAAATATCTTAAATGTTGATTTTTATTGAATTGGTGTCACATCTTGATTGAAAGTGTTAAAATGATGGTTTACAAACGTCCAGACCAATTAAACTTATGACTCATAATGTGGTCTTCATACGAATAATATCTTCATAGTTCAATAAAAGAAAAAAACATGATTTATACATTTCTCACACTTCTACTTGGTTGTATATTTTCCTGAACTAGATAGACTTCCCCCATGAGAGTGTCGAATTGGAGGGAGAATAATTTTCACTATGAGCAAAAACTAGTTTAAATCGTATATATACATTAATTACAGATTGCCAAAAATACAAAATATGCTAAATAAAAATTGAAAATCTCAAAAATCCTTAAAATACCAAGTTTAAATGAGGATCAAGTGGGTACGTTAAAACACCAAGCTTTTGACTTTTAAGGGATAAGATCTCCAAGGCTTAATAAAGCTTTTGCTATGTTTCCTTACTAAATACTAAGAATGCAAGCACCATATCTACTTGTCTGAATTTAGGTTGGTCAGCTAGTGTTAATTGCTTGTTACTCGGTTGAATAAAGCTACAAAAAGATAGTGGTATAAGGGCGATTGCTCCAAAGTAGGACTGAGGGTAGGAGAGTTGACCAAAGGAAGGGGAGGACATGTGAAAGATGAAAGGGGTTGATTGTGTGTTTGCCATCTGCCACTATAAGGAGGAAGAAATTTCCCATCAAAGCAAAAAAAGTCAAATAGTGGGGAAGATCTACAGCATGCCATGGATAGTAAGATCCAAGCCCTTATGCTAGGCTTTGACAAAGGGTTGATCTAGCTCTTGATTTCTTTGACCCATATGCTAGTTATATGGACCAATGGAATTACTGATATTATTATTGTTATTATTATTATTTAAAGTGTACAATATTTTCTTGAGGTCGAAGCCAAAGTAGATTGTGAGTGAGCACTTGAGTCGTACAAGAAGCACGGAGCTACGGAAAAATGATCGATAACAATACTAATAACAATAAGAATAATAGTAATCAATGTTGTTGTTACTTTCTTGATTTTATCTTCCGATAGATGATAAATTGTTGGTTTCCCACATTTTCTGTGAAGTTCGAATTTTCTGATCCGGCGCGGCGATCTCTTTCTTCTGGGTCTTTCGACTCCGGAGGAGGGAAGCTCAAGGTGCCAGGCCGTCTCGTGGGAGAGAAAAACCCTAGCTCTGTGATCCATCTCTCGCCACCGATGGCCGATGATGGTCCCTCATCGTCCGCGAACACCGCTGCTCCTGAGTCCCCTCCGGTTTGCCCTTATTTTTCATTTCCCCCCGTGAATGGCATCGCCTCATTGATCTGCCTCTTGTTCTTGATTTCTCTTCCATTATAATCGAGGAAACCAGGGTTTTCTTCTCGTCGGTGTGCCAGACGAATGCTTTGTTCCAGTTCACATTAGATTCCTCTTGTTTGCTGAAAATCTTTTGCTCCTGATTTTTTGTTCAGATGAAAGAGAACCTTCGACCGATGGATTCAAGGCTGGCGGTACGATTCGGCGGCCCTTGCTTCATGAAGCAACTGTAGATTGCTCTCGATGTGAAGTTTTTGGCCTTCCCTTTTTCTCCTCAGGAACTGGCCGAGTCACGGGAGGAGCTGGTGGGGAGAGTCCAAGGGCTGAAGGAGGTGAATTCATCATTTCTGTAGAAATTATTTGTCCAGTTGCCATAGACACCGCCCTCCTGGTTGGATCTTCCCGCTTCTTTGATGTTGCTGCAGGAGTTGCAGAACTGGAGGCTGAAGCTGGACACTCAAGTCAAAACCTACAAAAATGTGAGTGATTGTTCCTAGTCAATGAGGCTCACAATTCTATCCCGTGGAGAGAAAGCTTTACTGAATATCTGCTCTGCAAAGGCAGGCGACAAATATCCGGAGATAATTCCATGTTGATGAATGGCCTTGTGAACTTCGTTTGAATTCACCGTGGATGCTCCAAAACCCTAATCCCTTGTTTCCTCTTGGAGAAAAAGAAGAAAGGTTTCCCGGGTGAATAACTCCATCAAGTTCATGATAATGCTAGGAAATAAGAAGCCTACTGGTAGATTAGCTAACCTGCATCTTAGATTCACTCTAAACTTTTAGGAAAGGCAACTAGATCGATTTTCCTGCTATGCATGCAAGATTTAACTCTTGGCTTGTGATGAAAGAAGCATAATTCCACCCAAAAAACTCTATTATAGCTGGCCTGGATCTGGATCTGGACTCATTATAACAGATGAGCACACAACTTTTCATAAGTAAACTCAAATTTTTTGGGACGGTATATATATATTTTTTTTCACATTTAGATGCAAGTTGGTGTCTGGAATAGGTTCAATTTCAGATTTTATTCCATTCCCACCTGTTTTATTTCGGGGTGGAGGAGGGGGTTGTAGAGAGGGGGCACTCAATGCTCGTATGAGGCTTTTAAAGGATTAAAGGAAAAGGGAATGACCAATATCACTCCTGCATTTAATATGGAGAGAATTTGAATCGAATGGACGTTGAACTGCCTATTCCTCTCTGCTCTCAGCCGATAATACTCTCTATGATCTATCACTTTGCTATTATTGCCACTGGTCAGGAGGAAGCGGAGTGGGGTAACACTCAGTTCGGGGATGAGAAGTTGTCTGACTGATCTACCTTTAAAATTGTTGTTGACTAATTTAACAAGACAAGAGGCCCTGTACGCAAATTTTCATTCATAAGGATGGTTTATGCTCATTAATTACTGTCAAGAAATGATTTCAAAAGGATTTGTTATATTGTGTTCATTAGTTCTGACTTAACTGTATGCCCATCATCGTGATCTTTCTTGTCTGCTTCAACAATTTAACTCAGTGGATAGTTACTCTGCGAACAAAGAACATTACTTTGACAAAATATTTTATAGACATAAATGAGGGATTTTTTTCAGAGGTGGGAAATTTTAATTTGACATTCAGCTCTTTCATATCATGCAACGGTCACTTGTCTCTCAGATTACTTTCTGATGTTGGTTGTTCGGAAATTTTCTGATCATTACCAACCCATTTGAGGAAAGGTAATAGATTTGTGGTGTTTAAAGTTTCCTGAATATTCCTACCCTCTTGTTTGTGCAAAGTCTTTCTATTTCTCTGTTATAAAAAAATTATGCATTTATTTCAATTGGTTTTGTTAAGCTTTCATGTGTTGGTTTGATGAGAATACCCGCTGTCATTTACAGGAGCTTTCCGAGCTTAAGATGTCTCTGAATACCGAATTGGAGAAACTGAAATCTGTGAGTCCAACAAAGATCAGTAGAGCTTATTCTTCCCTTTTTCTTTGTTCATACAATATTTGCTGACGGCGCTGGTTTTAGGAATTTCAAGAGTTGAGGACAACTCTTGAACAGCAACAAGATGAAGTCACGAGTAGTCTCAAGGGCTTGGGGGTACGACATCGTTCTGTATATCTACTTCTTGCTATCTCTTCTCCCTTTGATGGGATCTTGGCTAATCCAGTGAATGTCATGAAATAAATGGGTTTCTGATTCATGTTGGCAATGGATCTGGTCACCAATGGCTGGTTCTTATCACGAGGAAGTGCTATTTCTTTTAAAAAAATCAGATTTTAGTGAAATCACTTTTCACAATATGACATATTGCATCTGCAGTTTCTATAATTTAATTTTTTTCCCTTTTACCGAAGCATGGAAACATCAAGGATATTCATTGATCTCCCCCTTTTTGCAAGAAAAGTGGGGCCCATTGATAATTTCAGTCCATCTTATCTATTATGACTGCTGTAAATGTTCTTCCTGCAGCTGCAGGATTTACCAAAAGAAGTAAATCTGAATGAAAGCCCGAGGACTGCGGAGCAAGGGGAGACCGTGCAGAGGAGAAGTTTCAGACCACCACCTAGGATCCTAGCCTGTAGGTAATGGGATTCGGTGATACCTAGAATGATTTGGAATGGGTTAGAGGACTCTAGTGAAATGTAGAATCAGATTAAAGAAAGATATTTCATTGACATAGGTCTTGAGTTTTGTGTTGCAACTTTGTTGAGAATTAATCTAATTCACATTCAGCTGTGGTTGATGGTGTGGATGCATTGGTACATTGTGTTCTCGTTATCATGGCAGACAGTATGAGAATTTATTTTTTATTTCGGTAGCCTCAATGCAAGAAATTATTTTCTTCTTTGATCATAGAAACTCCTTCAAGGTTCTCTCTTGGATTCTCTTCTGCATCTTTGTCTTACCCACCTGCCGCCCCCCTTTTTCCTGCGATTTTCATTGCAACTCTCTCTCTCTCTCTCTCTCTCTCTCTCTCTCTCTCTCTCTCTCTCTCTCTCTCTCTTTAATAACATTTACCAATCAACTCTTAAAAATCTACACCATTACAAAATTCTACGGCGGGAATGCCGTCCCGCCGCCGCCAAGACGGTTCTCCGATTCCCCCTCACACGGCAATATCGTCTCCCCTTGGCGTCTGTCTTCCCCTCAGCTCGGGTCAACGGTTCAACGCTCTTGGCTGGCTGTCCGAGGTTGGCGGCGTGGTTCTCCATAGCCGGCTTCTTCTAGTATTTCTCGCCGGGTTTCCTTCAACCCTCGGATGTTGTGGGCATCTACAAGAAGCATCAAGAAGAGACCATGGAGGAGAGAAAACCTAGAAGAAGAGGGAAGAAGACGGACAGGGAGATGGGTGGGGGGAGGGTTACCCTCGGCCCCATGGAGGGGCCTTCTTCATCTTCCTCTTCCATCCATCGAAGTGGAAGGGGAGCTGCAGCGCACTGCTCTGTCTCCCACTGGCATAAACAGCAGGAGGAAGACCATGGCCACAGTCCGTCACTCGCTGCGAACTGGAAACTACTTATATAAGAGAGTATCCCATCTGATCTCCATACCTGGTCCTAGAGCGGTTCTTGGTGTTCTTCGAATCCCACTATTTAAAGCTCATCTTCGACAATGGAAAGACGATGTCTGGCAATTTCACACCTTTCATCTCTCTCTCTCCCCTCCCTGGGATACCGGAGCAAAGGCCTCATCTTTATTACAGAATGTAGCAGGCCTTTTGAGGAAGAAGGGAGATTTCCACCAAAGACGACGAGCTAATACCATCTATGTGTGATAACCTCCAAAGGAGATTTCCACTAAATTAAGAAGATAATGCTCTGAAGGACATATTTTGACTTATTTTTCTGTCAGATTTGTGGATTGTTGCTGAAAGATAATGTTCTTATCTTTTTGTCATCTCATCTCAAACGTATGCAGAAACCAGTTAGGTGATCTTTGAATTAAATTCCTGTCACCAGATGGAACTTTGATTACTTAAATTGTAGGACATTAAGAAGGTGATCCCTCTACCAGCAGAGGTGAAAGGGGTTGGTAGGCGGCAGGTGGTGAAACATAAGACAGTGCGATGCCACAGAAAATGAAAGTGGAACCTAACCTGATGAGAGCCAAAGGAGTTTGTTCGGTGGATGAACAAGTGGTTTCAGTAGTCCGGTGGTGCAGTGAAGTTCATTGTGAAGGACTAGAGGAGTTTGTTCACGTCCAAATTTTCCCCTTAATCTGTGACATGTCTCACATCCGACACTTGGATATTGTCATGTTGGAAGTGTTATTTTGAATGCTCCCTTCGTCAACAATATCTAAAGGTTCATCATCAGCAAGATGCTTCTTGCCAAAAATTTCAATAACATAATTGTTCATCAACTCGTGGAATGAGGTAAAGAAGAAAGAATATTAGAGTCTAAGATCCAAAACTCCATAAGACTAGCTACACTCAGCTGTAGAGCATTATAAATCACCTTTGTTATATAGATTCTAGACTCGTCTCCAATACTCTGACCTTGGTAGATTCCCTTCCTTCTTCTCTTTGCAGTACCTCTTGATGTGTCTTTTTTTTTTCCCTGTATTTTTATGTTTTGTGATTTACAGACTTCAATTTTCTTCTTTCTCCTAATTATTTTACTTTCAAAACTTAATTTAGAAGTGAATATTTTCCCATATTCTCTCCAATAAGCTCCCTCACATAGAATTAGATCAAAAATTTCATCTAATTTTAGGTTTCTTGGGTTTGAAGAACTAAAAACAGTAGTCACTGTGGCTCCCCAACTCTCAAAGCAAGAGAAACTACGAAATTAATACCCTAAACTCATTATCAAAAATAATATCCACGTAACTCAATTGACTGGTTATCAAATTGAACTCATTAGTGTGGTAGTACAAGTACCTTCAGTCATCTTTAAATTGAAGAGATGTTGCATCCAACGTACCTTGATTGACGATGATGGTTTCTCACACATGTTCGGGATAACTATCATAAGCCCTATTATGGTCTTTTCACTCAAAATGTTGAATACCACCAATAAAGAGTGAATTGATTAAAACAAATCTTGTAATAAGCTGCAGGGAGTCTTCTAAAATGACCACAATTGATTAACTATTTTAATTCTTATGTGACTTAATTTATTTCTCCCTTGATACAACTTAATCAACTTATTTTCATACTCTCAAACTTACATCTACTTCTCAAGGGCTAGTCCTTGAGCTTGAATATGATTATATCATTTAAGATATAAGTACATGTTTTAGACTTATGGTTTCAACAGCCTGGTGATCCTACCAATTGTGGACATAATAAACTAGTGAGAAATAAAAGGTTCGTTTGATCTTCTGGCTTCTCTTCTAAGATTTAATGAGTCATGTTGCAGAAAATTAGAGGGATATGCTGTCCTCCAACTCTAATAGTTATGGAATGAGTTGATTTCAATTGAGATAGGGTCTTTTAGCAGCCTCATGCTAAACTTTTGATGTAAACAATGTGGTTGAGGATCACGAACCCTAGCTGTCTTATGTTCAGTATAGAGGTCTTCAGATAACTTGGAATGAGAATTACCTTAAGAGACTTTACCTTTGAGCCTCACATTTTCCCATTGTTTGATATAAAATGACATAGAAGTTGGGAAGCTTTAAATGCTATGTAAAGCTGTTGATGATGTGGACACATGTTAAACTGTTGCTTATGCAAGTGCTTGCACTAAAGAAGATGGTAGAACTTGTGGTAGTAGACCTTGGAGAAGCCTTAGATGGGCGGAGATATCAGAATGTTATTCAAACCCTAATCTCAGTGAAACAGATACTTTTATACATGAAATTGGGTTGACAGTCGGTAGTTTCAATGGCTAGTACCATCACACTAACAAATCCCTGCACCTCCTTTTTTTCAAAATTAAATATTCAATGAAATATGCAAAAAATCATAATATTAAACCAGCAACGGATATCTTCTCCTCTTGAATTGTCATTTACAAAATTAGAACCATCTGGTAATAACCTCTCCAATAATTAGTCACTTACATGTCTACGGTTATTGCAATAACTGATCTCTAACGTTCATTTTCTTATTGACTCTTAATTTCGTAGACAATTCTGTCCAAGCAAAATTTAACTTTACTTGTTGCATTTAATCAAAGTCTTCAAGCTCTCAGGTAATAACTAATCTTTCAAGATATCCTCGAAGCCTATTTGTTATCATCAAAATTACTTAGATAATAGCTCAATGCTTGTGACATCTCATCTGACTTCAAATCAAGCCACGATTGATGGAGCTTCTTGTGGTACAGATAATCTTATTTCTGTATCTTCTAGAACCTGAAATGATTTCTATTAAACTTTTCGACCTTAACCTTCTCTTCAATTTGCAACCATTTCTCTAACTCTTTTTCTTGAAATAAGCTCTCCATGAACATGCGCTCTCAGATCAGGGACAACTTTCAACTAAAAACTTTCATACAAGTTCTTGGGGAAGACATGCATCTTCATTCCCTCATACCTTAATAGTTGAACGGAAGATACTGCAAACAAACCCACAAGAGATCATGTTTTATTGAGGTAGCAACACAGTGCTTTCACACATACCTTAATAAGGGTGGCAGTTTCTCCCCTCTAATCACAGGGTTAAGGAAAACACATGGGGCAAAGGATAAACATGTCCCTAAAACCAAATTTTAGATCTGGATACTTGTCAAAGAACCCATTAAGGCCCATTAAATCATTCATCACGAACTCCACACACCATCGTCGATGACGGCCCTACGTAAGGGTGATCATGGTAGATACATATGACGTTAAAGGTGGTAATGATGCCCAAATAAGCTGCGATCTCTATGTCAAAAAAATCATTCATCGTTTTCTAGATTATCAACATAAATCAGAAGGAAGAGGAGTAAACCGTGGTTTTTTATTTTAAGCTACGCAATAACCAGACGACAAAACCAAAATTTTATTTTAAGCCTGCCACTTTGAACGAGTCACTGGCGATCATATCTCGAAACGAGGAGAATGTCGAAGGCCTTAAAAGCTCGACGGCGGTGCCATACGCGGATTGTACATCTAATTCCCCGCTCCCCACCCACTGAATGCGTCTCTACTCACTGCATCATTAATTTTCTCTGTGTGCCCACCGCCGTGAATTTTCAGTCCCTGTTCGGAGAACTTGTCAGGTATCTTCCTCCAAACGAGATTGGTTGCCGCCGTGGAGGGATAAGCAGTGCCGAGACAAAAAATCATTCTCTCTAAACCCGTGGACCCCTTCAACAGCTAGATTGCTCACGACGTGGAAGATGGCAGCCCCTACGGTTTCCTCTCCGCGAAGAGAGAGATCTACGCCGACATAGTGATGAAGCCTGGCGGTGTCGTCTACGGTTTCTTCGTCCTTTGGGAAGTCTGGAACCGCCCAGAAGTCCACTGCTCCGTTGTAGGAGCCCTTTTGGGGTCTACTGCGCCGGGAATATCCTCGTCTCCGGCACGATGACGTACCTATTCAGCCGTGAGGTCACCACGCCGAGGAGGGCGGCGACGTTGCGATCTAAATATATTTTATATAGTCATTAATTCACCAGAGTATCGCTAAAAGCGACCTTCATGTAGGCAAGAAAGAGACCCATAAGATCCGATACCATATTAAAATTTCACATGACCCAGTCAAAATCAATCAAAGACTGTCGATGGGCAACGTAATTAGGCATGCACATAAATTTCTATGTGCGCATTGTGAGATTTGGATCATAAATCGTGTAAATAAATCGTCAATTATTGTGGTGCTTGATAATAAACAAGAACTATGTAGTCTAATGCTGTTGCATCAGTGTGGCAAAGTCGTCAAACGTATGTGATTACACCGAAGAAAGAAAGTAAACCAAGGTTTGAGCATCCTCTTGAGGTATCTATGGAACACTAGACAGAAAACTTGACACAGAGTAGCTTAATTAATTTGTCTTTGTTGAGCCATCGCAATCACCATAAGAGCCACCGGCATACATCTTAGAGCCTCCCGGATAGGCTCGAACTCCTCCGCTGTCGGCGGTGTGACCGGCTGCAACAATTCGTACCCTGCACGCCGCCCACCGCCGGGGGGAGCCATTTGAGGGTTGGCGGGGTACAACCTTCAGAGGATGATGAAATTGTGGATAAGCCACCCACAGACGGACCCGTAAGGAAATCTGTCATTAACAACGCCGTCAGTTTCATCTTCTTCATCAGACACGCAACCACTGCGTCTTCTCGGCTAATCCAAACCAATTTTGTTGAGAAGAGAAGGAACAGGCCACAATTCAGCCGCTGTCATCTGGTTAGAGAAGAGAGGGAGAGGATGGTTCGGCCTATAACAGACTAATCACAGTTATTATTTAATTATAATAACTTCCTTATTTTACACTCTACACGGAGAAAATATGTCTCAATCTGATGACATAACAAGATCTGACGTGATCTGATCTTAGTCGGTTGATCCAGCTGGAAACTATGAGGCCACGGCAGCACTCTTGTTAAAGATGAGACTTGAAATCAACGTTGACTCCTAATGGCATAATTACGACCCATAACTCAGACTGCTAACAAAAATCAGCGAATTAAACTGTGTATCTCCTTCCTCTCATCATCATCTTCTTCTTATTTTCTTTAAATAAGCCTACTTTGAACGAGTCGATGGTTACAAGGGAACCAGTTCTTCGACGTCGAGAAGGTTTCCAAGGATGGTTCCGTGCGGGGGTTCTATGTTGTACCCAATTGCTAGACGACCGAACGCGTCCTCAGCCACCTTATCTTCACGCGGAGACTTCACGGGGTAGTAACGGCGTCCTCGTTTCATGGAAATTACCGTCGACCTTCTGAGAGATCGTCCGATATCATACACGGAAAGCAAGGGTAAAACCCGCACACTTACTTAAGCTTTCGCCGGGGGAACATTGTCCCCACTTCTAATGGTGTATATTCCTGTCGAGATCTCCCTCTTCTCCGCCCATGACATCGTCGATGGATCCCTCTCGTCCTCCCAGGCCGAGATCTTCGCTTACATCGTCCTGACTGTGGGAGATGAAGTCTACGGATATCAGAGGATGCCGGCTGCGGATTTCGACGGGGAAAACCTTCTGTGGAGATCCACGGCGAAATTCGCCGTCCCCCAGGAGAGCTGGAACTATCAGAACATTCACATCCTCCTGCGTAAAAGGAGCCGTGGCAGGGAAGACGACGTCGGCTACGCCAGGATATCCGTCGAGGATCTCTCCGAAAAGGCCTCCGAGATTTCTGCCTCGCTGTGGGGCTCTACGTTCTCATTCACCTGTGACATCACGACGACGGGCGGTGTTCAGAGCGGCTCGCTGAGTCTTGCGTTAAGGTACGGGGGGGAGGATGCTGGCGACGAATATGCCGGTGTAACTGCGGAGGGGAAGAATCTGAAGAAGATACAACTCCTCGCTTTATTATTGATGGGATTGCTGGCTTGGTGGCTGCTCCGCCGCATGGTATGCGAGGTACGCGCCGCCCTCAATCCTGGACCATCGCAGGCAGCGGGATCGCGCTCTCACTGGCGGGCGATTCTGCTACTGGAAGTCCTGCTTATTGTGCTAACCAGGCTCTAATGGAAAGATTGCCATAATGAGTTCCACAGAGCTGTGGTTATAGTTTTGTAAACTCTTTCTTTTACAGAAATGTCGCCATTAATGTGACAAAGACTTCTGGTGCAACTTCATCTTGAATAATCGGAGAAGATCAACCGTTCTTACCGGGCCGGGGGGGAATACCAACGTTCCAGAAGAGGAATGGGACGAGAAATGCATTGGAACAGATGGGGTGGATGGGGAGACTGGTACCAGAGAAAAGAAATAGGAGGAATCTATCGGTCAGAAGGGCAGGAAGTAGGAACATTATTGTATTCAAGATTTGCGCTGTAGCATTAAAGTCAAATCCTTTGACATTTGGTGCCAGAGTTCGGCGTAGGTGGGTGCGTCGGAACAGGACAAATCAATCTACAAACATAAAACTTATCTTCCAAGGCTGTCCAATCAGGCTCTGGCCAGTATCCGCTTACCTTATTAGTTCGTATACGGTCCAATCTGACCATTGTACGGAATGTGTGCATTTGATTGAATTCTGGTTATAAATTTTGCAGTTTTTATTAAATATACTTCCCCTGAATTTTGGACAGTATATTAAATATATTAACTTGATTAAAGCACGAATGATTCAACAAATTTCCACATGTTCTGATCCTTATTTAATACAAAATTGCCTGCTTCTCAACAATATCACATCCACATATGTTTGTCATTATAAAGACAGATTGATGCGCATGTCCATGAAATCATGGAAGAAATGATTATTTATCTATACATTCAATGTAATAAAATTATGCTTATTACATGTAAATAATATTTTATGGTTGGGCATTGAATATTTTTAGTGGGGGTTAGACAATAGCTTCATGTTAGGATTGACTCAAACTACTAACTGATCGATTTCAATTGAAGTGAAATCCTTCATCACCAAAATGATAATGAAAAAATATTTTTTTTTTCTTAAATGGTTTTCAGCCTTTGCTCCATTTTGTTCCTTCTTAGCGTTCCATGATGTCTAAATTAGAAAACTCTAACAAACTGTTATGTATTTATGGCTTCCACTAAATTCAACATTGAACCCTTATATTGACAATGCATCATACCTGCGAATATATGTTCTATATGGATCATATTATCAATAGTAATTTAACTTTCCAAATGTTGTCACTATCTCCATGAATAAATACGAGATATGATAATTTATTTACTGTTTTAGAATCAATAATGAAATAACTATCCTGAATTAAGGTAGATAAATGCTATTAAAAAATGTGATTTTTTTTAATTTTTAAATATATATATATCATGAGTTTCAAGATTTTAGTTTAAATTTATTTACTCCATTGTTTACCCATATGTTAAGTAAAATACTTAAGTATATACATATACATTTGTTTGCAAACTCTTTAATGAGGACTCATCAAGTATTATTTTATTTGGAACATTTCTCGGCAATTAAGGATCCCTTTTTAACAGGATAAGAACACATTGTGTCCTCTTGTTACCACTTGCATGTATCATTTTCAAGAAATCCATAATGTTTTATAAGTTTTTTGTAAAAACGTTTACATTGCTAAACTAGATGCTTGTTTTTATTAGTATATTATTTTCATGTGTGCATAAAAAAGTCATTACCATCTAATTATGAATGGAATGGGCTGTCCTCAAATAGTTTTTTGAATGCAAATATATTTATATGTGAAAACTTGCACCTTTTAGTGTAAGATAATATTTTGCCTTCTAATTAAGTATTTTGATTTATACTTTTTTGATGAACTTATAGGCATCACTCATGTATAAAGGTAAATATATCAACCTCTTTGAGTTCATATAAGACCTACAATGTGAACTACAATCACAATATGAAGATAAGTAGTTTTAATAATAATTTGATTGAACATACTTGTTCTTTAAAATTTTGAACACAACACCACAAAAATGCACTAAAAAATTGAAGACCTTATCCAATCCATTGCTTGAATTAATCATTGCCAATGAGTTATCTTGACTCACTTGCAGTGAACAGATCGTGATCATGTAGGGATTTATTGTTGTTTAAAGGATGGGTCTAATGAGGAATGGACCCATGGGTGAGGGATCCACATGATCATGGGGATCCATATGCATGATGCACATGCTATTTGTGCTGTATTGTGTCGTCTCACACATCTACACGTGTGCCATGCCATGTCACATCATGTCATTGCTAGCCTTTGCACATATTTATGTACCTACATGTGTAACTAAGTAGTTTGGTAAAAATCTCATTCTTCTAAGCAAAAGGGTGTCCCAAGTAAGTGAGGTAACAATATCGTAGGGTGAGTGTAGGTTAGGGTTCCTTCATGAATTGTGGACGAAACTTATGTTAAAGAGTGTTTAAATAATGATAAAATTTAACTATGGTTAAATCATTTACCATTGATAGAGTATAATAAATTGACTAAGTCCTAATTTTAGATAATTTTTAAAGACATGGGGAGGGGGTAGAAGGATTTTTGGAGGCTTGGTAGAGAGAGTGACAAGTATGCAAGTCCCAAGTAAGTGTGGAAACAAGATCATAATGGTGAGTTCAGATTAGGGTTCATTCAAGAATTGTGGATGAGACTGTTGTTAAAAGTGAGTAAATAATAATAAAATTAGCCATGGTTAAATCATTTACCATTGATAGAGTATAATAGAGTCTCTAATTCATAATTTTCAGATAATTTTCAAGGACGAAGAAATACAAGTGAAAAGATGAGGAATTTTCTCCCTAAATTGGTCATCTTCTAAGTGTCCCTTCAAGAATGGTAGATGAGATTCTCGTCAAAGGTGAGAAAATAAGAATAAACTTTAACCATGGTTAAATCATTTACCATTGATAAGAATACAATGGAGTAACTAATTCCTAATTTTAGATAATTTTTAAGGAAGTAGAGATAAAAGGGGAAAGATGAGGAGTGTCCCCCCTAAATTGGGCTTTTTCTAGGGGCCTACGCTAAAATGACCCTATCATCAAATATAGCCCATCTTAGGAGTGTTGGGCTCGGGCCGGGATCTACAGTTTATTAACCCCCTTTGGCCCATATTCAGTTGTTGTTTCTGGCTTTTCTTCGGATTCGGGCTTAAAAGGAATGGTGCTTGTCGGGCTCTTTTTTTCCGAGTTCGGCTCTTTCGGGCTCGGCCCGGACTAATATATCCAACTGTCTGGGAAGGGAGTATTTTAGTCAAGTTCTGTTTGCTCTCTCTCTCTCTCTCTATCAGGCGTGTTCTCCCGGGAGGCTGAGTGCATTCGCGTTCGCATTCGCATTCGCTTTCTCCCCAAGCGGCGCGCCGCCTTTGTCTCTCCCTACACCCTCTCTCGCTGACATTCTGAGAGCGTGGCATCCATGAGCTCGAGAATCCTTTCCCGTCTTTCTAGGGCACGCCATGGGCTTAGCCATCACCGAGTGGCTCTTCTTTCTCCTCTTCGGCAGTATCATGTCCAGTGCACATCCTACGGCTTCGGTTCCATAGGAGTCGCCGCCGCGGGTCCTTCTGCCAAGGTATGCTTGTACAGGGGTGCCATCTCCTTGTCTGGTCAACGTCCGGTTTCTTCCTCTTTGTTACCAGCTTCGGTGGATAAGAATATTTTTCCGTGGATACGTCTTATGTTTAGTCTACTGTGATCGTAAGCACAGAAACTGTTGTAGTCTGGTTGCTAGCGTATACGATTCTGATTTATTTTTTTCCGGTTAATTTGAGTGGTGCAGTTTTGGGGTTCAGGGTTTGTGGGGTGGGCTATGGCCCCTCGAGCAGTAGTTTGGGTGTGTCGTGCAATCGTTATTTTCATTTTCATATTGTGAGGTATAATTGTGGGGAAGGGTTTGTTTCTATTATCAACGTGCGTTCATCCGAGCGTGCTTGTGCAGATATCAAACTTTTTAACTACTGCGTGACGCATCCAGAACTAGGGCTTCTTTCCTGCTTTCGAAAATTATCATTCCTTGTTCTCGATTTTTTATTTGTTATTTTCGATTTCACTTCTTATCATCATTTTTTTCATTGTGGCCAATCCTTTGATTATATTATTGCTCCTTTGAAAATAAATTCAGTGAGTTAAGTGTTTATGATTCTGATTTCTTGTTTATGGAAAAGGGTGATGAGACATTCGTCTTGAAGGGTGTTGACTAAAAATGAATGTGATTGTATAAATAATTCTGGTAAGAGTTTCTAGAGACCTTCATCTCGCTTAGAGAAAGCTCGATCAGAGAACAATAATGTGAGATTTTCTGGCTATTCTACAAGTTGAATTTCTGATTCCAATGTGGACTGGGGCTCAGCAGGCACAAATTAGATGGTTCAGGCTTGGGCCAACTCAATTCAGCTTGAAATTGGTCAACATGTCCTGTCCTACATTTGTGGAGGTAGGAGGCTCAGATTTAGCAAAGTCTGAACTCTGCACTGCCCATCTACATACCCATGCACTCATTACCATTCATTTTCCTTCGGAAAATGAGCTGGTTTTCCCCTCTAAATCAACTGTCTAACATCTCCCGATAGATTCTCTTGCGTGCCCTTAAACTGTTCTTGGAGACCTAATGTACTTGCCATTTCACCTATATCCTGGAGCATCTATCAATATTTGATTGATGCCGTATGTATCTCTTTACGGGTAGGGTTTGGACAGTAATATATGTCCTAATGCACCTTGCCTTAATGCTATCTTCTAACGCCAATATTTAACCCATTCCACCTCTAGCTTGTTGACGACGGTCAGTGAAATCAAGAGTCAATAGCAAGAGCACATGACCCTCTTGAGTCTCCCTCCCACCACTGGTGGACTGGACACAATAATTCTGCACATATAAAATATAATTAAGTTATGAATTGGAGATGAAATAACCAGTCTATTACAACTAGTCCACCTTGGAGTTCTTATATTTGCTGCTTATATGATGAAAAGCTTGGCTACCTTCTGATCACACTTAACTGGTGCTGATATCTGCAAGAGTGAAATGGCCTCATTCTTACATCAAATATTATATGAAATTTCAGAATCAGAGTCTCGAGTAACTTTCAATGGCCTGATTAGGTAAGGATGGCATCCTCACTGTGGCTTAGGGATGAACACTGACGGCATGACCCTTTACTACTGCAGTCATTAATATTTTTGAAAGACATCTTTCAGACTGTGTCATCTTCTAGGTTCTTCACTTCATTTTGTGAGTTGGGAACCTGGAGGACGTGCACTTTGCGCATCTCTTCTTGAGGCAGATCACTTACTGAATTCTATATGCTACTTGACTCAATGCATGTTGGCGAAATTTCTTAATCTTAATGATCGCTGTGGTCGGTATGGTTTAACACGTTCGCATCTTTATTTTAAATCTCATGGACACCTTGTTAAACTGATCTACCGAATTCAGCGGAAAGTTAACTTTCATTTAGCAATACAGGAACCTTATCTGGATTTATGCTAGATGGTTATTGTTAAGTATTCCATTGGTCTACTTTTTGTTCCTGTTAATCCATATTCATAATTTTTAAGTAACATTTGCGTGCCCTAATTACATATTTTCGTTTCCAGTGGGTTCCCTGCTTGGTTAGTCTATCATCACAATTCCAGCGGCTTGGGTTCAGCTCAACTGCCTCTCCTCAGCCCAATGGCAGGGAGTCTAGTCAAGTTTCTGATGAACAACAAACTGTCAACCAAGCTGAGACAAACAACGAAGCCAAAGGCAGTGCTAGAGCGCCAGAAACAACAGGTGCAGGCCCAAACCTATGACATGGATGTTTACATTCCCATTTTTTCAAGAAGTTTGGTCCCATCAGAAAGGAGAAAATGCTTAACTGCGTTCATTCTATGTTCCAGACACTGAGGAGGATGATCTATGTATTGATGATTTAGTAAAGCTAGTTGCGGAAAAAGAAGAGCTGCTGAAAGTGAAACACAAAGAGATCGAGAAAATGCAGGATAAGGTTCTTCGGAGTTATGCTGAAATGGAAAATGTGATTGATAGGACAAAACGTGAGGCAGAAAATTCCAAAAAATTTTCTATACAGGTGAGTTATTACACATTTATCTGCTGGGATGCCGTTCTCTTTTTAACATTTCCTTGTTGTTCATTGTGATGTTTTACTTTCCTCTAATGAGTTTTTTGGTAAAAACAGAATTTTGCAAAGAATCTTTTAGATGTTGCTGATAACCTGGGAAGAGCATCATCTGTTGTTAAGGAAAGCTTTTCAAAGTTGGAAACATCTGAGGACTCTGCAGGAGCCGTGTCACTCCTCAAAACATTATTGGAGGGTGTTGACATGACTGATAAACAGCTTGGAGAGGTAACATGTTTCTCTAGTGAGTAAAAACTTTCAGTGCATTTTAATTTTAGATATAGGGCACCAGCTTAGGGTTATTCTTTTGCAACGCAATTGGGGATATTTTTGCACGCTGGATTGTTATGCTGGTTTTGCGTTTTTATTTTTGACAATACTAGGTTAGTATGGTATTGGTAGTTTGTATTGCTCTCATGATTTTCCTTTTAGCCAGCCCGTCTGACGAGTGATTTATCAAGTTTCCTTAAATGTTGTTGACAAATAATGAATTAAAGATTAAAAATATCACGAGTAATGTTATAAAAAAAATCATTACTTTCTGGAGTTAAAATGCTGAAATGTTAGTCTAAAGACTGATATTAGTCTAAAGAGTTATGATAGAATTATTTTTGGGGAGAAGAAAGAATGACAAGGATGTTCCCCTAATCTTTTTGTAAAGAGCACCTCGCCCCACTCTGATAATGTCTGAACAAACCCTGTGCAGATGGAGCATTCCGTATACTCCCAATGTTTTGTATGCGTTTTGAATTACCTGCCTCAAGTCGTTCATTGCCTGCTATTTGGGAAAAAGCCAAACTATATGTATGCCACCCTTGGGGACCTGCAGTGGATCTGACTTTTCTCAACTGTGTGCACTTTGTTTGTCTCATTAGAAGTTGTTTCCATATCCTCCCCTTGTATTTCTCTCCTCTCACTCACCCAAACACACATCCACTATCTTCGCTGAAGTAATCTGGACGTATCGGGTACACCTCATATCGTGTTATATTCCCTTACACCCTTGCCATAGAAAGCATTTAAAAGTGTTTGCTCTGTGCCGGTTTTTTATCCACCCTACCCTAACTTCAGTGGCGTTGAGCTGCTTTTTAAATGTCATAGTTACACACTCCATTGGATATCAATGATGGATGTTCTCACCGTAGTCTACTATGGTCAATCTTTGACAAGATGGCTCTTGGAATCGTAGAATATTGTTGTGCTGAAGAGCCCTACATAAATTACCGAAACAGTTATAGACGAACACGCCTTTTAAATTGAGCATTTGAAGCTGGTGCATCAAATGAGCTATTAGCCTCTGACATGATTCATGCATCAAACGAATTATGCTTGACAACCTCCAATCCACAACGTCTTTAATTTCTGTATAAGTTTTAAAAAAAAAATACAACCTAGCGATGAGAATTGATGGGTTCTTTTGGAATACAAATTAAGCAAACTAGAATGTTTTTGATAGATATTATTGGGTAGTGATTTTTATTTTCATGTCCATGTTTTCTGATTTCCGTCTAAATAACAGTTGAAAATTTCCGCTTTCAGGTGTTTAAAAAGTTTGGAGTGGAGAAATTTGATCCTACTAATGAGCATTTTGATCCGCATAGGCATAATGCTGTTTTCCAGATCCCAGATGCTTCGAAAGAACCTGGTACTATTGCTGTTGTTCTCAAGGTATGTGTTGAGCATAAGTTGCTGCTGGAAGTAGTTGTGAAATCTCACCGGATTAAAGTTTAATTCAAGGATCTATAAAATCTGTTTTGTAATATAATCGAACAAAATGGTGATATGACTAGCAGGAAATGACTATTGAGATACGACTTATCTTTCCAATTACTTTGCGCTGATAAATACCAAGTTTTTGCTGTTTTTCCATGTTATAATAAATTTCCAGTTTCACTACACAACTTATAGAACGGGTTTCAATGTAAATCGTTTTACCAGCCTGTATCTTTCGTCGTCATTCAATGGCAACACAAATACTTTATTTGAGTTGGAGGCAATAGTCAAGAAGGTCTTAACATAGTGATGTCAAAATCTATCAACTTTGATAATGCATTGTTTGTATTAAAAAATTCTTGAAGAAATGCATCACAGATTGGTTGTTCCGAAAATGTACCAAAAATATGATGAGGACCTTCTTTTTGAAGGTTGCTCTTGGTTGATTTTATTTTGTTATTCCACTGTTGCCATACGTTGTAGGACTAAGATAATAATAAAACATTTGATCCCATCAATACGATGTAGGACTGAAACATTGATGCGGCTGCATCAATATTACTATCTAGCTTGCTACCTCGAGAATTAGTATTCTCCTTGACTGCTTTAGCGTCCATATTGTTCCAGAAGTGTGATGAATCTATCATGATTTTATCTCCCATAGAGGGGATAGCCCTTTTGCCACGAGCATAATGTACCTACTTCTAAATGAGGATGCTGATTATGCTTGCCTTTTAACTGAATGATATGTTTTTTATTTCCGTTATGCAATTCCATAATTCGTTCTAATTAGCTGTTGTTTTGAAAATTCTGATATAACTTTTAGTTAAAGAAAATGCTAAGATAAAGTACTAAGATATGAATTTTCTCGCTTGGTGCTTCTCAGTATTACCCTTGATACATTTTCTCAATTCAAATCTGAATAATCTCTTTTCTTTTTTACTCTTCTTGACGGATTAAAATGGCATGTTGACTAGGGAGACCTCTTTATGTCAACTTTAGAATTTGTTTTTAGCCGCGCAGTAGACACCATATATATATATATATATATACTGATCCTCGGCTGTATACTTGTCTTCTGGAGATTAGTCAAGTATGTTTCCTGGTAGATTGGAGTACATTCACAAGCTCAGTGCTTCTGTAATTGTGCTTTTTCTCAGAGATTTGTAAATCCGCTAGCTCAATCCATTTATTGCAATTACTGTAAGGTAGATGTTACTCTAAAAGATCAAATCTTGCAATGAAGTATCCCACGACTATATCTTTCTCCATGGTAACCGAAGCTCCCGCTCCCTTTTCCAATTTTTCTACCTGTTACTTCTCCTATTTTTTCAAGTCTATTTTTGGAAGGCTCTCTTCTTTCCATCTATACAGATTCCTGTCTTCTCTGAAAGGGTATCTTAACTGGATTCCCTATCTCAACGGTGATTACTTCCCATTAATGGACATTGGCTGAGCACTGCTGAGGGGGAGTCACGTAGGGTTCTGCATCTTTTGGGAGACATCTGTGGAATGCTATTTATAGTGAAGCCTGCAGTTTTCCTCATTTTCTTCAGCCTCATCGCTGGACAAGCATTTATGGAATGTAGACATTGCTTCTGAATGATTTAATACCTGCTTATGGAGGCATACACTCCTAGAAACAATGGGTAATTACTGTGTTGGAGCTCAACGTTGACTTTGAGAAAGTCCACGCGCATGCTAGCAGAACTGACACAGTATCCTTTTCTTTTCTATGACCCGTCATGGAGGTTCACATGGGTTCTGCTCTCTTCATTCTGACCTTCTCCCTGAACAGAAATTCCTGTCGACAACTCGGCAAAGTTTTGACTTTTTTGTTCTTTCTCTTTTTGCTCATCTTCCTGATTTCATGAAAAAAAAAAGAAGAAAAAAACTACTAAAAATGGCTTGTGTCTGCTGCCACTGCAGGCGGGTTACATGCTGTACGACCGTGTCATTCGGCCAGCCGAAGTCGGCGTGATTCAAGCTGCAGACGATGCCAACGAGGGCTCCGACGCATAGAGCTCCAGCAGTCTGAGAATCTGTGGAAAACCATGGCGCCTGCCTCAATGGGGAACTGAGCATTGCCATAAATGAAGATCCATGAAGATCACCAGCCCATTCCGGGCAGAAATTTTGTGCTGTTCTTGAGAAAGATTGCTCTCTAAAGACTTCACACCCATCAAAAACAAGCCATATCCGAAGGCTTTATAAGATCACTGGGCAAGTTTTGGCATGATAATATTTATTTTTACTCGGATTATTTAATGCTTATGGTATCAAAAATATGGGTAAAATGTGTGCGAGAATGTGAGAAATGCCCACTTTTTTTTTCTTGGTTTATTTTCAATTTTATTTAATGGTCATAATAATCTCGGCTCCTTCTTATGATCATCATCTTTGAGTGATCTGCTTATTTCTTGATCATGGAGTCGTCTTCTTGGATTGATTACTGGGGCGGTCCTCCTGTGCTTAAATCTCCGCCATGTAGGTGGTGAGCTTCTCCATCTTCCCCCGCTCCAGCATCACCCAGACGCTGATTCCGCCGCCGTGTGCAGCGGCGCCGCCGTGTAGGAGTAGCACGAACTCCTCCATGGGGCTGGCCACCGGCCCCCCGTAGACCGGCCGGCCGTGCCCGAAGTCCAGCTCGTGGAAGGGGAGCTTCCACCAGGCGGAGACGAAGAACCCGCCTGCGCCGGTCGCGGGCACCCCGCGGTGCACCTCCAGCCAGTCCACGGCGGAGCGGACGTACCTGTCCGTGACCCTCCCCACGGCCTCCCTCACCTTCTCGGCGCAGAAGGAGATCGGGTTCTCCACCACCTCCGCCGCCGCCGCGCTCGCCGCCGCTGCCGCGACGGCGTTCCCCACGAAGCCCTCTGGCAGCGGCGGCGACATCCTCGACCGCACGTCCACCGCGAACACCACCGTGGACGCCTCCTCGGGCCGCCGAAGCACCGCCCTGGTCCTCGCCCTCCAGATGTGCGCCACCAGCGCTTCGAAGGTGGAGGACCTCCCGTCGCCGGCGGCGGCGCGATCCTTGAGGCGCCGTATGTCGTCTCCGGAGAAGGGAAAGACCCGGTAGCAGAGCTCGTCTTGTCGGCCGGCAGCGGCGGCGGAAGACCGGCCGGGAGAGGTGAACGACGACGGCGGGAGGGCGGCGCCGCCGCCGTTGCTCTGCTCCGTGTACTCGTTGTGCATGTAGTCGATCTGCGGGGGGTCTCTCGCTCTCAGGCAGCTCCTGTCGTTGCATATCCCGCCGGACTTCAAGCTCTCCCCCCTGCATGCATGGCGGCGCCGCCGCCTGCCGTTCAGAAACGTAGTAGCTAAAAGTACCTGCGTCTTCCGTGTCCGGTGTGGATGCTGTACCTGCAGACGGCGGCGATGGCGACGAACATGTCCGCCGCCGAGCGGCCGTCGAGGACGCAGTGGTTGGTGACGAAGCCGACCGAGAAGCCGCCGCAGCTGAACCGCGTGACCTGCACCGCCGCTGCATGAAACTGGCTTCGCCGGAGGAGGGTTTTGCGGCGGCGATACCCACCTGAACGGTGAAGACGGTGGCCTCAGAGAGCTCGCCGGCGGCGGCGCCACCGACGGTGCGGAGGACGAGCCGCTGGAACGATTGGTTGGGGAGGGAGACGTCGCCGAGCTCCGCCATCCTCAGCCGTGACTCGCTGCCGGCGAAGGGGACGCCGGCGTTGTTGCAGAGGAGCTCCAGCCTCGTCGACGAGGAGTCCAGCGCCAGCCTGCCGGCCATGAAGTAGTACTTACCGGAGACGACGACTGAGACTGCCCTCTTCACTCTGTCGATCACGTTTAGGGTGTCTCCCGGCGAGGCCCTGAAGAAGAAGACAGTCTCCACGGGGAAAGCCACCGTCTGGTCTATGTTCGAGAGGAAGACCCTCTCCGTCCGCTCGAGGTCGCCGCCATGAGGAACCAGGAGCTCCACCTCCCCCCTCTCCACGTCCCTGTCGCTCACCTCCATGCTACAGGCGGTCTTCTTCTTCTTCCTGGTACCTTCTTCTCTGTGTCCAGTCGCCTCCGGTGCTTTAAAGGAGGGTGGAGCCGCCATGGAAGCGCTCTTTTGGAGTGGCCCTGAAATGCGCCGGGGGAGGAAGAAGCAATCTTTCCATGGAGATTTCCACGCCGTCTCGCCTCCAAGATCATTCTGGCTGAGAATGGCACGGGGGTAATTTCATTGCCGGGGCCAAGAACATGAACATTCTCGACAGCCATAGACGGACATGGATTCCTGTTGGACCGAGAGAGGGAGAGAGAGAGAGAGAAGGAGAGAGAGAGAGAGAGAGAGAGAGAGAGAGAGAGAGAGAGAGAGGGAGAGAGGGAGAGAGAGAGAGAGAGAGAGAGAGGGAGAGAGAGATTTCAGTGGATCACAGCCTGGGTCATATCGGGCGTAGCCATGAGCGACGAGTCCATCCAAAGCACTGTATCTCATCTCTCTCTCTCTCTCTCTCTCTCTCTCATCTCTCTCAACTCCCGAGCGGCCCGAATCCTCTCATCCTCTATCTTGTCACTCTTCAGCCTCCAGGATGACCAAATGACTAGTACTCCTTACCAGCCGGTGAGTCCCGCAGATGCCACGTCGCAGTTCGAGATTATAAAAATGACGTCATAAATGTATAAACCCACTGAATTAAGTTCATTATTTGCATATTAAGTGAGCACACTTTTGGAGGATATTGTTGACTCCAACTTGTTGACAACCGTCATAAATCGGAGTGACGTCATAAAATGGTATTTAAAAATAAATATACTTTAATTCATCTGTATTAAGGGAAGAAGATTTTTTTTAAAATGGCCGATCTCGTTGACTTTGACTTAACGATGGAATCTCCCCTTGACCGGCTCGTGGATATGGTTGTTGTGCAACTGTTGAAGGCAATTTTGCAATGAATTCCCCTAAAAATGTTTTTTCTTTTCTAAATTTCTTGTAATTTCTAATATATGTAAATATACATTTATTCGTTGACGCTAAGAAGGTGGCCGTGGCACGTGCAGTATTACCCACGAGGGTTTACTTCAGATCGCACGTGCAACATTTATTGAGGATGTTTTACAGATATATCCCCTATTTGATAGGCTAATACGGAAAAATCCTACGGGAACAGAGTTTCACCTTTCAACCCTCATATTCTTCTGAATGGGGTATTTACTCTTACCTTTTGAGTCACAACTCGGGATTCTTTAGGCTTTAACCCATTCTCCTATGGCAAATATACCCAACGAAAATTCTCTCTCTCCTCGAAGGCGACAGCGCCGGCATTATCTCTCATGTTCGCCGGAGGAAAGGCCGTTCTTCTCTTCCTCCCTCTTTCTCCTTCCCTCCCCCCCCCTCTCTCTCTCTCTCTCTCTTCCCCTCTCGCTCCGTTCGCTGAACGCTCTCTCTTCCCCTCCCTCTCAAGTCTACCCCACATCTCATGGGAGGCAGCTACGTCTCATCGTCGATGTCTCCGTCAGCGGCGCACCACCGTCCGGGATGATCACTCCGCTACCATCCGAAACACGAGGAGACCGCCGCCTCCCGCCGTCTACTCCAGCCGGCGGCGGCGCCAACGTCGGGAAGATCTGTGGGGTTTGGTTCTACTGAAACTCCTCTCCTTCCCCTATCGTCCGCCGTCTCCGTCGCTCCGCATAAAAGGAAAATAAAAAAAAAGCGAGGGGAAAATATTTAATTCATAATATTATGGGCTTAAATACAAAAACTCAAATAAACAAAGAAAACGAGGGGCTTCTGGTAATTTTCTCATCGAAAAAGGCGCATGGAATTTTCGACTCCCAGTAAGAGACACGACCAGCTCAGCGCGCTCGGGTAGTAGCTCTCAAATCTCAGCCAATGAGAAGAAGCCACGAAGCAAAAAGGGTCCTACCGTTATCTACGTGTCTACTCTGTGTGGGGTCGCGAGGTGGAATACCGGTTGCACCCACAGAAGCCTGGGAAGCATCTATTTACAGGCCTTTTTCCCCCCTTCGCGTTGGCGGCTGCTCCTCGTAGCACCCCTTTCCTGGTCTCCCGCGGCCCCTCGACGACGACCCCCTTCCTTCTCTCCTCTCTCTCTCTCTCTTTCTCGCTCGCTCTCTCTCTCTCCCTCTCTCTCTCTCTCACACACACAACAGCGCGATTCGGGCTCGACCGATACGGAAGACACCATCGTGGGTTTTTCTCTTCTTCTCAGCAGTGCCTTGTCTTCTGCTGCCACCCCCCACACCGCGCCACCCTTCCCTCCTTCCCTCTCTTCTGGCTCTGGGTGTCTGTCCTCTCTCTCGCTCTCTCTCTCTCTATTGTTCCGTTGTCTACGGGTCTATTCTTTCTTTTTCCTTTTCGTTGAAGCTCTCAACCCACCCGCGCTCTGTGATTTACCTCCATCTCCAGGCGGCAGCGACGGCAGAGGTAAGGCGGCGTTAGTTCTCCCCACACCCGACCCTTGTTCATCTCTCTCCCTCTCTCTCTCTCTCGCTGTCATCCCCTCTTGTACTGGCTTTCTTGAGGTTGTTCTTGTGCAGGACATGTGTGGATGAAATCGTAATTTGCGCATTTATTTCCCTATTTATGTGGGTTTCGCTCGACGGTCTTTTCTTCCCAGCTTCGATGCCTCGAGCGTCAACATGCTTAATCTGATTGACGCCCATTTCAGCGCCTCCATCCTTTTTCACGTGCGCCTCCTCTTACTTGCCCGCCTCTGCATGCTCCCTCCCCCCTCTCCCTTCTTCCCCCTCGCCCTCCCTCAAACGTGCAACTCTCCTTTCTTTGTAATATGTGTGGGTCGCTGGGGTTGGCCGTGCTTCCTGCGAGGTTAGTCGGTGGATCGGGTTGGAAATTGTCGCCAAGATGGGACATTTCTCTTCGCTCACTTGATGGGCAACCTCGATTTGAGCCCTCCTCTGCTGTTCTTTATGGGTCGTGTGATCATCCGCTGCTGATGCTGTTCGGTGGAGTCTTCTGACCGGGTTCGACTTTCTTCTTTGCCTTTACTATACAGGTAATGGCTTCTGGGGAGTCGGATAGCTGCGCAGGTTGCCTGGTTTGTGCTGCCGCTTAGTAAGTCGGTAAACTGGTGTCGAATTCGTTCCCCAGGTTTGTGTTTCTCTTAGTCTTTCTTGCTTCGACTATGGCTATATTGCTCTGAGCTGTTGATGCCATGTACTATTGTACTAGTCTTGCTTCTAGGTTGTAGGAAGAGGTTCTGTGTTAAATGGGGTTCATGGAAATTAGGGTTCCTTGCTCTGCGCCGAAGTCGACACTGGCTACCCATCTGCGTCTGTTTGCTGTTCATATGGAGGCTTATGCCTTCCTCCTACTCTTAGTTAGGGAGAAGAGGACCTTGTGATGATATATGGATCCTACTCGTGTTGGGGATCCCTTCTCAACCTGGGCCCTCTCAATCTTTATTCATCAGTGTTGACTTTTGTATTTTTAGTGTCTTGTTTATCTTGAATATCCTTCCTGAGTCTACTCTCCCTATAACTTCCTCATTAATGTTAAGTCCACCTTTGTGTGCTACCTGTTTTGGGAAATGCTGACCGTGAAGGCCTCCTGAATGCTTTTTGTTAACGTTTCTTCTCATCTTTATTATCTAAAACGACCACAGTGGCATTCCTTTTTCTTTCCGCAGCCTCAAATCGACGTAGTTCTATCCCAAGTCACATTTCTTCAAACGTAGATTTTGAATCAATGTGAAACTTACTGTGATTTTCTTCTGTGCTTTCTACTATGGATCCTTGTTGTGATCTTCATAATATATCATGAATTTTTTCTCTGGTACAAACATAAACTGCTATAAACGTTCATTGGATATCCAGAATGGATTTTGACCCTTTAATTAATTTGAGTAACTTTTGACTTTTAGTCGAGATGATGTCTATATATCGAACACCAGCACAGTTTTGATGGTGACTAGAAACTGAGACTTGCCAGCTTTTTGATCTTTTTTCCTACATCAATGTACATCGAAACTCCGAGTTTTTTGAGATGATCCTTGAGATGGAGACTGAGGACGAGTTGGCAATAGATTTCTGTATTGAATGTTGTGATCATTGAATTGCCCCTCTGTTGCTCCTCGTGCCAAGTATGTCATGTCGCACCAAGAATTTAAATTTTACATGACGCGAAAAGAGGAAAGCATCGATCTCAACAGGAGTTGCCAAACCAAGGAAAAAAATCCATGTGAAATGCTGAACTCCAGTTTAGAAACCTGCCCATATGGTCATATCAATCGGTATTCATAAGAATCCGAGTTTCGAGGCCAAAACCTTTGAGGATTGGAGTAAGTATATCCAAAAGCTGTTTTCTTGGTTCTGGCAAGTGAATTTGGTTTATTTGCACAAGTGATGGCGTTCCTTTCAAATGAATCCGTGGTTGTTTCAGAGTTTTCAGCTGCCAGATCGAAGGATTAAAGAGGTGGTTTTCATGTCGCCTAAATCTTTCTTGCATTTTATTAGATAGATTGAATCATTAAGTTTATTTCCGAAGATATTGTTTTGCCTTTTCTCATGAACATATTCCACGCTTACTATCAACTTTTGCTTACTTGGAGGGTTTACCCTAGGAAACGGCCTATGATTAATGGAGATCTGATCTCCATTGTTGCTATACTGTCTAGCCGATTGTGTTAGAAAACTCCTCCGTTGCAATTGAAACCCTTTGGTGTGCAACATTTCCTCGCGGAAAAAATCTCGCTTTACTCCGATTTCTGGATGGATTGTTGTCACTTCACACGACAAATCTTGCTTATTTTTTATTAACATCATTTCTTACCCCTTCTGGTGGAGAGATCTGGCAATCTGCGTTTTAGTATTCTCTGTCGACCAGGAACTTCTTACCTGATCAGATTAGGTGCCTGTCATGGGCGGACGGGAGCTGGGCTGCTACCTTTCTCATGTTTTTCCATCAGCCTAATTATTTGATACTAATCATGCCAGAGGTTAATCATTTGGTTATTATGTCCTTTTTATTGAACTTGGAAATAACTTTTTTAGTTTTACGAGTGCATCCTTGTGGACCTATGTACGAATGACTGTATTGCCTCCATTTAATGGTTTTTGGTCTACCCATGTCTTTCCATGCAATGTTATCAATATGATTTAGTTCGTGCCTATGCAAAGTGCTGCTGAAATCTTGATAATCATCAACGCCATGCCGTCTTACAAGGATGATAATGATAATCAATATCTATGCTAGATTCCAAAGTTTGTTTTAAGCAGATAAATAGTTAAATGATTCAGAAACCTTATCGATAGGAAACCGGTGCTCTGGAATCTCCTTTTTCATTAGCATTTATATGCGTCGAATTTCATAAATAAATAGCTAATTTTACAGAATAATTTGCACATTGGTTTAGTTACATATTCGATCTAACGGTTAAGGAAACTTTCTTTATTTCTTTTTGGCTATTGAAATTCACATAGATTACTCCATTCTTTGGCTTTGACTTTATCAGCTGCTTTAAAATTTTCGATAGATATTCTTTTTCTTGCATGCATTTATTTGTTGGTAAGCCAATTATGAGTTGCACCTATCTTTGCTCTATTTTTTTTTTCGTCTCTGTTCTCTGAAGCCTAAATCTGGATTTAACTTTTATCAGTTGCAGCGATAGTTGTGACTCTTTTGGGAATTCTCTGTTGTCATTTTGTTGCTGTTATTTCATCTTATGTCAATTGAGGCTGATTTTTTTTAATGGCAGATGGACCTTCTTAAACTGTATCACGATGAAGACTCTACCGCAGATACATCATCAGAACATCTTTCAGCCGATTCCCCAGGAACAAATGATATATTCGAAGAGCAACCAATAGCTCCTCGTATAGGGGAGGAGTATCAGGTGGAATTGCCACTGCTGGAGAGAAGATCACAATACCTCGTCCCAATTTTGAGCTCAGTCTCTGTCGGTACCACGAATGATACTGATTTCGCTGTCAAAATAGGATTAGATATTCCGGTGACATGGACTCTTGACAGGGATGAACTAGAACCATATGTTTGTACAAGTGGTGCTGAAATTGCCGATGTAGAGTTGGTAAGATTTGATGGAGGTCTATATTCAAAATTTCATGATTCATTGAATGGGCGTGCAGCTGAAGTTTCGAAGACTCATGTAAATGGTTCCGTAGCCTCAACGTATAAGGGTGAATTATTCGATCAAAAACCAAATCTTGGGAAAAGATATTGTCCAATACCTGCTTTGCCTATGACCCCCTGGACAGATGATGAGAAGAAGATCTTCCTCCTCGGCCTCTATGTTTTTGGTAAAAATCTTGTCCAAGTGAAGAGGTTCATAGAGTGCAAAAGGATGGGGGATATACTTTCGTTCTATTATGGGAGTTTCTACAGATCAGATGCCCACCGTAGATGGTCAGAGTGTAGAAAGATGAGAAGCAGGAAGTACATTTATGGGCAACGGATTTTTAGTGGTTGGCGGCATAATGAACTTCTGCAGCGTTTGGATCAGAACTTATCGGAGGCAGGCAGAAGTGCTTTAGTTGAGGTTAGTGTTTTGTTAGTCCTTTTTTAATTTTTTGAGCATCAGATATGAAAATTTTCCTTTACGAATGATCGTTGGTCTTCAAATTATTAACTTTGATGAACGGCATACATTTAAGTCATTAGTGCAGTAAGAGAACAGGTTAGAATTTCTTTTCCATTCATCTATAGATATTTCGTCCTAATTTCCTGGGAGCAGGGCTGTGTCCGAGCGCTTTCTGACTAGATCCTGGCACCTGTATCCAGGTCACGAATATCTATCTACTTTGGATATTTGGTTCATCCATCCAGGCAATTTTCTGCCATTCTTTGGTGGTGGCCATTCCATGTGAGAATCATCGTGATTCCATTAAGGTTCTGCCTCCCTCTTTCCCTCTTGGTCTCCCCCCTCTCAGTGACCTTTCCATTTTTCCCCTCTTATGCTATCACACCCCTGGTACTTCTGGCAATAGTTGCCAGTAGACCCAATATCCTTTTCTCCCCTATTAATGGAGGCCTTAATAGCTCTGATATTTTCCTTATTGTACAGTTGTATTCTTTCTAGCGATTTATAAGCAGTCATTTCATGTTTTCGTCTCCTAAATGGCCATCCTTCTCCGTCTTCATTCCTTTTTCTTTTGTTCTCTGCACCATCTGGCAGTAATGATTCCCTGGGTCATTCCTGCAAATCCCTTCTGTAGGTGTTATATCACTTGGTTGCTCTCCTTTGTGGTTATAGCATATTACTGACATGTTTTCTGTTTGGTTAATGTGACCTCTCCATTTATGGTTGCCACTGAGATTGTCCCTTCTCTCCGTTGCTTCTCTTCACTGTCTCCATCTCCAGTTATGTAGGATGACAGAACTTTTATTATCCTTGGATCCTCACTGTTGTTAACCCCAGTCAACAAGTTTCTCAGTCCAATCTTCAATTCTTCCTACAATGCCCTTTGCTTCTGCGACTGTAGCACCTTCTCTCACTCCCTCGGAATGAACACAATCATATAGCCATGTTTGGTGGTGTTTGACAATGCGTGTCGATGGTTATAAATGAGAGCCGTGCCCAGTTGTAATTGATCATAGTTGGCTATGCTTGTACGACTTTCTTGTGCTCTAGCACAACTTTTTTTTCCTCTGATATCTGTCATTCATATTTCAAATTATATTTTTAAAACTGGCGATCGTTTCAAAACCTCTTAATTATCCCAGAATTATAGGGAATTTAAAGATACAAGTGAAAAAATAGGAATAAAATGGGTATCAGAGAAAATAAAACTTCTCACTGAGTCACATCGAGCACTGCCATGGCCAGCTGTGACAAAGCTTTGCCATCAGTTTCAAAATCTCCTATTTATTAGAAAATGTCATTGGTCCTCTTATCATGACATCGTTTAATAAAAAAGACGTGTTTCATCCCTCTTAATTTTAAAGGATTTCATCCTCAACCATTGTGCACGCCTAAAAGTAGGGAAATCCCTCAGGTTTGGCCTCCTCTAGGGAGTGCTGCTGTCATAATATCTTTACAAGTGGTTTGATTTAACTTGAAGCTCTTCTCTCTCTCTCTCTCTCTCTCTCTCTCTCTCTATATATATATATATATATATATGTTATATATTTATACATAGATGGTTTCAGTAAATCCTATTCCATGCCAATCAGGGTCGATTCACTTTTTTTTTTATGACCGATATTGAGATTATTTGGAACTTATGTCGGCTGATATCTAGAGTAGAAATTTTAAATACTTCGAAGCAGTTGTCTGATTGAATGTCCATGGACTCAGTTTGTGTCGGTTTCTTGATAAGCTCCACAATATATCTTATTGAGATCGTAAGCCTTCTATATCATGGTCGATAATCTCCTAGGGGAGGCAATTGCACATATATGGATTCATGGTACCTTATCTATGAGAGGTGTCTCAATTTATATTTCAATATACAGAATTATGCCTCATATTTATAAATACATGGAACTTCAAAATTGAAGTCTCAGTTTAGGGTGTTTCAGGTGTTTTGGACTTTTCCTTGGACATGTTTTCTTGATTCAGATGGATATGATTATGAATTTGACCAGGGAAGTTGTCATAAGTTACCGGAGTTTTGGTAAGATTTTTGAGAGTGGTTTCTTTTTCTCTTCTTTATATTTTCTTTTGGTGTTGTCTCTAGTTTTCTGGCAGAAAGTAGTGGGTTGAACTGCTGGTTGTTTAATTGTGACGGAATTCAAATGGATGGTGGTATATGGCTCCTCTCTACCCACTCCTTGTTGCCTGTTTTTAGGCGTTTAATATTTGGAGAGATCAAGAGTTACTTCATGATAGCCTAAATTAGCCTTAATCTGGCTGATTGGATTCAACTGAATGATCAGAATCATACTTTTCTTATTTGGCTGTCACTTTCCCAGCTTATGGCTGGGAAACACGTTATGCATTACAGGCCTTCAGATTTCTCTCTCCCTCTTCTCGTCACAACAAAAAAGTCCACGACTTCCATCTTCTCGAATTACTGATCAAGGAAAAAAAACGTTTTCTCCTTGTCTGATATTGACCTTTTTTGTATTCTTTTTACCTCTCCCTGAAGTCGTTCTGGTAAGATTTACTCGTGAGAAAAATCAATCTTTTCCCTTGCAGCTATGGCAAGATTAGGAATTCCTTCGTCCTGAGTAACTCTCCCAACCTTAACATTCCATCTTCCTTTATTTCTCATGCATGGTAAAGGAATTGGTATATGTAAAGTGGCGTCTAAATCAACCTTACTTTACCATGATGTTGTCAACCGATCTGGTGGTACTAGAAAATATCGTTTACTTATATCGTTTACTTTCTATGATGAAATTTGAGTCGGTTGGGGGGTGGTGGGAGGGGCAGTTAACTCTTTGAGGTTTGTTTGTGTCAACATCTAGCATGCCCTCTTTTCTAATACTCTCCCATTATGATCTTTAAATGAATCTTCTCATGATCTATTTATCCAAGTACGGCTCTCTTGGACACTGCCATTATTATCTCTAAACGGATATCCTATTGATATTCCTGTCATGTAACAAGGAATTTGATGGCACTATTAGATAGCTTATCGGGTATTGATGGCACCGCTAGATCATCAACTGATCTAGCTTGTCAGGCTAGGTCATGCGTTATGCCTTATACTTTTGGATTGTCCCATCAGCCTGTCCACTTAATAGGATCTGGGTACTTTCTACTCATCTCTAGGACTGCATTTCCTCCTTTGTTTGTTTACTGCATCACAGCAGCTTGATACCTTCTTTATCCTTTTGACTCTTTACAAGTCTGTCCTTTCCTTCAAGTTTCTTCAATATGGTGCAATTCTCTCTTGTTTTCTTGGGATCTCCAGTATTAGTTTCCACAGTTCATATCAGACGTCTTCTCTTCTTCTTTTGATTTGCCTAATGCACTACAAGATGTCAGCCTTCTACATTGGCATCTGCTTAACAAAACATTACTTCTTCGTTAAAATATATCTTCGTTCTGCCTTCAGTTCACTTTCCTTACATATCAGATTCAGGTCGAAATGGTGTTTTTGATCACTTTTATGTTAAAGGAACCCTACTATTTTCGAGATAACTATTTACGATACAACTCGTCAGTAAAACTACTCATCTTTTATGTCACGAACCGGTTGAAAACCAGTGGGCACCCTTTCCCCAGTATTTTCGAATTAGTCATCTGATTTCTCTTCCAGGCTCTCGTTTAGGAGTAGGGTCCAGCTGTATAGGATAAATGGAATATATTGATCTTTCTTTAAAATATGTTTCTCTTGATACCAAGTCTTGCTGAGACACCAAGTCTTGTGATTGGGACCCCACTCTTCACCCCCTCTCATATTTGGTCCCAACTTTTTGCGGGGAGCCCATTAGTTTAGGGTGTGCAAAACGCCCAAGAGTCCGAGCATGGTGGGCTGAAAACGTACCTTTTGGTTTAAGCTCGCGAACAGTATGCAACCCTTTGATGTTTCTCCTAAACGTTTTGGGAGGGAAAGGTTTTGGCCGACTTGAGGATTGATGATCATATTTCATCCAATGGGGGGGTGGCGGGGCAGTCCGACCCCAACTAGCTAGACATAACGCATGACCTAGCCCTCTTGAAAAATCAGGCCGAGCTGAATTTAGTAGAGTTAGACACGAGCCAGACCCAATTTCAGTCTGAATTTCATGTTTAATTTGGCTTTTGGGTTTTAATCTAGTCTGTGTTTGATCGATGTGAATCAATGTTTATGTTTTTCATGTATGTAGTAATAGTAGTGTACTGAAAATTATACATGTAGGATAAGTTCAAAATGCTTCCAGGAATGACTTTCTGAGACGTTTCCATCTATAAGATGGACACATTTCTATTGCACAAGCCCATTAATCAGTTGTCAGATCAGGATTAATATGGGGGCTTTGGTTATGCATGGTTGGAGCCTCTTGTTGACGATGATCTCTGCGCGTTATCAAACCTCAGCTGTGTTTTTGACATACCTAATGCTAACTTAGGAAATCAAGCCATATGTTATTCTCAGTATTTCAGATGAGTTCTAAAATTTTCGTGCTAAAGAATAAAATGGATCCTCTGCCTGGGGAAAAAGGGAAAAAACATTTGAAAATATTTTTTGCCTAAACGTCAATGATTTGGGGGGAGGTGGGTCCTCGTCAGATACTATTGTGAGAAGCAGCTCAAAATCTCCGTCAAACTCTTTTGCCAAATTGTTGTCTGTCGGGTACCTTCATCTTCGTAGCCGAGTGGTTTGACTTTCTTTCTTGGTTGTCAGATCTACGTGGCCACAATCTTCTGCTCTGATTCATCTTCAGTGCTTGTTTGTGTGTTATCTTAAAAGAGAAGATTTTTTTACTTCCTCTTGTGACGCGTTCTTCTGATGTTTAATCATTCTGCTCCTGAATCTCTTTTCTTTTTATCAAATCCATCGTTTTATTCATTCGTTTGAGATAACCCATCAAGCGTATGTAAAACTTATGATATTTGCTCAGGCCACAAAAGCGCTCGGCGAGTGCAAAATAACTCTTGAAGAGTACGTCTTTACTCTAAAGATGGCTGTCAGTCTGAAGGCCCTGGTGGAAGCTGTGGGTATCGGCATAGAGAACTATGATCTCACTGGATTGGCCTCAGATCCTGCCAAAGCGACCCATGGGACATCCACTCGTGCTGAGATACCTGTTGGGAAAGCTTGTTCTTCACTCACTTCTGTAGACATCATCAAGTTTCTGACCGGAGATTTTCGGCTAAGTAAAGCAAGGTCTAATGATCTGTTCTGGGAGGCCGTCTGGCCTCGGCTGCTTGCCAAAGGGTGGCACTCCGAACAGCCCAAGAATAGCAGTTTTGGCACTTCAAGGCACTCCCTCGTCTTCCTGGTGCCGGTCATTAAAAAATTTTCGAGGAAGCTCGTGAAGGGGAAGCACTATTTTGACTCTGTCAGTGACGTTCTGAACGAGGTCGCCTCCGACCCAAGGCTTCTTGAGCTCGACATCGAAGGTCTGAAGGGGGATAATGGGAAGGATGAACATGGATGGGATGGAGGTAGCAACTTGGAGGAGAATGGGTCGTCTGATCAGCAGAATCATCTCTACCTTCGTCCTCGTTTGCCCAACTGCAACTCGGAGCTCATGAAGTTCACAGTTGTGGATACTAGCTTGGTCCACGCAGAGCCCCCATTCAGGGTCCGAGAGCTGAAGAGTTTGCCTGTGGATCCCACTATTATTGGCTATGGCGCATCGAGTCCATGTGAAGCGGACAGTAACAGCTCAGAGGACCAGCCGATCTCAACAGAGATGTCATTGACCGATGGCAAGAAAGTCAAGGAAGCCCGGAGACGAGTCAACAAAGTGGGAAAGTCCATGCTGGCTGATCGTGCCGCATCTGTTTCAAAGAGAAGAGTACTGATCAACAGGGAAGATTCCGATGGACGATACCCAAATGGGTCATCCGAGTTTGACCCCACGAAGGACGAGGAGTTCCAATTTGGTGTCGGATCGAAGAGTGGCAAGCCAAACTATCTCTCCCCCGTCTCAAAGAGGCAGAGGCTGACTGCTTGCAGAAACCCAGAATCTGTTTTCCGAGCATTATCCTCTGGAGATCTGGTGGAGAAGGAGATTGGTTGCCTGGTCAAGCCCATGGAAGTGAATGAATCGGTGGTTGCCGAGGCTGGGCTAGTGGCGAAAGACAGCCCCAATGAGTCGAACGAATACATTCAAAATGGCAACTGCGTCAGCACTTCTAGTATTGGAGAGGTGGCTATCCCCTGTGGGAAGACCACTCAGGCCAGAGCTTTGATTGATCTGAACCTCCCGCAGTTTCCCCCAGATTTCGATGCTTGTGAGGCATTGAACGCAGAGGTGGCGGACAACCAGGAAGACTTGAGTTTGAAGCTGGTCTCAATTCCATTGGGAGGGCAGAATCCTGCCAAACATCAGTCGTGGGAGTATTCTAATGGCGTGTCTAATGAGCCTCATGATACAGTGAACGCCCGCCGGCACAGCACCAGGAACCGGCCATTGACAACCAGAGCTCTAGAAGCCCTGGCATCTGGGTTCCTCGCTACAAGGCGGAAGGGTAAAGCCACAAAGACCAAGGTCTCCAGCAGTGTGGCATCAAGGTCCTCTAGACCCTCATACAAGACTGTGGAAACATCAGCATCGGCAACAACTGTCGACCGTGGAAGCGCTATCTGTGATCTGACGGACGCCAAATTTGAAGCAATGGAAGAAGAATGCAGCAGCAACCCTAATCTGCCATGAAATCCTTGTACTCTGCCTGTGTTCTCGGTCTCCATGAATGCTGGAGGCTCTCACATGCTTTGGCTGGGCTCTCGAGGAGACGGCTATATGTGCAGAGGTTGCTCCTGTCGGCTGGACGACATTGCTATCTGGTTCTCCTCAGAGACTATCGACAGCCTTCTGGTGGGGTCTCTTCTCATGGCAGAAGCTCCTGATCATCATGGCGAGGAGAAACAACACCAGCGCCCTCACATGCCAGAGGTCCTGTACAGCTTTGCGGCGGCATTGTAGGGTTTGATTGGTTGGATAGCGGATTCTATTACGCTCGGTTGCCCAAGGCGACGATGTATCTGAGAAGGGCCAAATGTGGATAGTGGCTAATATACATTCTTTGAATAAAGAAATCTCTCTCTTTGGGTAGTTGGGCTGCTCAGTTCTTCGGCCGGGATTCAGATTCTTGATTGTTGTTGGGCATGAGCTTCATTAAATAATCAAAACGCACTGTGCAACGGCCCCCAGATGTCCCATGCGGCAAAGAATTTGTCGACTTTTCTAGTTCCTCCTAGGAGAACATGTTTTTTTTCTTCATTGTATTATAGTCATGATGAGTCTGGATCCCCCAACCTTGCGTCATTTCATTCTATTTCTGGACAACTTTGCTCAGAGCATGAATTTGTGATTAATGTTGGATCTTGCAGAGGAGTTTGTTTGGATGACGCTCCTCAGGGGTTTTCCAAAAGATTAGGGATTTTGGGATGCCCCGCAACCCTACGTGTTCAGTTCTTTTCCTGGTTGCTGATTCCACCGTAGACATGGTCACTGCTGCGTAGGGGGGAGTGCCAGAATAGCAAAGACAATCACCGGGATCTTCTAGACTCGTTCTGCTTCAGAAATCGACTGTCATCACTGCCCCAGTGGCTGAAGCTTTCAGACTCCTCAAGCTCGAGGATGGTCCCGATCATGGAGGGCGTCTCCGGCGATCGTATCGCCACTAGCATCGTCCTCTTCATGAGATACCTGTTGTCCTTGCCAAAGGAGAAGGGGAAAATGAGGGAATCATGTACTGGCAACGTACTCCTCGCTGCTCTCCATGGCCTGCGTCGCCGCGGAGATCATCCTCTCATCTGCCCACGACCTCGTGGTTTACGGACGTCACCGCAGACATCGCCGCGAGTTGGCGAGGGCGTCTCCGGGTCACCAAGGAAGCCGGTCGGCGGCGCTGACGAGGATAGCCGCATTTTTGGGGAGGGTTGACCTTCTCACTTCCCGACCTCTGCCGCCAGTGACATACGCATCGGCCATGGTATCCCGCTCTCTCTCTCTCTCTCTCTCTCTCTCTCTCTGGGCTTGGCAACGGCGGCCATGGAGGGGAACCAAGTTCAGTAGTCCGTAGACTTTTGAGCCTTCGCGATACGGGTCAAGCGCATCTGGCTAAAATTTTAGACGAGACTCACAGTTATGCGCTAATCTATCTCCTTTTGCATGAAAGCTGTCTTTCAGTTATCATATAATTATTCTCAGTACATATGATTATTCTAGACGATGTAAATGCTCAGCTCCAAGAATGCTGGAGGCTCTCACATACTTTCTCCTATTTTAGACGAAGGTCTCGAATCTGGATGATGTAAATGCTCAGCTGCAGAAAAAAAAAAAGATTATTCTGCATCAAGGGTGATGTTAGAGAGTGAGGCAAAATAAATAACAGGTCCATCGCTCTGTGTTATCATTTACCAAACACTTTTTTCTGCCATGGATATGGGGGTTGTTAGAAAGTGATGCAAACTTAATATCAGGTCCCCAGTTCCATTCTCTCACTTGGCAAGTTTCTGATGAAAGTTAGTCATTGGTATAAATCACACGTAGCCTATGTCCTAAACCACTCTTATTGTCATACATGGTGCTGCTATTAATGGGGTCTACGTCAAGCTAGCTCGTCTGGAAGCTCCCCCCAGTTTCCTGCGAAGTCCCTTGGGTTATGGATCATACTATCCTCTCCGTGCCACTGCCGTCGATTTTCCATGAAAAAACAGCGTATCTTGCTACAGAGGCCTCTAGATTGAGCTTCTAAAGGTACTACCTCCTATGGTTATCTTGCTGCCTCCTATGGTTTACATTCCGTTAGAGATCACCCTTATTTCCAGCTAGGAGAGGAGAGGCTTGAAGGCGTTTGTTAACTGGTGAGTAGAACGAGCAGGAAGAAGCTTGATGATCTTATTGACGAACTTTGCGTGGATGAAGTGGCAACTGATCCCAATATGCTTTGTATGCTGATGAAATGTGGGATTATAAGTAATATGACGACCATCTTAACTATCACAGAATAAGAGTGTTGGGAGAGGATGATTGATGTGAAAATCAGAAAGTAATTATTTGATCCAAATTATCTTGGCAGTTGTGGTAGCCAACATATGGTACTTAGCTACTGTAGAGGAGTGAGAAATGGTTGGTTGATTCTATGAAATCAAAGAATCACCCATGAAAGTGTAAAATCCGCATATGAAAAGCGACTAACAAGAGTCAGGACAAGTCGTCAAGTCCAGCATCTGAAAAAATCCGAATTTGTAGAGGATTTGAACTAGAAAAAAAGAATTCCTTGTCTAGGTGTAGCTTTCCAAAAGGTGTGCTATTTGGGAAGTTTGAAACGTGATGCAGTCTTTGAGAATTGGGGGATTTGTCGACGTCAAAAATATAAAAGATTATTGATCCTTATGAGGGAAGACATGGATCCTAAAAAAATCATGGAAGAATTGAAGTCAAACATGATGTGCTATTGTCAATGCACTCGCTAATAATAAATTAAATCTAAGTGGTGTAAGAAGTACGGATTGATGGATCACCTGAAAAGGATTTTGCTAGAAAAAGCATTGGAGGACTCTATTATTTGAGATGTCATAGGGAATGTGTAAGAAAAAGGGATTAAATAGATGCCCATTCTATATAAGATGGATATAATTATGGCATCAGTCTACGTAAATAAGCATAATCATGCGCAATGAAGTATTTGTCTCAAGGGAAACTCGTAATGTAATCAGTCCCTCAAGGAGATAAAAAAGGAGGGTAACCATTCATAGATCTCGCACAGGTATAAGGAGCCTTTATATCAGGGAAAGAAAATAATTTAATGGAGGGTCACACTTAACTTCGATGCCACATTACGATGGTGAAAAAAGATCTACTGTGGACTGAAGCATGATAGACCTGCACTCGTCATGAGTCAGAATCACCTATGCAACGGACGGCGAGAGAGAACAAGAGAAAGAAAATCATTGTTTTAATTTCAGATGAATATAGTATTTGTACAGGTGCTTACATGTGTGAGTACACACACGGAACTGGTACACAATGTAAATGATTCCTCCTCGAGATTGGAGATCATCATTTGCATTGTTTCAGAAGTTGGCGACGAACTATACGGCTTGCTGGTGGCGTCACCTGGGGACATCGACAAGAGCAAGAAGATCTAACACACAACCACTCGTTGCACCCTCCCCCCGTGGTAGCTGAAGCCGCCAGAATGTGCACTTGGTGTTACGTCGGAGGACCCTTCTTGTGTATGTGAGTGTGACTTCTATGACATACGTTATGGTAGAGATCACCCTTATACTTGCCCATGATGTAAACGATTCCTCCTCCAGACTGGAGATCAGCACCTGCATTGCTTCGAAGACCGACGATGAACTTCTATGGCTCACTAGCGGCATCACTTTGGGACACCGACGAGGGCAATAACATCAAGGACTTAACCGCTCATTGCACCCTCCTACAGTAGCTAGAGCCATCAGAATGTGCTCTTAGTGTTACATTGGAGGAGTCTTCTTGTGCGTATGAGGGCAACTTCAGTCTATCAAGGGGTATCTATTGAGGGGCTTCCACAGGGCCTTTGAGATAGCCACACCCAGGGGGAATTCCACATTCTTTGTCCGGTGCCAGAACACGGCAAGGGGTGGCTGGTTAACTTTTTATGTTCATTTTCGGCCAGATGGCGATTCGCTGGGAAGATGCCGTCCTAACCTAGGCTGGTAATGATCCGAAGAAGACCACCCGGATGCATGTGTTGTTGCTTGTAGCATTTACGGATTGGGGGCTGCTCAACCATAGATTGTAAAAGGCTCTTCTTATGTTAGAAGAGTTTTTGTCATGTTTTGTATGTGTTTCATTTGCAACAATCATGTGGTGACGTATGAATTACAAGTCTATAGTATTATGGTGATTCAATACTCGAACTTTCGTCCAATAAAAAAATTACATTATTCTGGAAATTTTCGAGCTGTAAACTATACTTGTCTTTACTTTGGAATATAATTTATACTTTCTTTTGAGTCGACTTGACAAACTATCTGATAGAGAACTAATTGAAATTGAGTCCAGGCATAAAAATTAGAGGTTTCATTTTCATAGATATTTCACTTATATGTGATTATTCCAAGTACCAATCACAGCCAAGCCACAACTAGGTGCTATTAGGACTTTATTGAAGGATAATATACAAGTAATTATTGTAAAGAAAATAAATGAATATATTTATTATGATGTGACTTTGCATTAAGTCCCCAGCTTGGGGATATATGCAGCCTCCTCACTTGGGGACTGAAAATACTCAAACGGCACTTTTAAGGATACACACCATGTGGACTAAGTGACACTTGAGTTTTTATCTCCATTCTCTCAAGCAATGAGAGTGTGTGAAAAGGTATAGCACACCCACTATCTCTATGGACTAAGTGACACTTGAATATTTATTTCTAGATTCTCTCAGGTAATGAGAGTGCTTGAAAAGGCATAGCTTAGCCACTATCCCTGTTGACTAAGTGATATTTGAATATTTATTTCCAGATTCTCTAACGTAATGAGAGTTTGTAAAAAGACAGCTCACCCATGATTGCAATCAATAGCAGCTGATAGATAGAGGGATAAGTATGATAAGTATGCAGCCACTTTAACCAATGCAATTAAAAAGATAAAATAACCCCAGCACACCCCTTCACCTCTCATTAATAAAGAAAAGCATTTTATTTTAAAAAACTAATTTCCCCTCCGAATGATTCATTGTAAGGAGCCATTTTACCTCCAAAGGGACAATTAATCAGAATTATAAACAAGACTAGGAGATAGCAATAACATATTTAAAGGATATGTGATCATGTGAATATTCAATTTCTTATCACTAGAAACTAATATTGAGTGTGTGAAAGGATAGTTGGGCAGATTTAGTCTTTTTAGTAGGCCAAATACTTATTTTAGATGCATCCTAAAGGCATGCACTTTTGATGTGTTGATGGCAATCACATGTGTAGATTAAAGTTTTTGGATTTTTTCTTCTAATTTATGTTGTTGATAAATGTAAATTTAGTAAAAGATGTGCGTAGTTTTTACAGAATTTACTTGATATGAGTATGTGACATCCTAAGGTTGACATTTATGTTCAATTTAGAAGAATTGTTTGAATTTTTCATGTTTGTTGGTTTTCCTTTAGCTAAATGGCGTACTTGCATGAGACCATTTTACGACGCTTTCTTAGACAAATGATAAGGTCAGTTCATGAAAATTTATATCTCATAACTGCCACAATCAATTTGGTCATGTAGTAAAATATTATTAAAAATCAAGTATATGATTTCATAAATTGACTAGAGATTCAAAACCTTTAGTTATTACTCCAATATTAGGTTGAAAATTACATTTAATTTTTTTTGGGTTAATAGGGAAGCCCATTCCATATACGTTATTAGGAAGTCAAATGATGTCAAATATGTCAGTCCATACTTGATTTGGGATCTGATTATATAAAAGATCTTGTGGCCATGAAAAAATTGACAATAAGTTTGCTCATGAGCATGCATCGATATTGATGACATGCATGGGGTGGTCTTTACATTGCTCATTTTGCATATGATTCTTATAATGTTGTAAAGTATATAGAGTATCCGTTTATTATTTGACTCATTCTCAATAAGCAATTTGAGAGCTTATGTCATTGTCTTCAAAAGTAAATCTCATACTAAGTTTATGACAAGTAAATATGGAAAGTTCGGTGAGATTGAGATTTAGTGCTAATGTGCAAGGTTTGGTAAGCTTGGCCATCACAAAACGATATGAGTGTGTGATAATTATCATAGCTTGGCTTAAATTAAAATTTTTAAATAATTTTGATTTTTTTTAATTTATGCTATTTTTATCTTCCTCTTACAATTTCTAATTTATGTTGAAAAACAAATTGATGCGTATTCTCTCACATGTAATTCACTTATTAGAAAATATATACAAATTCCATTATGACAATATTAAAGGTATTATTCTAATATTTTATCATTACTTTACATTTTTACAATCTATAAATGGGTGTGCCATAGTTTTTTCATGCTAGTCAATATCATATGACATCAACTATATTGACAATGTACAGCGCATTGTGCTAGACAATCAATGAAAAAAATCAATATAATTAGAATTTATGTACAAAGATGTGGGCTACACAATTAAATAGATTTTAGAACACATCTTCCAGAATTTCAGAGTCGGTTCTGTAATCTTTTTTTATTTTAAAATTTTAAAAGAGCACATTTTCTTTAAGTATACACCTTTTTAGTATACTATATTCTTTTAGGGTTTAATATCATCTGATAAGAGTATAGTTAAATAGTGAATATTTGTAAAAATAACTGTGCTATGCCTCCTTGCCCCATAAGAACGATATTACTAGCTTATTTAAAAAATATCAAAATCCTAATAATCCGAATAATAATATTAATTTTAACGGTAAGACTATGTGTAAAACTTACAATATATACAGTTTACATGGACGACGTGGCCTCCCCATTTAAAATATATTTATAATAATATAATAAAATTTGAGGGGTTATATTCATAAAATTCTTGTTTATGGTTGAATTGAGGGGTTACCTTTCCTCTCCCCCGAACTTTCCTCGTCAAATTGAGGGCCTGTATGCATCATCTTCTTGCCCATCTCCCCAACCCCCGTCCCCTTCCCCGCTCCCTTCACTGCCTCGGGCCTAGGGTGCGGGATTTGATCAGGTAGGGTTCTGTGAGCTCGTCCAGAAATGGCCTTTTTTTTTCCTTCCCAGATGTAGCGCGTAGTTCGGCATCTCGTTGAGCGCGGATTTGTGCCGCGGCGGATTTTTTCGCTGCCTTGAGTCGTTCCGCGAATTGTGCGGAGGTGGCGTCGAGCTGCGGGAGCTTTTGGAGTTTCTTTTTATGGCATCGAGCCGAATCCGATCCCCTTCCGTGTTACCTTGCCCACCTCCACGAAATTAGCAAGCTGTAATTTCTGACCGTCAATCGGTGTAGGATCCACACAAGAACATTTTGATTGGCTTTTCAATTTGTTCGCAGTCTCATCTTTCAGGCATACTTTAGCTCGGCTTCACGTTTTCCCCCATTCTTATTCATCGAGCGGCGTCCCGTTTGGATTCATGGGGGAGTTTGAAGGCCGACAAGGGTTTCTTTCCTTTTCTCTCTCTGTTTTAGTGATCTCGTTTCATGGCTTTAGTTAACTCGAGTTGTGGTTCTTGGACGTGCTTCATGGTTTCCGTATTGATGTTTTGTGATGCCATATATTTGGTGTAGTTTGCTCGGCCAGGACATCGATTTGGGCGTGTGAGCTCTGTGAGCTCGGTATCATGGCTATGAACGAGAAGAAGACGACGGACTTAGAACAGGGATGGGAGATCATGCAGAAAGGTATAATGAAGTTAAAAAATATTCTCGAAGGCCTTCCAGAGACTCAGTTCAGTTCCATGGACTACATGGGGCTCTACACGTATGTAGTCCTCTTTAGTGTTTGTTTTTTCTGTTCTTCATCCTGCCTAGTTATGTGCATTGGTTGATAGAAACATATCTGCGTTCAGGACTATATACGACATGTGCACTCAGAAACCCCCTCATGATTACTCACAACAGCTATATGACAAGTACCGGGAGGCGTTTGAGGAGTACATCACTTCAATGGTGGGAAACAAGCCTACTTTTTGAATGGTTTTTTATGCGGCTAGCTCTTACAGTATATGCCCGGATGCATTTGTCGACTCTGTTGCAATGATATTCTTCACTGCTAGAGAGGGTTAAAGAACCTGTCATTTTGCCTCTCTTATGAAACTTTCATATCTGTATGATTTTTGGAAATTATCTTTAGATTTTCTTTTCCTCTCTTGTTTTCTATTTAGTACATCCATTTATACTGAGTCACGAACTGTTCAGTATGGTTTTTGGCACTTACGAGGTAGGGGATACCTTGTAGCAGGTTGGTGTATGCACGCTCAAGAACCGGTGAGATGTGAACTTTAAAGACGACGGAAAAATGGCATCCTGGGTTTCTTAGGAACTGTACTTTTATCTTTTAGACGGGGACTCGCATACCTTCTTGCCTGCTGATTGACGAGAGACTTAAAGAACCCCTACTTTTTTGAGATCTTTTCGTATGTCGAAAGAAAGTGAAACTTAATCTTTGTAGGAGTCCATAGTGCGACTTTCGTATGCATAAAAAGTCCCAATCCTTCAGTTTATCAAATGATCTCTTGCTGGACTAAAACATCTGGAGAGCCTGCACCTCAGTGTACCCTTGCACAAACATACGGTTGCTTGCCACTTGGCAGTCATCAAATGGCTTTAGAGAATGGTTGACATCTTTGCGTGTACTTGGGAGCTCTACCAGGGCTGTGATGCAATCTATTTTCGTAATATCCCAACCAAGTCAAAGTAATCAATGAAATCCTTATATTGTTATTAGTTTGTGACATTTGTATAAGGGACATCATGTCAAGATAAATAAACATGTTCTTGTTATTACACCTCTAAAAGATATGCTGTTGGGATGTTGGGGAACATTTGTATGATGCTTACAGCCTATTTCCATGGATTCTTGCTTTAATGTCATAAACAATGAACGAATATTTTTTATTTGAATTGGCTAGTTGTTCTGGTCTTAAAGTGGTTGTCTAGAAGATAATACTCTTGGACTTTTTTTCCGAGCTATTTACATTTCCAGGGAGAAAAAAAGGATATGGTGGAGAGGAGCAAAACAAGACCTTTTTTTTTTTTTGCAATAATATAATCTTATCATTGGCGTAGTAGAAATGTAGACCTTTAAGCTATTTGTCTATCTCAGGCTTCCTGTCCTCTATCATATCCTACTCAACACCTCTACAATAAGAGCAGAAGGGAGAGGAGACAAAGGTCTCCTTGCTTGCTTCCTCTAAAGCCTTGGAAGAATCCTGTAGGTACCCATTGGCAGGAAAAAATAATCTAACAGAAGTATGGAAGAATGTATCCATACAATCCGTCCCCGAAAGTTACATTAAATCAAGCATCTGGGAAGTCAATCCTTTCTCACGTTTTCATTGGCCCTTCCATAATAGAACTTTCAAAACTGTCTGGTTTGTAGAGTGTTAACTTGGGAATGATCATCCTGCAATTTGATCTGGTTATGAAACAGTGTACTCTTTGATGCTGATGCCGTGTTACTGTCTGCATCCAGAGCTATTTATTTCATATACCCCTGATTTATGTTCTCCTCTTCTTCATTTAGGTGGCATCTTTGAAAGAAGTAATTGTAATCTAACTTTCCCTTTTATCAGGTGTTACCATCTTTAAGAGAGAAGCATGATGAGTTTATGTTAAGGGAGCTTGTTAGACGGTGGGGAAATCATAAAGTTATGGTCAGATGGCTTTCTCGGTTTTTCCATTATCTTGATCGTTATTTTATTGCTCGGAGATCACTTCCTCCTCTCAATGAGGTTGGGCTTACCTGCTTCCGAGATTTGGTATGTTCCCTGTTCAACGATTTATATATGTGCGGAGATGCAATGACTTGCTTCTTGCTGCTTAGTTTTCTTATTATTTCTTGGGAAGATGCATTGACAGTTTTGTAATGTCAGGTTTATCATGAAATTAAAGGGAAAGTCCGAAGTGCTGTAATATCATTGGTATGTACTGTGTATCACATTATTTATCATTCTATTAATGTAATGCGTTTTCAACTAAAGAAAGTTTCTTAATTAGATTGATCAAGAGCGGGAGGGAGAGCAAATTGATCGAGCTCTATTGAAGAATGTATTGGATATCTTTGTTGAGATTGGCTTGGGAAGCATGGATTGCTATGAAAATGACTTTGAACAAGCAATGCTTGGCGATACTGCTGCTTATTATTCTAGAAAGGCAACTATCTGGATTACGGAAGATTCCTGCCCAGATTATATGCTAAAGGTGTCTCATCAACTGTAGTTAGGCTGTTTACTGTATTTAGTTTACTGACTGTATGAATCATTATATTTGCTTCAGGCTGAGGAATGCTTGAAAAGAGAGAAAGATAGAGTTTCTCATTACCTGCATTCAAGCAGTGAGCAGAAGTTATTGGAGGTTTGATTCTTTTCAACAATAGATCAAGGAATATCGGTTTTTCTGATTTATTGTAGCTTTGGCTATATTTATCGGATAATTGTTCTCTTCTGAAGCGCCTAACAGATCAACTTTTAAGTATTAATTTTCTTGTTGTATTTGATGTTTGTGTAGAAAGTTCAACATGAATTACTTTTCGTATATGCAAGCCAACTACTTGAAAAGGAACATTCTGGGTGTCATGCCTTGCTTCGAGATGATAAGGTTCATAATGATTCATTTCATTGTTTCATTAATGATACGTTGTAAAACAGTGATTATATGTATCTGACGTCGATTTTATTTTTTTTAAGGTTGACGACCTTTCAAGGATGTACAGATTATTTTGTAGAATACCACGTGGCTTGGACCCTGTTGCTCAGATATTCAAACAGGTCGAACACAATTCAATCTGACATGTTTGTGTTTCTATTTAATCACGGGAATTTAACTCATCTGATTTTGGTATTTATGCGTGAATTTTCTCTACACAGCATGTTACTACTGAAGGCACAACATTGGTCAAGCAGGCAGAAGACGCAGCAAGTAACAAAAAGGTAATTGCAAGTGAATTTATTTTCTCGTATGTTTACTTTGGAAATATTACATATGATAAAGAATATCTATCAAAAGAATGACATGGAATATATTGGGAATTTGTCCCCTGAAGATGGCTCATGTAGAAAAATTTCTCATATATGTTTAAGGAACCATCCTGTCACCTAAACATTTGATATTGAAGGTGTCTGATGAAGTGGGTTTGATTAAGGACATATATTGGTGCTTTCTCCTCAGAAGACGATGACACTGCTAAAATTCATGATCTAAGAGTGCTTCTACCACGGTCTGGACTAGTGACAGAACTGAAGATAATAGAAATCAGCATCCATGATAAATTGTGGATCCTTTTCCTTTTTTTGGCCCGTGAAAAGGGACAACTAACAGTCACTTATTTGTCTTGAGTCTATCATATTAGAAGATATGCAGAAAGGATGAATAGCATGGGACAATTATAAACTTAAGCACTGACTTAATATAAGAAGGAAATTAGGCATTGACGAGATTGAATTATTGTCTGGTGGCATAAGCTTTGCCTGAAATGGCTTTATTACGTCTTACTTCTGGAACCATTTTGGTGTTTGACCCACTACATGCCACTTAGAAAACTATTGAAACAATCTAATGCTTCTTTCTTTGTTAAAGATGTTACCAATAATGAAAAGATCTTACCCTGATTAAAGTAAAGAAGACTTGTGGAAGAAGGGCAGGAATAAATTGCTGGTTTGGTGAAGACAAAGATTTATGGCGAAGCCTTATTGGCTAAATGCCCTAGAAGGCTTGCTGAAGACAGCTCACTATGGGTATGCATAAATTCCGGGAAGACTATAAGAGTCGTCTCAAGTGGATCGTGCATGCAACTTATAGTCTTCTATCATGTTTCTCCTGAGAAACATTGTAGAGGAAGCCCATTTTTCGGAAAACATACTTTATTTCCATTTAGCTGATGGGAATTCTCTAAAGTTTTTGGAGACTAAATAGAGTTCTCCGCAAGGTTCTCTCGATAATACCAGGCATGAAGTTATCAACAGACCATAGGAAGAACTTACAAAAGTTGACATTGCCTTTGGCAGAGGCATTCCAGCAATTTCGATTCGGAGTGGGCTTCAGTGCGATGTTAATGGAAGAATAAAGGCCTCTGTTCCTGAGGTGGAAGATAAAACAGCTTGTCAAAGAACAATCGGACAGTTTTTTCTCAGTGAAATCATTTGTTATGATGGTGAAGGCGGTTATGGAGTGGTGTTATGGGTTGTTTCAACAGAGTTTTATCCCTTCTAGAGGCTCGCAACATATGATAAAATTGCTAAATGCAACTTGGACATAAGACTGACGACTTAATTGTGTTCCTCACAAAGAACGGCCGACCATCCTTTGGCTTGTTAGAGGATTGTAATGGTCCTATGGCAATAAGAGATCAAATTCTTGAGTTTCTATGACTACTGTCTCAGCGTTCATAGCAAAATGGGCGGATAGCTGAAGAAAAATGCCTGGAAGCTGAAGGTCTTTTAGGAATTGGAATGTTTTATTATGACAAAACAAATCTGATTTGAAGTTGAAAACATCAGCTACTTTCCTTGGGGGCTCATGGAGCTCCAATGTTGATAAAAAGAATTTATGGGACAGTAGGTTCCATATGGTGGCTCGCGCAGACAGCTGAATCCTTTTCCCAGAAACGACCAGTTGCGCTTATAGAAAGTAGTTCAACTACTTCAGAAGCCTAGACTTACATTATGGTTGTCTTCTATTTCGCTTCACATATGAATGTAATTTTTTGTTTCTGTGTTAAGATTTAGATCAGACATCTTATATTTTCATAATATACTCTCGGTCATCCTTGCAAAGGTGTCTGGTACTGGGATTATCTTTAGTGCTATGCAATTTAATATCAATATCTGTTGGTTCGTATGACTTTTAATATTGTTGGCCAACATGGCTACCGCTGTCTGATATTGGTTACTTGGAAGCCTGTGTTTTGGTTCTTCTTTCTGATTTCTCTGCTGAACATGGATGTCTTATGTCGTTTATTTACCTTTGGTTTTAGTTGGTGTAAATCTATTTTATTTAAGAGTCATCTTTGCTGCAGGCAGAGAGAAGGGACGTGGTTGGTTTGCAAGAACAGGTGAGTCTTACACATCTTTTCATTTTATATGATTTATTTTTTATTTTTAACTTTGATTAATCATTTTCTGATTCAGGTTTTTGTCAGAAAAGTAATCGAGTTGCATGACAAATACCTGACATATGTGAACAATTGCTTTCAAAATCACTCTCTCTTCCATAAGGTCAAGACTGGTATATGGTTTTCTCCCATTAATCGAATATTGTTCAATACAAGTTTTAATTTTTTTTCATTTTATCTCTGATGTAGGCGCTTAAAGAGGCTTTTGAGGTTTTCTGCAACAAAGGGGTGGCGGGCAGTTCTAGTGCTGAGTTGCTGGCTACATTCTGTGATAATATTCTTAAAAAGGGTGGGAGTGAGAAACTAAGTGATGAAGCAATTGAGGAAACACTTGAGAAGGTAGCCGAAGTTTATTGATTTCATTTGAAGTGCTTTTGGTCTTACACATGATTACTAAAAATGCCCACATTGTTTGCAGGTTGTAAAGCTGCTGGTATATATCAGTGATAAGGACCTTTTCGCTGAATTCTACAGGTGAGAGTCTTTTCCTCTGAGAGCACATTTAGTTTGTATTATTATTCTGTTTTGATGCGTATCTATGTTTATTTATCAGAAAAAAGCTTGCACGGAGGCTTCTTTTCGATAAGAGTGCCAATGATGACCATGAGAGAAGCATCTTAACGAAGCTGAAACAACAGTGTGGAGGGCAGTTCACGTCCAAGATGGAGGGCATGGTCTCTTGAAATCCACTGACTCTTCGTTAATAAATTTTTAATTAAAGCTGTGTTCTAATTGCATCATTCTGATGGCCACGTTTTGCATGTAGGTTACTGATTTGACTTTGGCGAGAGAAAATCAAACCCACTTTGAAGAGTATCTTAACAGTAATCCTCTTGCTAATCCTGGGATTGATTTGACAGTCACTGTTCTGACCACTGGATTTTGGCCGAGCTATAAATCCTTTGACCTTAATCTTCCTGCTGAGATGGTGAGGACTAGTTTCTGATTATATAAATATTTTCCTTTTTAAAAACGCTCATTTTTTCTACGCCACGCTTTGCATGCTGAATTTATGTGATTTTTTGGCTCAGGTCAAATGCGTAGAGGTTTTCAAGGATTTTTATCAGACAAAAACCAAGCATAGAAAGCTAACGTGGATATATTCACTCGGCACTTGCAACATCAATGGCAAGTTCGAGCAGAAGACCATGGAACTGGTTGTGACAACGTATCAGGTGAATTCCCAGCTGTCGTATTGCTCTTTCTTAGGGGTAAAGCAAGCATCTCCCCCCCCCCCCCCTTCTCCCTTTACTGACGCCGTTTGACTGCTGCTTTCAGGCCTCTGCACTTCTGCTCTTTAATGCCTCGGACAGGTTGACCTATTCTGAGATCATGGCCCAGTTAAATTTGACGGATGATGACGTCGTTAGATTGCTTCACTCCCTTTCATGCGCCAAGTACAAGATCCTCAACAAAGAGCCGAGCAGCAAAACCATCAGTTCAACCGACACATTTGAGTTCAATTCTAAGTTCACAGACAAAATGAGGAGAATAAAGGTCTGTTCTCTTCTTCCATCTTCTGGGATTTATTTACTTATTGAAATAAATAAATAAATAAATAAATAAATAAAGTCATACTGCAGATCCCTCTCCCTCCCGTTGATGAGAAGAAAAAGGTCATTGAAGACGTTGACAAGGACAGAAGATACGCCATTGATGCTTCAATTGTTCGAATAATGAAAAGCCGCAAGGTCTTGGGCCACCAGCAACTGGTGATGGAATGTGTTGAGCAGCTTGGCCGGATGTTCAAGGTAATATTAATCTACCCTTCTCATCTTATTTTCATGGAAGCGCATGCCTGATCGATTTCCATATTATTCTCTTGACGGCCAGAGTTTTTTCTTTTAATCCCAAACCCCATTCATGGCGGGCTTTCTACCCTATTTTATCTTGTGATATCATCTTTTTTCCAACGGAGAAAAGGCCAAAATTATCAGCGGGTGAAGTTAATTTCCCCGGCTCCCATAGATAGAAAGGTGGCCAGTTATAGCCAGCTGACTCGTGGGTGCAGCCCGAGTTTCAGCAGCTTTCCCCCTAGGGAAACCAGAGCGACTCCTTCATCCCCAATGGAGTTATGGGGAGGGATGGAGAGGGTGGAAGGAGGTGACAGTGCAATTCTTTTCATTCCATGGGGCCCTTGGCCTTCTGCTGTGGGCCCCCAATCGCCCCTCGTTTCCTTCTAAGGGTAAGTCAAACCGAGACATCTGCTATCTGCCGCCCACAGGGGAGCTGAGCTGGGCATTGAGGCCATGAAGGGTGGCTGCATTTTATCAGTAGAAGAGCCCTCCTTCCTTCCTTCTACTTGCTAAAAATAGCTTCTGTATCAGACCAGAAAATCTCCCAAAGACTTTTTTTTTAGGGCCATTCTTAGTATGGATCAGTGATTCCTATCTGATTCACTGTTGGTACCTTGTACCCTGTTCTCCCCCCACCCTTCTCTCTCTCTCTCTCTCGCTCGCTATGGGCATATATCCTCTGCTCTGCAACAGCGCCTGTGGAGTGGTTTCCCTCTCATCTTGAATCAATGTGAGTGGTTTGGATGTGCAGCCGGACTTCAAGGCCATCAAGAAGAGGATCGAGGATCTGATCACCCGGGACTATCTTGAGAGGGACGAGGAGAACCCTAACATGTTCAGGTACCTGGCCTGATTGATCCTTGGCTCTTCTCTGCTCAGAGGCTGTGAGAAGCGGCGCCGGCTTGGAAGGCCCTTTCAGAATGGCCCCGGGCCTTCCGGGCAAAGCTCTATTATTGCTATTTACGGAAACATCGCGGTGCTTTTCTTGTACATCCACGAGCCACATCCCCTTTCCCATCCCCGTCTCTCTCTCTCTCTCTCTATCTCTATCTGTCTCTATCTCTTCTCACGGGTAAGATTATTATGGGCGCTGTGCTCCTGAGAGCTCTGCACATTTTTATCTTCTTCTGTACTCGAGTGTATGATGTCTCCTGTTGACCAGGGTCTGTCTTGACTTTGAATGGGCGGCCTGCTGGGGCAGATCCCAAGATTTTAGGGATTACCCGGTGATGGTCGACTTGGGGCTTGGACTTCTGCTCTTTCTGGTGTGGTTCTCTCTCTCTCTCTTTCTCTCTCTTTAGATGTATGTGTATACCATATACCAGTAGACTTGGCTTACTTAGGTTCGAAGCTCAAAACAGGGGAAGAGATGCGTGCGTTACATCATAACGAAGGGTGGGGCGTGGCTTTAGTGGTTAGAGAGAGAGAGAGAGAGAGAGAGAGAGAGAGAGGGAGAGATTTTTGGTGGGCCATGATTCACGAGTCTTGAATGAGAAGGGGCCACCGAGTATTAATGGCCCGGCCCATCACTAGTCATCATCATGGGGGAGGCCCCTCCATCTACCATCTCACTCACTCACTCACTCGGGCCATTCGATGAAAGCTCCCGCCGTTGACGCCGACCCGCAGCAGTAGCCGTCCAAGACTACGCGGTCAGCGGGCCAGCCCCAGTCCTCAAATGAACTCAGCTCAAGCCCCAGAAATGGTCTCATTGCCTTCTTACAGTGGGCGATAGAGAGAGAGAACAAGTGGGGTTTGACCTGGACAGGGGCCCATTATTAGGGAAAGGGCTGGGCGTATTTCCCTTGCTGCTGTATCAATGATTCTCAAAGGTACAAAGAAAAACTGTGGCTCTTCTCTTTTTGGTCATAAAGAAGGAGCATATTCAGATCTATTCTATGTTGATGCATGTTTGACTTTGGCATATTTCTTTCCTCTTTATTAATCGTCTCACACCCAAGTCAACTACTCTCTCTCTCTCTCTCTACTCTTCCTCTCCCATTCTCAGATTGAATCTCTTTTTTAATTAGAAAAATAAAATGAAATAGATAAGAGCTTTAATGGGTAATTCGATAATTTAGTTCATGGGGTCAGATTGTACGTACTATGTCGGTGCGCCACCACCAGGAGATGACCGGACCGAGGGTTCACGGCACCGACGCTGGAGATTCAATGCCGGCTAAACTGACGGTCCTGGTAACGTGGGCTAACGAAAGGTCAGCCGGGAGTAGACGGGGAATGGGAGGTTTCAGTAACTGTCGGTAAAAGAGGGGGGAAATGGATAATTTTCCAGGAAGAGGACACGCCTTCGCTCCGGTCTCTGTTGGCGGCTATAAAACGGAACGCACCAAAAGGGACCTCACCTCGTCTTTCAAAGCTTTTAAAGCTACTCTAAAAGAGAGAGAGGGAGAGAGAGAGAGAGAGAGAGAGAGAGAGAGAGAGAGAGAGTGAAGGACGGTCAGCGCACACCTTCCACTGGGGGGATCAGCGGCAAGAGGGGAAGAGGCGGGTGCGGCCAGTTGAGGGTGGCGATTGCAGAGGTGACGGGTGGGGAGTGGGTGGGGGGGTAGAGGGGAGTGAGGACGTCCTCCTCTTGGGTGGACTGAATTGGTGAGGATCCCGCCTGCTAGAACTGTCTTTGAGAGCTCTAGCTCTCATCTCCGCCCATGGAAGAAGGGGGATTCCACCCAAGTGCTGACACCGGCCTCGAAGGTACGCCCTGCACTACTCCTTCTGATCACCGCCCCCCTCTTCCCTTTTTCACGCCCCCCGCTGTTTTTGTTTCTGTCTGCCCCTTCTTGTCTCTTTGTTCATCCGGAGTGCGCCGACGCCTTTATTTTTAAATTTCAACCTGTGATGTTCTCGTGGAGCACGCGGCCTCGCTTGCAAATTTTGGGGGAAGTAGTGCGGGACTAATTGTCACGGAGTTTCTGATGGAATTCTCGACATTGGAATATACTAGATTCCATGTGGCAATTGTCATTTGGTGGTGGCGGCAGCAACAAATCTGCGTATCCAGAGAGGCCTGGAGAGCCTGAATGCAACTACTATATGCGTACTGGGCGGTGCGACTTTGGCGATAAGTGTCGCTTCAATCATCCCCGCAACCGTGTGGTAAATGTTTTACCTTTTATGAAACCCTTTCACCCCTTTGATAATGTATGTAATTTTTCCTCCTATTAGTGGCTTTTATTCTTCCCATGATATCACTTTAAGAAGTTGTTGAATGATCCGAGTCATAGGGGCTCTCGCAAATCACAGAATGAAAACTCCCTGGATTTGCATTCATGTAGGTTTTGCATTCATGTAGGTTTTTCTGGTTTTTTAATCTAATGGCGTGTGGAATTATCTCAGATAAATGCAGCTGCAAGTCCAGGAGTGGAATATCCCGAAAGAGTGGGTCAGCCAGTATGCCAGGTATGGCTTCCAAACCCTTTTCTTTCACTGCGTTTGGATTTTGGGGTGGTGGACTGATGCGCAGTCTCTTATGACATAGGTTTGATCGCCCACTTTTAGTATTTATTTTGTTGCCAAAAAGGAAGGATACTAGTAATGTGAAAACCCTGAAAACTCTCTTTTCTATGCTCTCTTTTCTTATGTGCAGTATTTTTTGAAGACTGGGAGCTGCAAATTCGGAGCCACTTGCAAGTATCACCACCCAAGGCCGGAAGAAGCTGTTAGCCCGGTTCAGCTAAACATCTTTGGATATCCCATGCGCAAAGTTTGTAATCACTCCATTACTTTGCTTCTAATTCTTCATTTATTTATAACTATTCCGTCATTTCTTTGGGCGCTGCTTCTTGGTACCGTTTGTGACTGTTGAACAAATGCAGGGGGAGAAAGAGTGCTCTTACTATATGAAAAATGGGAATTGCAAGTTTGGTGTAGCCTGTAAATTCCACCACCCGCAGCCTGCCTTCACATCAGCGCATGAACCCGCGTATCCATTTTATCCATCATTGTTGTCACCTTATCAACTCTCAACAATGGCCAGCTGGCAAGGAGCAAGGACTCTCCCACTGAGTTCGGGGTCCTACGTACCAGGGCCTTATGGGCCTGTATTTATCCCTACAGAGACGATTCCAGTCCCCGGATGGGGTCCCTACGTGGTTGGCTTAGTTCTGTTGGATCCATTTCTTTCTCCTCATTAAATTACTGTGACAGGTTCTGAAGAGGTTAAGTTGACAATTTATTCCTTTTTTATTTTCTTATTTTTTATCTTGTAGCCTCCAGTTAACCCAGTTGTGCCTCCCAAGAGCCGACCCACTGATGAAGAAGGTTCGCTCTATGGATTATCCCACCAGCTATCTCCATCTGCTCCTGCATACAGACGAACTTATCAACCAGCACCGCCCTTTTCTTCGCCTCCAAATAATGGCCAGCGAGAACAGTTATTACCAGAGAGACCTGATCAACCAGAATGTCAGTACTACAAGAAGACAGGGCAGTGTAAATTTGGATCCACTTGTAAATTTCATCATCCACCAGAGAAGATCATCCCGAAGGCCAGTTATTTCTTAAATCCAGTGGGCCTACCTCTTCGACCGGTATGTATGATCATGTACCCTTTCATTATTAATATTTCTAAGTCACTCAACCATATCTGTGAACTCGTATTTATTAATGTGCGTCCACAAGATTGTGGACTTCGCTTCTATCATGTTATTTGCTCATATGGAATGGAGTCAAAAGTTTTTTTCTGTTCAGTTTCATTTGCAAATCGTCAAAAATCAAATTCTCAATATCAGTGAGAATTCCATGCTCCAAAACAATGTATCTTTGGCATATGAACGTGCTAAAAAATTACTTCATAGATCTTCATGGCAAGAAGCATCGTGTTTCACTCAAAACTTGAAAATCTTCGTTTTAGTTAGTTGGGAGGATCACCGTTAACATTCAACCATATATTAGCTAGGTGTGATTCTATAAATGTGAGGATCACTCCTATGCTTTTGTGACTGGTATCGTTTTCCATCCTTCCTGAATTGTGGATATCCTTTCCCATTGCTGCCCTACTTTGCTCTGAAAGAGATTCTTCTCTAAGATATAATGATCCAGCAATTGTCTCTGCTGTACTAATAAATTTTTTTCTTGCACAACAGATCCGTCATCTTTGTTCAACATTCTGTCCTCTATCTTTCCCCTTTTGACATTTCTTGAATTTTTAATTGACCGAATCATTATGTATGGATAAAGGAATTTATAAAAAATAGGCCGGGTAGTATCATTGTACTGACTTCGACTGACTTGGCTTTCGTATCATTATATATTCGTTCACTCAGTGATTCTGCTGGCCCTAATTTGCACTGGAGATCGAAATTTCCAATAGCCAATCTAACCACCACAAGTTGCGCTGAATTGCTTCTGGTCTGTGTCATAATTTAGTGTTCCATCTATTTGCCATATTTGTCACTTATCCAAACTTATGCAAAACTTTATTTTTCTCTTCCTGTTGGTTTTTGGTTCAGAACAGGGCATCTTATCTCTTGAATGGTATGATCTTTTTCCCGAAGGAGCTATATGAACATTTGTTATTCACATTTCCGTGGATCATATTTTACAGTATTTGATGCTGTGTAGCTAAGGAAATATTGACTTTGATTTTTCTTTTTTGGACCTTGGTACCTGTGTTTCTTTAAACCATTATTCCCTAGCCATCTTCATCGCAAGGTTGTCATTTTATTTCTACATGTCTTACCCTGGTTCTTCGCTTGGTTTTATGTGTTATTCCCTCCCAGTTGAGATAATCTTTTGAGCTGATTAATTTTAAATAAATGTGTATACACTAGAATCAAATGTACTAAAACAATCACCACAGAGATGCTGTGAAAAACGCAGAATAATTCAATGTGTACGTCTTTCAGTTTTTATTGCTGATTACATAGGAGAGCATATGCCTTTACTGCCAAGTCAATCATGGTTGGCCACAGAATAGTGTTTAAGATTTCATTCGACTTATCATCCATTCCACAGGAAAACAACGAGTTGCCCCTAATTCATTCGTGACAACTTCCACTGTGATCTACCTGCATTTTCAATTCCTTCTCATGTGGAGGAAGTTAACTGCGTGCTTTAAATAAATCTCAAATATGTACCCTGCTTCAGAATTTTCCCTAACCTTATTCCTACATCTTACATATTAAAATTAATATAATGTTGGCTTGCATCCTTGACCTTTTCTTCTTAAGGAGGATCCCATTTCTGCAGCCTTATGCCCTGTTCAAGTACTCCTCTATCATGGTGTTTGATACTTATTTGAAGGAAATTGTCAATAAAGGTTTAGAGCCATTCTGTGTTAAAATTTTATTGGAAAATTTATAATTTCCCCAACTTTTTCTCTACTTCTTATGTATGATATGGGTGATATATTTCCAGGATTGTATTTCATATTCGAATGAACCTTGTAATCGTAAGAAAGTGGGCTTTTTAGCTATGGGCCTAGCAAAAGAAAAAACAAGATAGGTTCCTGGAGGATTCCCCTCTTCAAAATCGTCAAATTACATCTAGGCGGAAACTATGAAAATGATTCACTTTGAAGCCCCCATTTCTAGGAGGAAACTCTTCAAATATATATAAGTGAACTGTTGTACTCAATATAAAAATTTTGTGATTTTTTTTTGATATATTCTTGTTTATGTTCTGTGGGCTCGAAATTTATGCTCCAATCAGCATTTTGTTAATTATTTTTTCTGACTATTTTTTGAATGAAATTCTCAAACAGGGGGCTCCGTACTGCATTTTCTTCGCTCAACATGGGGTATGCAAGTTCGGTCCTTCTTGCAAGTTTGATCATCCGATGGGAACCCTAAGTTACAGCCCATCAACATCTTCTCTCGTCGACATGTCTGTGAATCCATCCTTATTTTCTACTGGTCTAAGGCACGGGGTTTCACCCAATACCGCATTTAGTATTTCCACGCTTTCTCATTCCTCCATGCAAGCTCCTCTTCCTCAGATTTCTACTCCAAGTAGCAACAGCTGCAATGGCCCTGCTGGTGAGGGCACCACATCTGGTATAGAAACGCAGTGACCATTCTTCTTCATCTCTCTCCACATCTAGTTCCACAGACACAGGTCCGCACTCTTTAGGGCGTCACTTTTACCCATGCTCCTCGAGCCATAAACCCTAATTTCAATAGCTCATGTTCTCATTCCTTCTCCACTGGGTGCATGTTTTTTTCAGGTATCCTTCGTTCTCTGGGATCAAGGGTTTTATTCTTATAATCATCACACCCTCCACTCTGCCCAAATTAGTTTGTCACTCTTCTCATGTCCATATGATATTTATAGCCCAACCCCCCCCCCCCCCTCTCTTCTTAAATAAGTTATTGCCTCTGTTGCAAAGGTATAGCAGAGACTACAACGTCCCCCCCCAAAGCCTAATAAGTAAACTCCTTTACATTAAGGCCAAGCTTTGCTCCCTCACCTTCTATCTCTAACCCAGAAGGATTATCCTATTTTATGGTATCTCTCTCTCTCTCTCTCTCTCTCTCTCTCTCTCTCTCTCTCTCTCTCTAGAGTTTCTGTGTTTAGAGTTGACCTCTGTCGAAAAGGTATAGCAGAGACTCCAGGGTCTCTCACCCCGAGGCTAATAAGTAAAATACCTCACACTATGTTTAGACCAGCTCTTCATCCTCACAGTCCAATCCGGAAGGATGATCCTATTTATGGTCCTTTCTCTCTCTATCTCTCTCTCTAGGGTCTTCTGGGCAGGTTCAACTGGCAACCTCTTTGAAGGATGAGGCGTTATCCCAAATGGATGGCATATTTTTCTGATCCTGTTCGTCATTAATGTGGAAGATTGCTCCAGCGAGCTTCTATTTGCAGCTGTCCAGGAGAACTCTGAACCAGGAGGACTGGGTGAGTACGAGTTTCGGGGAAGAGAGAGAAACCCTCTGCCTCTGCCTCTGTCTGTCTTGGTGAGTTGAGGCTTCAGAACCCAAACTTTTTGAGAGATTTCAATCCATATATGTGGTGACGGAGGCTACTTTTTATGAAAAAAAACTATTAATTCATACTGAAAATGGTTTACACTTGGAAATTATTCAGTTTAATTATAGTTTTAGGGTCGGCCATCCCCAGCAGATATACCTCACGCCACACAGATAGATAGATAGAGAGAGAGAGAGAGAGAGAGAGAGAGAGAGAGAGAGAAAGTTTTATGAGAAAAATCTTAGATGAAGATGAGTTGATTTGTGAAGTGCATAATGATTTTAGCAGCATTGACATTAGTTGGTCTATTTTCCATTAAACTTGATTATGACTTATAACCTAACATCATCTTTGTTGGGTCTCTCTACCATTCTTCATTGGAGATATGACACGTATATGTACATTTATATACAGATATATATCTATAGAGAGAGAGAAAGAGAGAGATAGCTAGAGAGAGAGAGAGATTAGTTGTCATATTTTATTTTGAATAATAAAATATAGGTCCAAGCTAAGTCTTTATTTTGAATATTAAAAGTAATCTACCTAATTCCCTATATTTCTTGGATTAGTTGATGAAATTCCTGAGTCAGCTAAGTCAACTTGACTGAGGATTCTCTCTCTACAAGAAAATGGAAGTGGGAAGTGCATGTTTCCATGTGGGGTGATGTGCAAGTGCCATGTGGCTGGCAAAGAATATACGACCTTTTGGAGTGGACCCCACTGAAGCGCAAACCCAGCTTCAGCAGGAAATCCATTTGACCTACTCGTTGCAAAAGAATTACTGTGCCTAATTGCGCCTAATTTTACTGATCACCTGCTCAAATCATTTTTTAGTATTTTTATTTCATATGAAAATATCTTAATTAGGAAAATGACAGATATATTTTAGTAACTTAGGACGGATTACTTAGCTTGAATATTTTCCCAAAAAATTACCAAGAAAGGTAATAAAATATTCTTATAAAGGGTAAAACCGCAAATATTTAATTATTGCTTAGTTCAGGGTAGCTCGAGGAATGAGATGCCACGTGTCTTGCTCTTGAGGAGCAGAGCGACATTGCACAGGTTTTCTCCGGAGAGGGGCGCGATTGTCTTAAGAAATAATTAGAGGGTCTAATCTGCAAACATTAGTTTGGTCCCCCACCTCTCTCTCTCTCTCTCTCTCTCTCTCTCTCACTTTCATGTTCTTTATTCAGCAAACGAACCCCACACCAGCAATCCTGACGTCACCCAGTGGCGGGAATTTTCGAGCTTCTTCGATCCCTTGCCCAGCGGCATTCCTCGTCGGAGCTGACGACTGTGGCGGACGGTGGATCTCTATTCACCACCCGCAGTCGAGTCCCCATCGCCGTCGCTGTCAAGGAGATCGCCGCCCCTCCTCCCGCAATTAAGGTCCGATTCCCCCGCCGGAAGAAGAAGAAGAAGAAGAAGAAGCTCTGGAGAGATCGTTAATGGTGGTGAGCAGCGGCCGAGCTGGCTTGTGGTCCTCCGAAACCCTAGTTGGCGTCGCTGGAGGCGGCGCTCGCCATTGCTTCCATTTATTGTCCTCCTCCGTCGCCACCGCCGCTGTTGCTCCGGGAGAGGTATGGTCCATTTCTCGGTGACGCAGGCAGGTGAGCTTCAGATGCTCCCCTCCACATTCTCTCTCCCCTCGAGACATTGTTTATTCTCCACTGCCTGCCATGGCCGGAAAGACGGAATCAAAGTCTCCCACCGGCTCAGTGGGAAACCAGCCTCCTATTTCTTTAGAATCCCTCAGGGTCTCGTCGATGGTTGGAGCTCCTCCGGCGGTCGTTCTTCCCCCCTCCGCCGCCCGTCACTTTCCCCACAAAGACACTGGAAAGATAGCCACAGAGGGAGAATTAGATATAGGGGAAGAGAGAGAGAGAGAGAAAGAGGTCCCTTGGGTGGTGAGGGAGGTGTAGAAGTTTGGCCAATGGAGGTTATCTGTGATGGGGTGGCTGAAAAGGGTGCCACGCTTTTATGTCACTCAAAGGGAGGAATGGGGAAGGAGTAGGTGTGTTTCTGCGTTCTGGTAGGAGCGGGGACGGAGGAGGAAGGTGGAGGAGATGGGAGTTGCCATGGTCGGAGACTTGAAGCCGAGCTCCTCGGCGAAGAGGATATTCCGTCAGAGCTTCAGCGCTCGCCATGGTGCCGACTGGTGAGCTCCTCTTCTCCCTCTCGTTCGTCGCCCACTTCATCTTCCGCCACAAGCTCTCTCTCTCTCTCTCTCTCTCTCTCCACCCCCTCTCCCCTCTGAACCATCATCGTCCGTCCGCTTCATCTTCTTCGACGACGAGCTCTCTCTCTCCTCCCTACTTCCTTCCTCTTGATCATCATCGTCGTCCGCTTCATCTTCCTCGACGACAAGCTATCTCTCTCTCTCCCCCTGGTTCTTCGCCATCGTCTGCTTCATCTTCTTCAACGACAGGCTCTCTCTCCCTGTCTTTCTGGCTCTTCGTCGTCGCCAGCTTCGTTCTTCGTCAACGGCAACCTCTCTCTCTCTCTCTCTCTCTCTCTCCGCTTTCTCTCTCATGGAAAATTCAGAAAACCCAGCGGAAATTCCAGACTTTCCATCGGTATCGAATCCTGTCGAGTCCTGCATTCCAAACGCCCGGCTCACGCTCTCCGATTCCTCCTCCACAGGTCGCTCTCCGATGGTTCCGGCGACCTCATCGTCGAAGTCGGGACGCAAACCTTCTCTCTCCACAAGGTATTTAACCACCGCAAAATCTAAATATTAACTATTTAAATTAGTTTCGTAACTCATTTTTTTCTATTTACGGCATCCCTCTGAAGAAATTTCACAAGCGCAGAATTACCTTCACATTGAAATAAATGGCGTCTATGCCAAATTCTGAGGGCCGGATGAAGAAAGTTAAAACTGCTGAATAACCGTTATATTGAAAGAAATGGTGTATATGTACCCGTAGTTACACAAAATTAATGTCTTAAGGGTATCTCGGAGTTGTCTCTGGTTTCCTGGATGAAGAAAAATCAAAAGTGTATAATAACCTTTATAGTTGAATAAATTGTTTATATGTGCCGCAGTTGCCTCTGGTTTCCCGGAGCGGGAAGATCCGGAAACTGCTGCTGTCCGAGGCAAGGGAGACGAAGGCGGCGGCGGGGATGCGGATCAGCCTCCCGGCGGTCCCCGGCGGCGCCGAGGCTTTCGAGCTGGCCGCCAAGTTCTGCTACGGAGTCAACGTCGAGGTCAACCTCTCCAACGTGGCCATGCTCCTCTGCGCCGCCCACCACCTCCAGATGACGGAGGACTTCTCCGGCGAGAACCTCGAGTCCCTTGCAGAAGCCTATCTCACAGCAACAGTTCTCCCGAGCGCCGCCAGATCTGCTGCCGTCCTCCGCCACAGCGAGGCCCTCCTCCCCGCCGCCGACGAGATCAACCTCGTCGGCCGCCTCGTCTCCGAGATCGCCGCCACCCTCTGCAGAGAGCAGGTCCCCTCCGAGCTCCGGCGAGACTCGCCGGCGACGGCCCTGGCGGAGCTCTCCCTGGATTTCTTCCGGCGGATCCTCTCGGCCATGAAGACCAGGGGTGCGAGCCCGGAGACGGTGACTGGCATCCTCATCCACTACGCCCACCACCACTCTCCCCACGGCCTGGCGGCGCCCCCGGATGGGGAGGCGGAGCAGCCGCCGCGGAGAGCTCTGGTGGAGACCCTGGTGGCTCTCCTCCCCCCCCGGTCGCGGCGGAGCAGGGCCGTACCGGTGGCGTTCCTCTCGGGCCTCCTCAAGGCCGGCGCCGCCGCCTCGGCCTCCGCCGCCTGCCGGGCCGACGTGGAGAGGAGGATGGCCCTGCAGCTGGACCAGGCCGCTCTAGAGGACATCCTCCTCCCGGCGAGCTCCGCCGCGGGCGGCGGTGGCGTCGTCCGCCACCAGCTGTACGACACCGAGACCACCCTGCGGATCTTCTCGCTGTTCCTGCGCTGCTCCGACGAGAAGCCGCAGGAGGAGGACGAGGACGACGACGATGGCCACAGATCGCCGGCGAAGCAGAGCTCCCTGAGGAAGGTGACCAAGCTCATGGATGGCTACCTGGCGGAGGTGGCCCTGGACTCGAACCTCCCGCCGGCCAAGTTCATCGCCCTGGCGGAGCTGCTGCCGGACCACGCCCGCCTCGTCGGCGACGGTCTCTACAGGGCCATCGATATCTTCCTCAAGGTCAGATCAGATCAGTCAATCATGTCTCACCGTTTGACTTGAAGGGACAAATATGTAGTGTTGACTTGTTGTGGATAATGTCTCCCCTCGAGCAGGTGCACCCGAACATGAAGGAGGCGGAGAGGTATCGCCTCTGCAAGGCCATCGACTGCCGGAAGCTCTCGCCGGAGGCGTGTGGGCACGCCGCCCAGAACGAGCGGCTGCCAGTGCAGACGGCTGTGCAGGTGCTCTACTTCGAGCAGCTCCGCCTTCGGAGCGCCATGAACCACGACCAGTCCATCTTACAGTGGCCGGGCCACCGGGGCGGCAGCGCCGCCGGGGGAGGCAGCGGCGCCGCCTCCCCCCGGGACAGCTACGCGCTGGTGCGGAGGGAGAACCGGGAGCTGCGGCAGGAGGTGGCGAGGATGAGGATGAGGCTGACCGAGCTGGAGAGGGATCACGTGTCCATGAAGCAGGAGCTCGTCCGCGCCGGTCCCACCAGCGGCGCCGCCGGGGGGGTCCTCCGGTCCTTGGGCAGGGCGCTCGCCGGTAAGCTCCACGAGATCTTCCGGGAGAGGAAGAAGGGCTCCGCCGGTCACGGGGCCGGCAGCGTCGCCGACCCCCGCCCGTTCTTCCTCAAGCGGCGCCGCCACTCCGTCTCCTGACCGATCTTCCTAGTTTTCCAAGGCGGCGGCGGCCGCTCCTTCCGCCGTACGGTCGCCGGTGCAATCTGCACGAATAAATCCGGGACCTCGCTGTTGGGATTGACTAATATTTGATGACGTCACATATAGGGGCCCCCAAAAACAATCTGCCACGTTTCACTCCGACAGGGATGTCCTGTCCAGTCAGGCCCGAATTTCGCTTGTCGGAAGAAGAGGGGTAAGCTGATGTCATGCTGGAGGGGAATCATATAAATATGAATTTGTTAAGCGGCCCAAATTACCTAAATAGGCCTAAATGGTCTAATGAAGCATCAGCCCATTAAGGCCCACCAAAAGCCAGCCCGAGTGGAAAACTTATTTAGGGTTATTTAAAATAGGATCTGTTTTATGAGGTTCTATATGCAACAATATAGCGATTCTGTCCTTTCTTTTGGAAGGGCGGGGGGGGGGGAGGGTAAGTTTGCTACTCAAGAGTTCCGTTTCTCCTCTCCCTCCAGACTCTCGGCCTCGAGGACGAAGGGGGGAAGGCGGGGCGGAGGAAATGGAGGTTTCCAAAGATCAGATCGCCGTTCTTCTCGAAAACGGCCTGTACGAGTCCGCTCAAATGCTGGTAAGGGATGTCGAAACTGGCGTGCTCTTTGGGGTTACTCGTGCCAGCTAGACTTTACCTCCTTTTGCTTCAGAATTCGATGCCTGGTTCGCGCGGAAATGGAACTAACTTGTAATCTCACCTCCCGAGACGCCATTTTCTCTTTCCGGCACAAAATGCCACCTTATTCTGTTGACCGGGGGGTGTGTTGTGAAATTCTCTCGAAATGAAGGTGAAGGATATAATTCCATGTATAGTATTTTCTGATGTTGAGGTGGTCACCAAGATATTTCTCGGAAGTATCTTTGCTGGTGTAACTCGACTGTGATGATTACCACTTGCTTTTGCTTTTCGGGCTTGAGGAAGTAGAAAAGTTTTCTTCTTTTTTCATTTAGAGTTAAGTTGGTTTAAGCAATGTACTTGATAATTAATTTATCTCGGGTTTAAATTTTCATTCGAAGACATTTCTGTCATATAATTGAATATTGACAAACTGAGTAGACATTGACAACCTGCCTGGCAATTAATTGCTTGGTACAGCAGCTGGTTTGTTGGATTTCAATCTGCATGCAGCCCGATTATTGCTTTTTTGATGATAGATTCAGTAATATTTCTATTAAAACAGTGCACACATTTCATGAATCGATGTCATCTTAATCCTTTGTGATCTAAAAACGTGTAATAGCAAATATTATTTTTGGAGGACGAAAGAGAGAATAATTTTACTGAGGGATATGAACTTGCGATCAAGAGTAGGCTGTCCGTCTTGAGGATGCTGGTGACGCCCGAAAGGAGCTGCTGGGGACCTTTGCGAATTTTCATGTCGTATGCATCCCATTGTCTATCTATATGAGATATTATCAAGAGAGAACGGCATGATTTATTGCTTTTAGTGATAGGAAGACGGTAAAAGGAGATAATGGATTGAACGGATGAGTTACCTCCTCTCTTTATGTCGTTCCCCAGAACCAAGGAAATTCGACTTAAGATATGTCGTATTTTTTCCTTCCTCTGTAAAAACTCATATCTTCTTCTTTCTCCCTAAAAGTGAGATAAAATAGCATCTTCTCTACTGTTTTTCCATCAAAATAGTAAACTAGGGATTTTTTGTCTTTTTCATGTAGCTAGTCATGTCTTTTAACGAGGATAATGATTTTCTGCCTATTGTCAATATTTCTGGATAGTTATAACTCAATGCTTTGTTCAACATGCTTTTTTCTTTTTGGAGGTGGGCAGTTCTATCTCTTATAAGGAACAATAATTTATTCGTTTACATTTCTCTCTAATGACTTTCTTTCTACTCTTAATTGCGTGCAAATTGCAACAGGGATGCTATCTTGTTTCTTCGGCTGCTGCAAATGCTGAAAGCAGTCCATATCTCAAGGCTGAAGCTTTGGTGCGATTTGAAGTTCCCAAGATTCTTTTCTCTCACATGCTTTTATTTGCACAGGAAATGCCCCATTTCTAAATTCTTTTAATAAAATATTAATTTAAATGGAAATTATTCGCGAAATTATATTTTCAGTTGCTACCAGTCTCCTTCATCTCCTGATTAGGTTTTACATCCAAGCTTTAACATAGGTGGTTGACATGAATTGTTACAAATGTGGTGCTGGAGATCAATCTCACCACAACATTTTGAGCTGTCTACTTGGTTATTCGATTTGTTCCTTGGTGATTGCATGTCTAGTCACATTAATGTAATTGTGTGCTGTTTTAATGCCAGTTACAATCCTTCTAGTTTAGACTACAAAATAACATTTTCGACCAATGACCACCTTTTCGTAAAATATTTGAACAAACACTTAATATTATTATGGCTCATTCAATAACTTGTCACGACCTGTAAAATCCTTAAAATCGATGCTGCTGAAAATTAATCTTGATTCTTTCACCCAGTCTCATCTTACTGATCTAAAACAGGGTGCTACTTGATTTGATAGTTGTAATTTTTTTTCCGCATAGCTCACAATCTCTGATTCCTATTTTTTCTGGGAAATCCCAGCCATTCATTTTGCCTGGTAGAAATCAATAAAACTTGTTGTCTACTGATCTTGAGTTGAGAAGGTTCAATAAGTTCACAATGCATGGCAGATATCTTTGTCTCGTAGTATTCTAGAATTGGGATATCATTAAGCGATATGTTAGTTCCTTCAGAATTCAGGCCTGCTTCTATATGGAAGTATTATCAGAATGGAGCTCTTGTTGTTTATTGCATGATGTTATTCTTTGTAGGCACTCACTTTTTGTATCACTATATTTTCTTTGATAAATGGTATTTTCTTCTTTCAGGTCCTTCAAGGTGATGCTTTGTATGAGGAAAATGAATTGCGAAGAGCTTTAGTAAGTCTAATAAAATATTCAATGTGTAGAGTATTTAGAATTTTGCAGTCTCCTTAATCACAAGTGGAGTCTGGATTTTTGATGTTGATATCTTTCGTTTACATTCATCAATTCGAATAGATTCGCAGGTGCTTTGACTCTACTGCTAGATTATAACGAAATATGGTTTAATTACAAGGACTTAGAAATATCAAGGATTCATAGTAATTGGAACTTTAAATGCAGCTAGGATACATATACTGAAAAGATAAACCAATTTGTCTCACTTCCTATTTTTTCTTCCATTCTTTATTCAGTTTTTGGCTTGACATCTTGAAATGATTTGCAATGTGTATAAAATAATGACACATGTCCTTGATTATCTTTTTTTATTGTTGTCAGCACATGTACAAACAAGCCTTGCAACTTTGTAAGACTATTCCTAAGCAAACTACACCGGTTTCTAGAAGTTCAGTGACTTCCTCAAACATGCCATCTTCTCCCAATTCTTTGAACGGTTCTACGATTAATGAGAATGAGGTACAGCTTAGTTAGCAGTCTATACTTCTTGGTTCATATCTGATCTCTTCATTAACTATGAATTTTTGGTGTGGGTTGATTAGTTGATTCCTAAAGTGTACTCACCAGTGTCCTGGTAATAAGGCATATCATCATCTGATGAAATGTAGCAACATAGTGTGCTATAGTACGTGTTCCTTTGATCACAGATGTGTTTTTTCTTTTACAAAACCTTACCGTTTCTCTTTGTTTCCTTTGGCAGGTTAAATTCAAGATATGTCTTTGCTATTGCAAATTAAATGAGAACCGTGCTGCCCTTGCAGAGGTGTTTCTCCTCGGTCTTTTTCCCAAGTTTTCTTGCTTGCTCCACTTCCTGAATATTATTAACTTTTTTTTTGCCATCTGCATCTTATGGCACATCAATTTCAACCAATCTTTGTACAATAAGAAAAAATGATTTTTTATGATAAAGAAGGCAATTAATTGTGAGGAGAATTCCTGGATATCATTTTTACATTGTACATTTATATTGAAGATGTTATATGTTGCAGCTCTTTTTGTAAGCCATGCTACATTGCTCGGCCATGAAGTGAGAAACCTAAACACACACAGTTCAGTCCTTTATACATGATTAACATAGAAGAATAACATTTTTTTGTATGGATTAAATATGGAAAGTGGCATCTAGATGGGTAAGTGCTTCAGATGAACACTGTGTTTGGATTAAATGTCCCTTTGATAGAGGTGAGCTCTTTCTCTTTATTATAGCCTTGGTAATTAATGAACAATCTTGTGCGAGCTCCTTTTCTCTACCGATGAGTATTCATTATGCCCCTATTGATATGTAGATGGATGGGATTCCAAGTAAAGCAAGGACTCTTAGAATGAATCTCGTATTGGGAAAGCTTTTACGCATTTCAAGGCATAATCGTGCATCCATTGCCTGTTACAGGGATTGTATAAGGTAAGGAAACCAGAATGCTTGATTACTTGTCGTTCAAGATCACTTGGAGAAGTTCTCCCGTAGAAACGTTACCAGTCCCACACAATCCTCATATTATTTTTTTTATCCTTTCGATTAAAATACCCAACACACATCAACCTGCACCTTTTTAAGATTTCATTTCCCTTTTCTTCTATACTTCTTGTCTTCAACATGTAATTTCTTTATTTTTGTGCATCGAAGTATCCTGTTTTAATGTCTTCTTTTAATGCTTATTAATATGTTTGATTTCGTTATGATCATGATTTTCTGGCTTATTAACGATTAGTTTTTGGAATATTCAAAAAGCTTGACCGATTTGACATACCCATTAGGTGCATCAATCAATTATTTCATGTGACTAGCAATATGGGTTGAATTGAAACCTAGATTATCATGTAGACTTGATTTGGCACTTTTCAGTTGGTCCGAATTGAACTGAAGTCAGCTGAGCCTCTTGTTGCCTGATTGTCTTGGAGAATCCTAAAGAAAAGAATTATTACCCAAGATATTGAACAAACTTATCACCTAAGTTCGCTTTCCTGATCTTGTGTTCTTTTGACTAATATATAGAACTAAGAAAGGTGTAGTAGGCCAGTAATAAACTTAAAAATTGCTTCAGAAATATCCACCAACTAGTCAAAGAATAGAACTAAGTGTCCAGTCTGTTCACATCCCATATTGTGATAGCTCTATCTTTTTGTGTCTGTGTGTGTATTCAGTTACGGCTAAGCAAGTACATGTTTCCAGATACTTCTTTCTTCTCATTTTTCTGTTTCTCAGCTTAATCGCATTTAACAGTCTTCAGTGTTTGTTTGTTACAGGCAGTGTCCTTACGTTTTAGAAGCCATTTCTGCTTTGGCTGAACTAGGAGTCTCTGCCAAAGATATCCTGGTTCTTTTTCCACAGGTATGAAATATTTCTCCTGATTTGCTGGCATTTGATGACTGGATTATGAACATAAGCTGTCGCCTGCAAATCCTATTAATTTGTTTTCTATTTTGCTTTTATTTCATCATTTTGGTATAGTCTTCAAGAATGAGGTAGCCTGTAATTTTAGGATTTTCGTTGCTTTCCTTTGTCCTGTGGTCACATTTGTTCCTGTCTGGACGTCATTGAGTGGTTGGTTGGCATGGAGACCTAGGAGCATGGGAAAATGGTGAGTTGGTTGGTTATTAATAGGGGTTTTACGCCTTTTTCCTTCTTATCTCTTCTCTCCAGTGGTCTATTTCAAGGATCATTAATCAGATCAGATCCTAGTTTTGACATTTCTGATCTCGTTCTGAGCCTGTTCAAGGATTGATCTCTTGGAAGATCAGTTTCATTTAAGTGAAAAACATAGAAAAAACAAAAGAGGTACGTTAGAATATTAATTTGTAAAATGTATTTTAAATAAAACACTTTTAAAAGGATATTACGGAAAATTTCCCATGAATTTTTTTCGTTGGTCAATGGTGGGGGAGACCAAATAAAGAAGAGAAAAGGAAGAGGAGGTAGCATGTAGCACCAAGTTGCTGTAAATTTTATTCTTTTCTTCTTCATGATTTCTAATTCTGCTTACTTTTGTGAGGATAATGAAGATTTCTGCATCCTAAAGCTGCCTCCTCTTTGCTGTTTTTTTCTTTCTTTTCTTTTTTACATTTCCTATTCTTCTGGTTCTTCTTGGAATAGTGAAGACTATGGTGTTGGAATCCCCAATTTTGCATACCAGGCTTGTAGTTCAACGATTATATAAGAGCAAAGTTAGGAAATACTGCATTAGATGTTAAAACCTTGTTGGCTTCTTTGGAGTCTTGACGTGTGATTGGAGGGTTTTTTGGAGGATTTTGAACGTTGTAGGTGCCATTTAACATATGAGCAACTGAACAGCACCTCCTTAATCTTTTTTCTTTTTGCTCTTGATGCGTCAAAGTGACAAGTATTCTTGAGTTTTCTTGTTGACGCTCATGCAAACCGTAATGTTATTAGTTGCCCTTAAAGTGAATCTCTTAATTGTCGTGTGCCTATATCTTGATAGTACAAAAAGTTGATCTTATTTAAATAATCAGACTGTGTTGGTGTGAGATGGCGAAGAATGACAAGAGTAGGTTTGGATCACAAGTCACTGGACTGTGCATAATTCTATTAGTATTTTTAGTCGAGATAACACGCGGTCTGGAGCTCTGATAGGGGCCCAGCACTCGTGGAAGAGGAACTCTAACTTTATTGATCAAAAACTGTTTACAAGGAGAGCGGGATCTAGTATTTATACAAGATCCCTAGAAAGTTCTAGACACACATGTAACACGAAATGAAAGGTACATGAGGACATATATGTAGACTTGTAAGGTTAACATGTTATTAAGTACATCTCGACAACACTCCCCCTTGAGGTGGTGAATGGATGTCATCCATTCCTAGCTTGGGAATAATCTTCTACAATTGTGTCCCCGAGATGCCTTTAGTAAGCATATCTGCCAACTGTTTATTTGTTGGAATGTATGATATACAAATCACATTGGCCTCAAGTTTCTCTTTGATGAAATGGCGATCAATCTCCACATGTTTGGTACGGTTATGCTGTACTGGGTTGTGCACTAGATTGATTGCTGACTTATTGTCGCAATAAATCGTCAGAGGACTGAATAAAGGAATTTGTAACTCGTCAAGTAAGTTCTTGACCCAAAGTAACTCACATATTCCTTGGGCAAGTGCCCTAATTTCAGCCTCAGCTCTTGATCGAGCAACTACATTCTGTTTTTTACTCCTCCAAGTGACCAGGTTGCCACCAACAGAAGTAAGATGACTGGAGGTTGCTTTCCACTTCGTTTAAAAAGAACCCCTTTTGTTGGTGTGCCTTTCAAATAATGTAGCACTCGGTAGGCAGCATGTAAATGACACTCTTTAGGTTGATGCGTAAATTGGCTCAATATACTCACTTGATATGAGATATCCGGTCGAGTGTGTGTTAGATAAAGTGGTCGGCCAATGAGACGTTGATACATCTCACGGTTAATAGAATTTTCTTCATCTGCCATACACAATTTCTGGTTTGGATCAATAGGTGTATTGGCTGGTTTACACCCAGATTTCCCTGTTTCAGCTAACAAATCTGTTATGTACTTTTGTTGAGAAATAAAAATACCTTTAGAAGAATATGCCACTTCGATTCCTAAAAAATACTTGAGTCGTCCCAAAGTCTTGACATCAAACTCTTGGGCCAAACAATTGCTCAAGTTTTGGATCTCTCCTTCATCATTTCCTGTGATGATAATATCATCAACATAAACTAATAGAACTGTAACTCCCCTTGAAGAAGAGTGTTTAAAATTTAATGTGTGATCAGGATTACTTTGTTTGTAATTTAGTTTCTTCATGGCTACTATAAACCTTCCAAACCATGTGCGTGGAGACTGTTTGAGGCCATAAAAGAATTTCTTTAACTTGCAAACAAGATTAGATGAATGATTACCCTCATATCTTGGTGGAAGAGTCATGTAGACTTCTTCAACCAAATCATCATGCAAGAATGCATTTTTAACATCAAATTGTTGAATATTCTAGCTGAAAATTGCTGCTAAGGACAGTAAAAAGTGAACTTTATTCATTGTGGCCACTGGTGCAAAAGTTTCTTGATAATCTATTCCACATACTTGTGTATAATCCTTAGCCACCAGCCGAGCTTTATACCTCTCAATCGAACCATCTGATATATATTTCACTGTGTACACCCATTTGCAACCAACAGTCTTCTTATCTCGTGGTAATTCCACTAGATCCCATTTCTGATTTTTTGCAAGAGCTCTCATCTCCTCATCTATGGCTTATTTCCACTTAGGATTGGATAGAGCCTCTAAGTGATTTTTTGGAATGGCAGTGGTGTCTAAGGATGCAAGGAACGATTGATAGGGTGAAGAAAGTCTGTGATCAGACAGAAAATTGGCAGTTGGGTACAAGGGTGTTTTTATACACTCTCTTATAGGTTTGCATTGGGCAATAGGAAGTGAATCATGAGGTTGGACTGCAGGATCATTAGATGAAGGAGATGTTAATGGCTGTATATTTTCTTAGGCTAGATCAGAATCTTGGATTTTTGGTGAATTGTGAATTTCCCTTTGCCTAGAATAAACCTTGCCAAACCTTAGGTTTTCAGGAAGCGAATTCAATATAAGACTGGGTATTTCAGGGACTGAAATGGGAATAAACAGGTTACCAGCTGAAGATGAGAGTGAAGAATCTATATGTTGATCCATATGAGCTGTAGAAAATAGATGTTGATCACTGGATGAAGATTCTTTAAAATAAGAATCAGATTCATGAAATGTAACATCCAATGAAATAAATTTTTTTATAGGAGGGTGGTAACATTTGTACCCCTTTTGATTGGTAGCATAACGAAGAAATACACATTTAAGTGATCTCGGTTCTAGTTTGCCTTTGGTTTGATTATGAACGTGAACAAAAGAGACACAACCAAATGTCTTAGGTTCTAGCCTAGTTTTAAGTTGATGGTTTGGGAAAAACTTGGCTAATGAATCTAACAGGCTGAAAAAGCCTAAGGTTCTAGATGGTAATTGGTTGATGAGGTATGTGGCTGTTAGAACAACCTCCCCTCAAAAAACTTTAGGTACATGATGCTGAAATAAAATTGGTCAAGTGACTTCTAAAAGATGACGATTTTTTCTTTCAGCTAAACCGTTCTGCTGTGGGGTATAGACACTGGAGAATTCATGTATGATGCCCTCTGTTTGGAAGTATAATTCAGATTTTGGCTAAAATACTCTTTAGCAGTATCAGATCTGAATTTTTTAACACTAGTACCAAACTGATTTTTTATTATGGCACAAAAATTTCAGAACATCACATACATCAGATTTTTGTTTGAGAAGGAAGACCCATTTACATCTTGTACAATCATCAATGAAAGTGGCAAACCATTTACTACCACGAATGTCATTAATGGGACCTGGTCCCCACATGTCACTATGAACTAGGAAGAAAGGAACATCACTCTTTTCCCCTTGAGATTGAAATGAAGTACATGTGTGTTTAGAAAGTTCACACACATTAAATTTAAGAGTGTCTAATGACACCTTTCGAAACAAAGTAGGAAAAACTATTTTCAAAGTGCTAAAGGATGGATGACCCATCCGTTGGTGAAGTAATCATATCTTAAGCACATCTTCTAGAGGTTCTAAAGATTGATCCGCTTCCACTAGGTGTGTTTGGCTCAGTACTTCTAGAAGATAAAGACCTTCACACTCTCTAGCAACTCCAATCCTCCGATGATGTACCTTATTAAATATGACACAAACATCTTCATCAAAAAAGACATGATAAGATAACTGAAATGAGGTTTGTAAATAACTTGGGGACATGAAGAACATTAGTAAGAACCCCTAGAGGTTCAAGTCTAATGTCTCCTATACTTGTGACGGTTAGAAAGGATCCGTCTACAGTAGTCACTTTTCTGTCACTAGGATAGGGGTTATATTTGGTTAAAAGGCTGGGGGAGTTGGTCATGTGGTCTGTTGCTCCTAAGTCTACTGCCACTGCCCAATTATTAAAAATATCTCTAGAAGAAACTCTAACTCCAAGAGAGTGGTGAAACATACCAGGTTGAGTTGATGAGAACTGTATCACTGTCAACTTCAGTTTTTCTAACTCAATTCGAAGTCGCTCTATATCCTCAATTTGGGAATTTGAAGACTGGCTAGTCGGTAATCCTGTTGCCAATGTGATTGACTACCATATTTTTCAGTACCAAAATTTTGTGGTTTACCATGTAGTTTATAACATCTGTCTCTAGTGTGCCAAGCTTTCCTGCAATATGTACACCACAGATTATCACAAAAATCAGTCTTCTGATTTCTTCCTTGGCTATTCTTGGGCTGTTTAGCTTGATCTGAAGCTTTCTTCATAATTTCTCCTTGTTTAATCATAAATACAGTATTGTCAACTTCAAGCACTGACAACATTAATTTCCGACGACTTATTTAAAATGATGGAAATAGCTTCATCCAAATCACATTTCCTTTCACAGCTCAAAATCTGTTGTCTGACTTGATCAAAAACAGAATGAAGTCCAGCCAAAAAAATTTAAACACTCTTCTTCATTTTATAAAATGTCATAGGACAACAATTTCTGCAGGTTTTTCTGTATCAATGCTGAGATAATAATCGATTTCCTGCCATAAATTTTTCAGTTGTCCTGTATATTCCATCATAGATTTATTTCCTTGAATTGTGGACATGGATTTTGTCTCAAGTTCATATAAATGTGCCTCATTATTTCTTTGTGAGAATTTCGTGTGAACTGTTTCCCACATATCTTTGACTGTAGATAGAAAGAAAAAATCTCGGCCAATTTGGGGAATCATTGTTCCCCAAAACCAGGTTTTAATTAATGCATCTTTTTCTCTCCATCTACGAAATTCTCGAGACAATGGATCCGGTTTCCCCTCAATCAAATGATGTAACACCCCTCTTCCAGTAAATACCTCTCGAACATATTTTGACCATCGAATCAAATTGTATCCAGTCAATTTGAACTCTGCTGGCATTGCAGGAAGTTCTATGACTAATCTTGGACCACTTGGACCAAGATTAACTTCCCTTGTGGAGATTGGATCCCCCACAGATGATGAAGAATTGTCTCCCACATTCTCCATTTACAGAAGATGTCCAAATTCACGAAAAATCAAATTCGTGAAAAAGTCTCAATAGAGACAAGAAAAACGGTGCAAGAACTGTAACAGACCAGTAGATCAGTGCGGAAGCAAAGAAATGGAGCGATCACACCTGGATTCGCTCTGACAGAAACACAGCTAAGAAGAAGATCCCTTGCTGGAAGTGTACGGCACCTGTAACTCCAGCAGACGATTGAGAGAACGCCAACAAAGCAGTGTCAACTGTGACGGTGCTGAAAAATAGGGTTTAAAAACCCTAGAATGGCTTTGATACCATGTAGTCAAGATAAGACACGGTCTGGAGCTCTGATAGGCACCCAGCACTCGTGGAAGAAGAATAACTTTATCAATCAAAAACTGTTTACAAGGAGAGCGGGATCTAGTATTTATACCAGATACCTAGAAGGTTCTAGACACACTGATGTAACACGAAATGAAAGGTGCATGAGGACATATATGTAGACTTGTACGGTATACATGTTATTAAGTGCATGTGGACAACAGTATTGTTTGTTGATTGCAGTGAAGTTGGAACTGCTGCACCTTTCTACTTTGTGCGTTTGTACAAAGGAAATATTATGTGAAGTTTCTGTTGCATTTTACGAATGAAGCTTTTGGTAATATCTACTTTAGAATTTCTTTGGCCTTAGTTTCTAAAGGATGCTGATGGTTAATGATAAATGCAACTTTATATTATTACGAACGGGGCAAAGCAATGATGAAATAACTGGGGAAAGCAAATGAACGTTCCTGTCTGCTAAAGGTCTAGTTGCTTCACACTTATGGAAAGTAGATCCCCTTGACACTTCCCACAAGCATTTCTTCTGGGCACAGAACTGTCATACCGCAGGAATTTTCAGACTGCTATTCCAATAAGGAAATTGTAGGCCGTCGGGATGACTACAATACGAGCCATCTGTTATCATCCCGTCATCTTTTTATAGGACAAGGAGAAAGTATATTCCTACAAAATTTCAATACGGGGTTGGTTCTTCAAAACTGTTCCCCCTCTTGGATTCATTTTGAACCTTTTATAATGTGTACACGGTTCTGATGATTGCTATATCATATTTATAGTCCCTCTGTATACCTATAGAATTAACATTGATGCTAATTATTTAGTCCTATGAATATTTTTTAGCAGGGAATTACCAAGATGTCGAACATCATCATGGGAATTTTTACACTGATACTTTTCCATGTCTCTGTACTGACGCATACTCTGGCAGATTTTTAGGAACCTAATGTATTTTTGTTGCCTCTATAGACAGTAATACATCTTCTGAAAATTTGTAGACACCGAACAGAGGAAGGCTGCCTCTTGATCACTCTGACACAGGTCGTTGGTTACATGTAGGTACCGGCTAATGTTCTTTTTCGTATTCTTTTTATGCAATATATTTATCGTTCTAGCTTTTCTCCATAAAAATGATCTGTTCAAGTGTGTTGTAGTGCTGTGAAAGCCATTTACCCATCAGACTTGACTTCCAATCGGTCTTTGTTTTTTGTTCTTTTGAAGGTTAAACAAGCCCACTTTCACGAAAGGAGCACAATTGTAAATAGAACAACATATGAAAAATATAATAAGATCATAACGTCCTTATCTCATCTGACAAGATTCTCGTCATGTTAGAAGGAAATCAGCACAAAATATTCTGCCTTCCATTTCTCTTTGACAGTATAAGTAGATATGGTGCTTATCTTCATTCCTTTAGATCTTCACTTCTAGTGGATCTTAGCTTTGTTCATGATCTCTTACATGCATTTCAATTCATACTTAATAATCTATTGTTCTTTCTCCTAATTTTCCCCAGCATTGCTGGTTAGAGCATGATCCAGCATACAGTATCCATGAGCGCTGGATATATATCCACCGCTCATGGATACTGTATTGTCTGATAATCCACAGGTGGAAATTTGTGCTTGGAATGTTATATTTAAAATTATCTCCATTGTCATGGAATCAACGTAAAATTGTGATTATCCAACAAAGTAGAAGTTTGTTCGAATTTCTAAATGATATCGTTTGCTGGGGGTCCTTTTCTCACCTATTTGCGTAATATTCTGTTTCTTAGTTTCTGTTTCATATTCCTCGTAGTGCAGTACCAATATTATTTCTTAAGATAAAAGGAGAAAGGATAAACAATAACGGTTTTTTTGGATCCGTTTGCCAATTATCACCATTGTTACTGTTGTCCAGCAGATGAAACATTTGATTAGAGCATTCTGTGCAAGAGATCTAGTTAATCGCTTGATACAACTAGAGTGGCAGAAGTATCATTCACAATCTAAATGAAGCCGTAACTATTAAGGTGGCATTGTGAATAAATAGTATTATCATGTCGCGTTTCTCATTGATGCCTTATATGCTAACTGGTTTTGAGTCTGCTACGTTTTGTATTTCATTATTTTTCCAGCTTTCTTTACTCCAGTGATGACGTTCATCTTAAAAGAAGAAAACAGAAAGGATGACATGGGGAAATCAACAGTTGGCTATTTACACGAAAAACTGATCAACTCATATGTTCTGTTGAGCAGACCTAATATGTTACTTCTTTTCACTCCTTTATTTCAGGTTGCTTGAACCTTATACCCTGTCTGTAGAGAATGGTGTGAATGTCTTGTAATAGTTTTCTCATTTGTATTTTGACTTATGTGGAAGATCTAAAGAGTCCTACCAGAAATTTGCATATCTGTTAACCAATTAAGTTAAATTATGTCTCCTGGAATAGTTAAATGATATATGATGAAAGATGACTCCCATTAGACTAGGTCTAAGATGTGCGCTTGTCTTCTCTTCATTACAGTGTCACAAGTATAGTTCTCTTTGTGGTGTTTTGGCTATTCTGATCCCAAGGTAGATATAAGATGAGGATATCATGCAACATAGCTGTACACTTTTTCTCTCATTTTCTCATGTGATGTTTAATACATTGTCAAATTCAATTGCTTGTGGATAGTGGAAAATATAGAGCTTGTCTTAACTCAATGCATCTTCTTTTCAAAGTTACTTTTTATACTCTGATGGTTTTCTGGATAGTGGTGACTGTAATGTTCCGGTGTATGATGTGCTTCTTGCTGCATGAGTGACCTGTTATAGTTTCTTAGTCATCTGGACATGCATGGTGGGCCATTTGTCTTATGCCTCATGCCATTGCCTTTCTTCCTGCTTACAACTGTTCTAAACTCACTCTAATCAAACCCCACGTCCATTGGAAAAAAACTCCCCGAGTTGCTTGGTTTTGTGTGCATCCGATAAATGCAACAAGATTCTGTAAGGATTGCTGTGATTCTTTGCCATAACTACACAATTTCTTCGCTGTTTTTCACATTTCCTGCTGATCCCATTCTCTTCTGTACTGTAATATTGTTTATTTGCTAATATATGATCTCATCAATGTTTCCCCGATTTATTGATAATTTTTGTAAGGGTTATCATTTTTTCTTTACAGTTTTAGCTGCATATTACCATTTATATCTGATTCATTTGTACGTTAAATACTGCAGCGATATGTTGAGGCCCAATGCTGCATTGCTTCCAATGATTATAAAGGTATGCTGACTTCATTGGGACATTTGCTGATGGTTTCCGTTTACCTCGTTTAGAGTGACTGAGAAAACTCGGTTTGATTAAATATTCGTCTAGTTGTCTGCACGATATTTTTTTTGTGCTGTATGCCTGGAATTTGATGAATAGAAAACGCTAATCTATATTCAGTGAAGACACTCTGTAAATAAAAACCTGTGCAGATTTTTAATTTCGAATTTATTATGTGTCACGATTATATCACTTTGCCATATTCATAGCACGGAGAACATGGACAAAGTGTGAACTAGACGCTATCTCTGATATCACTTTCTGCATAAGAAGTTATGATTTCACTCTTTTACAAGTTGGAAACAAGCCATGATCACAGTTCTCGATAATTTTCTTGTTATTAGGCTGTTATTATTGCGTTTAATGCTCCTTTCTTGTTTTCTTGTCAGAACTCTATTAGATTTTCTTGCTGTCTAACTGATAATGATAGCAATCAGGCATTTATTTCTGGGGGATTCTTTTTATCTACCGATTAATCTGTCATTCAATGGAATGCCTATTGGAGATTGAACGTCAATTGCACTCTTGCAGAAAGTGCAGGATTTCTGGTCATCTGCTAATTGTCCTTGGTTAAATGACCTTAGGCTTTTTCTGGGTGATATATTATGCCATGGTATTGGTACACTTTTATTACCATCTCATGAATATCTGGGAAGTCTTAGTGCACTTTTGTTCTCTTTACTCTAACTAAAATCTTAATGCTTTGAATGCCTACCGTGTAATTTATTATTTGAAACTGAAATTTTGACGTCGGAACCCATACATCTCTGTTTTGCAGGTGGTCTTGACAATTTTTCTGAACTTCTACAACGATTTCCTAACAATGTTCATATCTTATTGGAAATTGCGAAGGTTCACACTTTCTCTCACAAATGAATGTTTATATTGTTCTGTTTCGGTGAGAATTTACTGACTTGGATAAAGAGGATGAGAAGAAATTCTGTACGCTAGAGTTTGTGTTTTGTTTTTGAAGGTCAACTGAGTCATGAATTTGGGTTTTCGAGAAATTCTGATTTTTTCCCATCCCAAGTTTGCAAGTGCAGATATATGAAACTCGAAGCACATAGGGGAATGGATATATTTTTGTGCCCGGAATTGACTGTTAGAAACACGATGCTTGTTCTCCTTTCCAAGTTTGCTAGTTCAGAAATATGAAATTTTCAGCACACTGGGAGGGGCTTGCCTTTGGGTTCTTTCCAATCATTCTGATGTTAGTTGAATCGATTTTCAAGGTTTCTACCTTCCTATCTAGTTTGATTGTTCCTCCATGCATCCGTGGGATAGATAACCTTACTGATTCCCGTGAGGATTCATGCATATGCGAAGTTAAAAAGCCAAGGTAGATTGTAACGGTGATTTAAAGTTAACAGATCTTGTTTAAACCAACGCGACTTATTCTCAGCAGTCAAAAAATTGGTGGTGTAGCGTCCTAGTGTCTACGTACTATAATGGATAGTGGTGCTCATGAGCAATCGCTTTCTTTTTAGGGATATTTTTGTTGAATTCTGTCGAATGTATTTTTTTAAATGTTATTTTTATTTAAGCATTAGATAAATGTCGGCTATATCACCTGCACTTAAATTAGCAATACGGGAAATATTTTGGAAATCTGGAGCCCATTTTCTGGGCTTTTGATGGGGCTAGTGCCCAGGACCTTGCCTTCTCAAAGATGTACTGACTGGGGCTGGTCTTGGGAGAGAATCTTGAGAATGGGCCTATGTAACTCTTCATTGTTCCAATGAACCACGTTAGGAGACAAATAAGGGAAAGTTGAATCGGTTCCTTTCCTGTCCTTTTTCTAACTTAATGACAGTTTTCAGGTCCTCAACCCATAACTTAATTAGACCAATTTTTAGTCTGGCCTCGTCAAGCGTTTTGCTATTCTTTTTTACCATTATTTTTTATAAGAAATACACCTGCTGAATTTTAAGGGTCCAAATCACCGAACAAGGGAGTTTTCATGATGGTAACTCACCTAATTATACAACAATCACAGGAAAACAAATCATACTTCCACAATTTTCATTAGAAAATGGAATAAATGAATTGTAAGAGCTTTAGAAGCTTAGATATGAGCTCATCTTCTTCTTTGACGATAGGTGAGTTAATTGAATGTTTTAGGAGAGAACTAAATTTTGGAGTTAGTCTTCAGTAGAGAGCCTTTCAGATGTTTCAATCCTCTTGTATTGAATGTTTTAAGGAATGACTTTTATTGAGAGGTCGAAGTTCCTCTCGGTAGAGAGCAAATCGGTTTCTGTCAGATATATGATGCCCGTTTTCAAATTTTCTTCGACTAAAGCAGTGAAATTTGAATCCATTTGAAATGATTTTGTTTCGAATGGGAGTAATGAGGATGTGAAACCGTTGCGTGCTTTACATTAGGCTAGACTCTGAATTACGCAAAATCGAGGGGGATGATTTGGTGAAATTTCACCTATTCAGCTTTGTCTAAGAAAATAGGTTGCTTTTTTTTAATATGAAATAGAGAATACTTTAGGAATGGGAATGAATGAGATGGTGCATCATTGATGAAATGGGCTGCTTTTTCTGTGGACTGCACGGGAGACTGTAAACTACATTTTTTCTTTAGATTGTGTATTATTTAGGTGGTATGAATGTTTACTTTCAGCATAGTACAGCTTCAGATTGTTGAGTGTTTAGTGTTTAGATATGTATGAATAGCTGCAGAAATAGGATTGCATCAACCAGTTTTACACTAAGTTACATTGGTAGACCAGGTCTTTGCCAGATATTCTTTGGGCCTTCTTTGTGGGAAAGGGACAAAAGAAGGTCATATCAGAGTTGTAGAGCTTTACGGTACTTATTAAAAAGCACTTATTAGTGGATTCAAGCTAAGGAAGAATATTTTAGTGGGCTTATATTTTATTTTGCATTTTATAGCATTTTCATTGGTGCGTGTTTTAGCCCATGGGTACGCTGATAACTTCACTTTCTTCCATTCTTCCGGATTTTAATTTTTTTTTTCTGGTTTGTTTTATTAAATAGATTAGATCTTTTTTCTATCCTTGGGATAGTCTATTGTAGACTGGCTACTTTTCTTTAGGGTAGACTGAAAATTCCAGTTTTTTTAGAAAAACTTTAATTTAACTGAACCAGAAAACATCTTTGACTAACTGTGCAGGTTGAAGCCATTATCGGGAGAAACGATGAAGCAATTATGAATTTCGAGAAGGTATGCTGACAAAAAATGTGTTTATGATATATTCTCCTCTACATTGCCTGCTGAGTCTGGACCTGATAACTCACAGGTCCGATCTATCGATCCTTATGTGATGACTTATATGGATGAATATGCCATGATTCTTAAAGCAAAGTCTGAGCACTCCAAGTTGAACAAGCTGGTGCATGATTTGCTGGTTATTGATCCTAAAAGGGTCGAAGTTTCTGTCACTCTATCTGTACTATGGGAGAGAAAAGATGAAAATAAAGCTCTGGCTTATGCTGAGAAGGTTAAGTCAAACAAAGACATTCATGAGCTCTTTGTTTTTATATGCACATTTTTAACATTTGATCAACCTTTTCCTTGAATTTTGTTTTATTTTTTAACATTCAGAGTGTCAGAATGGATGATAGGCATATAGCTGGACATGTTATGAAGGTATCAAATGATTAGATGCTTTCACGTGTTCTCTTATTGTTGAATGTTATGAATGCTTTAAGGTTCGTCTCTTTCAGCATGCTATATTTCTGTATTTTTTTCCTTTAATTATGAAGGGTAATCTTCTGCTGCAACTAAAGCGGTCAGATGCAGCTGTGACTGCCTTCAGGGCAGCACAAGAGCTTAGGCCCGATCTTCGCTCCTATCAGGGTAATTTCTGGGTAAACCGTTAATACATCCCGATTCAACATTTTCTGGTCATAGATGAACATCCATGCGAAAGTTTCCATTTCCGCAGGTCTAGTTCGTTCTTTTCTGGCACTTTCGAAAACAAAAGAGGCACTTTATGCTGCCCGTGAAGCAATGAAGGCAATGCCACAGTCTGCAAAGGCTCTTAAATTAGTTGGTGACGTCCATGCTAGTAATCCTGGGGGAAGAGAAAAGGTAAGTTTTCGTAATCGGTAGTCAAGTGGGCATGCTGTTTCCTATTGGGCCCTTCAGTTTTTGGTTTCATTTGATGATCATATCAGAATGGAAATTCATTTGGTGCCGGTTGACACAGCCTTGTCCTTGTGCTGAGATTACTAACTCTGCGGCCTTAGGGACCTTCACTCTTAGATATATCCCCAGCGTCAGGGTAAAAACAACAGAGATATACTAAACTTCCTTCTAACGCACCTTAGAGGTAGAAATAGCCATATGAGACCTATTGTTCCGCTTTCAACTCCATTTTGACCTTACGGTGAAAGTCAATCCACACACTCGCTCTGTATTGGGGCGAAAATTAGGTTTCACATAATTATTATGTTCCAGGTTGTGCCATCATGTCTATCTGTCAGCATATCGTGACTCACTGTTGGGAGCCACTGTAGGTTCTTTTCAGAACCTTGATTAATTTCACTTGATGGAAAGAAGTTCCTATTTACTACTAGTGCTCATACTTGTCCTGGCCCATTCATGCTATGTGCTGGCCAATTTGGATCCCAGTTGGCACCTCCTAATCATTCCATTAAACGACTCCATTGCAAGTTTCCTTTTTTTTTTCTTTCATGTGTCTATGATTTGCTGCTTTTCAGACTGTTTCCTTAGACTACTTACCTTTACCTTTACAGGCGAGGAAGTTCTATGAGTCTGCTCTTCGTCTTGAGCCTGGTTTTCTTGGTGCTGCTTTAGCATTGGCTGAGCTTCATGTTGTCGAGGGACGGAATAAAGATGCTGTTTCACTCCTTGAACGTTATCTCAAGGATTGGGCTGATGATTCTCTCCACATAAAGTTAGCCCAAGTTTTTGCGGCAACAGATGTGCTGTCAGAGGCATTGTCACATTATCAAGCAGCACTGAGGTTTCTTTCTATCATTATTATTTTACATAAAATAAAGGGTACACCTTCCTTGTTTCAAGCATCTACTTCGAACGTTTGAACTGGGAAATTTTTGGCACCAGTCCTTCGTATATGTCAGGCTGGTGTTTATAGATCTTAATGTGAAAATATTGAGTCATAATGAATCTCTCATTGCACAAGACCCAGATATATAATAGACATCACTTCGAAATAGTATACTACAGAAACATGCAGTACCTCAATCCAAATGTAGTCAACGAGTTGAACAGTTTTTTTCAGTCCTTTTGGGTTTTTTCACTGTGTGATGAAATTCCCTTTGACTTGACTTCTCCTCGAGGTTTTTTTTCCTGTGCTTACTGTCGAGTTCTTCAGCAACGTTTTATAAAGCTCTGGTTCAGAAGGTCTTTTCTCAAGGAACTTGCATTCATTGGAGGATTTCTTCAAGTTTTCCGTTTTTAGTTCACTTCTCTTCTTCAATCTTCACCATACCTGTTAGGATTCTACAGGGAACAGAGATGAATAAATCAGTCCAACATCTGGATGCAGGCCAAGTTTTTCACTATATAGTTTTTCATTCTGTGAACTTTGAGGAAGTTTTTCGTTTCAAAGACCGGATTCAATTGAATAGTCCTGTTTCTTTCTCTGCTGCACCCAGAATTAATCCTCAAAATGAAGCTGCAAGAAAAGGGCTAGAGAGGCTAGAAAAGCTGATGAAGGTTTGTCTACCCTTTAACTACTGTACTTCATTCATGTGTTTTAAAGCTAGTCGGTCTCCCCTATTTCCCCCACATATTTCGTATCTTCCATTTTTTTCAGCATTCTTCATCTAATAATTATATTATATAATAATTCTCAATTTGACAACTCTTACAGGGACTGGATCCTGATGCACCTGAAGAGGACGAAGACAATGAGGTTGAAGATGCCGATGGAGATCAGGAAGAGGCTGAACTTTTGTAGTGGATATAACTTGGGGTTTCTGTCAATATACAGGCCTCTCCTAGGTAGTTTTATTAGGGTTGAAGCTTAGTTCTTTTGTGCATCAACATCGGCGGAAGATTAAGGCATCAATCACTTTTCTCCACCTTTTCTGCCAGAGAATGACCTGTTCTTACCAGAGAATGATGACCAGTTTTCTGGTAATGGAAGTAGCCAAGGAGGTTCACATAGTGAACATGTGTTCATATAAACTGATGAAGATATCAGTCTGCGCTTGGCAATGTAGGAAACATCACTTGTACTGAGCTTTCTGACTTTTAGAACGTAGAAGAACAGTAGAGATGGGATGTGATGAATAAAGTTTCACAGGATGATTTGATATTTACTTTGAGTGTACTTTATTTTGTGAATGAGACTGAAAGGAGGCCCGCTCGTGGATTGTTTATCTGCGATGCTTGTAATTTTTTAGAGTAGTTTTCTTTATAATGTGATGGGTATTTCCAATTTGAAAGGAGGCCCGCTCGGGGATTGTGCAGAACATGAACACATTCATCTCTGCTCTTGTTGCAGATGAACTGTTTCAATTTTGACTTTCTTCTGCCTTTCTATTTATAATGTGATGGGTATTTCCAATTTGAACCCAAATGGTAAAGCTACTTCCTAAGTTCATTACTATTTAATGAATGTGAGTATAGAAGGTGAAGTCATTTTCTGTCGATGGACCTTGAGTAGTGATACCTTTTGTTTATGCATAGGGGAGAGATTTGTCTTAATTCATAAGGCCCTTACCATTCTCTCTTGTAGTCAATGTATGTTTGCAGCATTCTCCTCAATTCTACTTTCACTGCCAAACATGTATTCTGTAGAAACCATTTGTATGCTTGAACATCACATGTCCCTCTTATAGAAATCATTATTCTGCTTGAACATCACATTTTGAGATCTTTCAATGTGAACTCTGTAAAATTGTGTGCTCAAAATTTCCATGCCAATCTAAGTTTGTAGAAACCATTTGTGGGGTGGGCTCTGATTTCTACCATATATATTATCATTTACTCAAGTACATATTTATTTCAGCTACATAGCTAAATATGTCAAGAGTCTTTAGTAGGTTATGCAGGTGAACCAAGAAGAGAGGGGGGGGGGGTGAATTGATTCTTGATATATTATTTGACCTTTTCTCATCTTATGTCTTTTAAATATTTTTTTAAGATAAATTTAATTTAATTTAAACAGAGAAAAGGATAGTTTGGCAACACTTTGGCTTACATTCTCTTAGCTCCACTATTTTTGTCTTGAGGATATGACTAAATATGCAAGATTTTGTAAGTTTATATCACTTACTAGATTTTAAAGTTCTCTAACAATCTTTTACAGAATAAACTTCATGAGTCTATCTTTCTCACTAGATTTATAAGCTCTCTAGTAACTTTGATAGCATAGACTCCACGATTCTATCCACCAGACTCAATGCTCTAGCTATTGTTTTAATAAGATGGATGAGATGAAGTTTTTCTCTTTGTGATTTGGAGGAATTTTTTTTCATCAATCCATGTGGTAATCATTACCTTTTTCTTCCTTCTGTTCCTCTTCAGTAATAAGAAATTAGTTTGGATTTATCTTGTTTTTCTGCATTTAGAATAGATAACTTTAGTGTTGGCTAGATTATGTTTATCAAAGGAAGATTTAACCACTTTAAAGCTAGATTTTTGAGTCTTGTTTCTGACTGTAAATTTCCTGAATTGTTTAGGGAGTAAATCTATTTCATCTTTATCATCTCACTCACTAGATAAGTCATTGAAATCATCTACTTCAATAGTTATTGTTTTTTTGGATGTTGTTCTTTAATTTTCAAAAAGCTCAACGAGTTCTATCATCTCTATAGAGATCCTATAAGTTCATTTGATGATTATTATGTTGAATCATTGGCCTCTTCAATTTTAGTTATGTTTGATATCCAACTTGAGGTAAATTATCTTATAATTTTTTTATTTAATTTAGAGCTTGTGGAATTTTTCCTTAAACACTTCAATCTATTATTTTGCAAGTATGAGATATGACCCATGTTTCTATGAAACTGTCACACTCAACATGTCTATTAGAGTAAGATCACAAATATTGCAACATTAAATCATACTTCAATCATGATAGTATATAAATCATTCTTGCATTGTTATTATTGATGAAGTAATGTGCATTAAGCATATAATTATTTAACTTTTCACTACAATGATGAGCATGTGGTTTTCCTTAAAAAGCCTTCTGAAAATTTAAGATTCGAAATATAAATTTGGAAGGCTAGTATCGTATTTCAATTTAACTATATCTACTAAATCAGATCATCCAATCAGTTACAAAACTCTTTCTTTTGAGTTATTGCTACCTAACTTTCTAACTTTGATGAATCAATGTTGTATACTATCAAATTAAAGTAGTTTTAAATCACCTCTTGTACATTTTATCTTCTCCTATGATATTTATTGACAAAATTATTTATTATCTAAAACTTGGACTTATAGAAAATATGAATTTATCTAATCCTACTATGTCATCTGTTCATTATGCTTCTTTTTTATCCTTCTAAGGTTTTATTGAAAATAATTATTTCAATTACAAGACCCAAGTTTCTTTGGGTCTAAATTTCCTAATTTTTTTTCAATAGCTTTGGATATCCATTATTGTATAGTTGCATCCATGAGAGGTAATAGTTTAATCTCATCTTACAATAGATTTTCATTTTATGGGAGCTGATTGTTTGTATCTAAACAATCAAATACCTTAGGCGTTGTCAATTACCATACTTATATTGATATTTCATTTGTCATCCTAGTTTTTGTTTTCTCTCAATAAGTCTTTTCAAATAGATTTATGTCTTAGTATTCAATGATGTAGATTATAATAACTTAAATATCTGATTTCTATACAACTTTTTGAGGAGATCCCAATTTCCTTTATAACCTTAGACACTACTTAGCTATTATTTTTATCAATATTTTCTATTTACATACAATTTTTTTATTTTTCAAGAAAATCTCTTAACAAAGCCATCAATTTTACTTGGATCAATCTCAACCTTTAATTGTTTACTACCTTTCTTATTCCCTCAATTAAGCACACCTTTGCTCCATTCTCTTCATCTAATTTAGAAGGGATATATTCATTGATTAGTATTAGCTCATTCTCATACTTTCTAACTTCTCCCAAGTCATGCGAAGGTATGAAATCTTAAGGATTTCTTCCATGTTAAAACTACAATATAGCATATTCATGGCTTGTGCATCTATGACTATTTTTAGTGCTTCCTAAGATAAGTTATTATTATTTGTAAATTACTCTGAAAAATAGAAGAGGTTTAGTAGTGGAATGACCTTCTTAATAAAGTCTTGAAATATTAGTCATAGGGACCTACTCCTTGAAGACATTACTTCTTTTGAATAGAAGCTTTGATACTAATTGTTGAAAGCCTATTCGGTTATGCAAAGTGAATTAACATAGGGTATGAATTGATTCTTGATGTATTATTTGTCTTGTCTTATAACTATTTTCTTAAGATGATTTAATAAGATTCAAAGTGAGAAAGACAAAGAAATAACATGTTATAATAATTTGACCACAACTTACCCTAGTCTACTTCCAATATCATTCTTTTAGTTTCACTATTATTATCTCAAGAATATAGTTGATTTCACAAGATTGACAAACCCTTACTATATAAACTCTATGAATCTATATTACCCACTAGATTTCAAAGTTCTCCAAAAATATTTACAACATACATTTCATAGGTCTATTCTTCTCATTAAATTTAGAGGCTTTCTTACTTCCTTGTGATAATAAACTATGGGAGCCTATCTATCCATAGATTCAAAGCTCTAGCTAGGCTTTTAATCACATAAGTGCCTCAAGAGTTCCTTCACACTTTCAAACACCAGATAAATAAATAAAAAATATTTAACATGACAGCACCATCATCTTCTTAATGCTGAAGAAGATGGACAAGGTGAAGCTCTTCAACATGCCAAATAGGAGGATATCTTTTGATGTTGTAGAAGCTTGGAAGAATGGAATGCAACAAACAAAGGTTCTTGGTAGAGGGTGATTCTTTGGAGACATTTGAAGGAGAAGGTTAGATGAAGTGGAAGCTTTCCCTCTTGATTTCTTGATCTCCTTTTTGACTTTTCTTTCCTTGTCCTAGTTTAGGCTAAAGCCATCTTTTTATACTCAACAAGACAAGTGGTTGTCTTGATGGTGAGTTGAGCTAAGGGGTCTTATGTGTGCCTATAAATACATAGGAAATATGTTTGTTGGTTTTTAATTTTTTTTATAAAAACTCAAATAATTCAAAATGTGGCATGTTTTTTGTTGCATTGGATTCATCATTAGATCATCTTTGTAAGGAATAGTTGCAAACACATCTACAATTCAATCCTGCAGCTAAAAATTATTTTAATCAACTAGGTTAGAAATCTGTATCATTTTTGTCTAGAACACAATTCTAAATTTAGTAATGTTGTAAAACCATAATAATTTAATTCTTCAAATTTAGATGCTTCACACATTTATCTTATCATAACAAAATCATTCATTTATATGTAACTAAACTTTTCATTATCAAAATAGCTGAAGCTATTGAACTCTAACAATACATACATTAAGGGGTGTTCTACATAAGTGACATTATTTAGGTGACCATGAGTATTCAATAGTAAAGTCTCTTTTGAATATTTATTTAGAGGTGGGCTTGTTGAGAAGAAAATAAATCTCTTTCTTTCCTTATGTAGCTTTTTTTAGGTGCTTATTTTTACTCACTCATAAAATCCTTGTTTAAATTTTTAAAAATTTCTCATGATCTGATTGTTTTAAAGAGATTAATCCTTTGACAGGATTTGTTACATTTGTGACATTCATTAGGGTAGTATTCTTTCTAAAAATCTTTAGCTTTTGAGATTTCTTATCTCTAAAGAAAATATCTCCTTAATCATTGTTGGATGTAAAGTGGTGGCCAATTGTAATGCTAATGCATTTTAGTTTATTTCTATATTCGAAGTAGTACAAAAGTTTCTTATAGTTATCTACTAATAAGAGTCTTCTCATCATGTTGGTATCACCATCAGCACGCTTGAAATACCTCTGAGATCGACCCTCCCAACACCAACACTTGTAAAGATATCTAAGAATATTATCTTGAGTGGGACTCACAAGTCACATCACACCATGTGGCAAATTGATCTAGATGTTTCCCTTTCCCAAAATTTCTTGTCTGTTTCCATAATTGGATATAAGAGTGAAGTGCATGAATGTTCTTTCTCTTGTATAGATATTGGTGGGATCATAACATCTTTGGATGTTGATTGATGCCATTATCAAAGAGCGAAATCATTTTGGTGTTTTATTTAATTATTATCATAATTTACTTATATAATTTGAATAATTACTTTCATGACATGCTGACATACAAGGATACTTATATGTTGTCAAAATTTATTGCTTGTTTAAATGATCTAGATATAAAGACTTAATAGGTCAAGATTCTATCTCCAATTTAGATATTATTGGTGGGATCATGATGCTACTTTGTTGTCTATCCTATGAGTTGTGGCATGAACTTTTATCTCATTTGACCTTGAATGGTATCATAATTTTAAGGAGGAGATTCAATATAAATGGCATCAATGCATTAGCCAATCAATCCTAAGGTTAGAGGAAGATGTAATACCTTGAGTCATTACTCTTCATTTAATGAGAAATAAAAAATATAGACATAATATGTAGAATATTAATCTCATCAATATGATCATGGTAATAAGGGTAAGTTTTACCCCTTCATAAAATGATATTTTAGCATATAAATGAATAATGTACTGTAGATGTACAATTATGTATTAAGAGTTTTTAATGCTAGATATCTTATGGGTGGTTGTAAGTTTAGCTTATATGATCAATGTATTGAAATTTGATGCTACTAAAGACTATCATATGGGTGTCGCCATAATTAAAAATTTAGTTATTCGAATAAATTTTAAATCATCTAAAAATGGCTTTTCCACATTAATGTTGCCAATCGTGTAAATAAAATATTTATGGAGACAAAAAAAGGAATATTTTGAGGGGGGAGAGAGGGGCATAGAGCCAGCTGGGACGTCACTTGGGGGGACCAAATCGAGCCCATCTGTGCAGCCTCTACCCTGAAATCAGTCAGATTCGGTAGAATCCGATTCTGGGTCCAGGCAACCTTGCAATGCGTAGGGAATGGGTTCCAGGCGCTCCAGGTTTTCCGCGCCGCTTCCTGCCTCCCAAACTCTTCATATTCTCGGAGGATGTGACGTCATCAGGAGGATGAGATCGAATGTGAGGAATCCGGCGAACCCATTAACTTATCGGATTTAAAAAGCCACCGGAGTGCTCGTGACGTCACGCTGGGGCCCCACATCTATCCGGATGTTATAGTGGGCCAGGCCGGGCCGGGCCGGGGCTTTCTCAAGCCCAGACCATCGTGGGGCCGGAATGTGGCCCGAGATTGCCACCTGTGAAGCTCCTACAATAAATTTAAAATTTAAAAGGCAATTTTTTTCTCTATCATAATTATAGTAATCTAAGGGAAGTGAGAAGCACGGAGAGAAAACCCCAAACGTTGACCCACGCAGCAGAAGAATGTTAGTCAATATGGACAAAATCAGTGTCAACAGTAGAAATATCTTCGTCTTGGTACTAGGTCAAAGGGACTGAGGGGGACTGTTCAGAGGTGGTTCCTGCGTCGTTTTATAAAAGTTAATTAAATTGTAGGAGTTGACTACCACGGAGATAACTTTTTTTGGAAAAAAAACCCAGATTTGTAAATCATGCGATGTTCGGCGATCTTGGAGCCTACTTTGCTAGATTCTATTTGTTAAATGCGGGCATCAAAATTATGCCCAGAAGGGTAACTGTCTCAGTTCTCAAATGGGTCAGACCCAGACGTCCAAAGATTCTCATTACCCCTCTCTCTCTCTCTCGCTCTCGCTCTCTCTCGCTCTAGAGTTTGGTTTTGTGGGTTACATCATGATGCTGTCGGACCTCATCTGCATGGCCACCCCATGCATGAGCATGGCTTTCTAAAGCAGGAGGGTCTCACCGCACGCTAACAGGATAAGCTCGTGCCTTCCAGCTCCTCCTCTCTCTGTCTCCATCTATCTCTATCTCTCCCTCACTTTCTCTCCATTGCCATCAGCGCGGGAGGGAGAGGGGATTCCGCAGGTGACGAAGAACAAAGCGGATCAAAAGAGGGAAGGGAACGATGGAGACCCCCTGTCTCTATCTCTCTCTCTCTCTCTTTCTATCTCTTAGGGCTTCTTCTCGGAACGTTATCGAATCGTCGCCACATCATCTCCGGCCTGACTCCAACTCTCAGAATATGTCGTCGTCAAGGAAAAAAAAAAGAAAACTCTCTCTCGCCCCACCACGGACACGATATAACCAGCCAGCCATGTCAGTCCTCTTCCTCCATCCCCTCTCCCCTTCCCTCTACCCACAGACTCTCTCTCTCTCTACTGTGACTGGTATTGATCTCAGCGACGATGGAGAGAGTGGCGAGGTTGGCGGCGCAGCAGGCGGTGGTGATCTTCAGCAGCAGCACCTGCTGCATGTGCCACGCGATAAAGTCGCTGTTCCAGGACCTGGGGGTGAACTACACGGTGCACGAGCTCGACGAGGAACCCTATGGCGCCGACATAGTGACGGCACTCTCCCGCCTCATCGGTCGCAGCAGCCCCCTCCCCGCCGTCTTCGTCGGCGGGAAGCTCGTTGGCTCCACCGACCGCGTCATGGCCCTCCACCTTGCCGGCAAGCTCGCCCCCCTCCTCAGCGATGCCGGAGCCAAGTGGCTCTAACGGCCTCTTCGCTCCTCCAGGATCCAAAACCCTAACCCTATCCCATGTCCCTGAAACGGGGAGGACAAGGAGCAGGTTGACGAGGAGGACGATGACGAGATGGGGATCTACTGTGAGAGGTTACCTTCTGTGAGCCACTCCTTGAATAATTAGTCTCTTCTTCTTGCTCGAAATCAATTATTTCCCCATCACAGGATCAGGAAAAGAGTAACAATGAAAAATTTATAAGAAAGATATTTTTCCAACGAAGAATTTCTACCCATATCTGGGCTCAGCTGATTAACAAAAATAGGGAATATTCTTTTATAAACCCCGGAAAATATTCGAAAATCTGAACGACCCATTTCGTAAAAGGCCTTTCTACACCCCGAGAGCCCCATTTGAATGGATAAACCGGGCTAATTTTTACACGTGGCAGAGGCAGAGGATGCCACGAACCCTTCTCACACCCTTACAACTGGGCCCCCGTTGACGCTAAATGGGGAGTTAATTTGTAAATATTTGCATATCTATTATCTAATTAAGTATTTATTTTCCCTATATTTTAATGTAATATTCTACAATTAGCCAAGAGCTGATTATAGGATATTATCAATGAAAATTACCCGGGTGGTTGGATCCGAACCAAATTTCGGTGGCGGATCTGAACTGGGTCTTGAGGCGCGGGAAAGAGGAAAGGTCGAGGAGTAGTGGCGGGAATCGACTTGAGTCGGCACGTGCGTAACTGAACCGACCCGGAGATATATATATTTGTGTTATACCCTTGCTGGGTAAAATTGACGAACAGAAATAGAGAAAGCCGAAGCCCCCCCCCCTTTGGTTCTCTCTCTCTCTCTCGCCCGCCTCGGGCGCTGTGGTTTCTCTGTTCTTCCTTCGCTTTTGTGTGCGATCGAGGGGAGGAACGGGCAGGAGAAACCCTAGGGGATCGTCGATGGCGCGGCCGGCGAATTCCGAGGATTCCTCCGAGGAGGCCCCCTCGAGTGCGTCGATGTCGGAGGAAGAGCAGAGGGATGTGGGGGAGGAGAACCTGGACGAGGAGGACGTGGAGGAGCTCGAGGCCGTGGGGAGGACCGCGAGCCCCGATGAGGACGACGCCGGCGGAGAGGATAATTCGCAGTCCACGGAGGATGATGTCGTGAAGGAGAGCGACGACGAAGAAGAGGTAACTGATAGGAGAACGGCTTGCAGACGGTGTCGTGTTTTGATCTACGAAATCTGGGGTTTCTGCCGTCCTCTCCGTCGATTTTCCTTCCATTTTAGGTTGTATTTTGGGGAGATTGCTTTTCTCGGTTGAATATCGTTTTTTTATCATAACATGCATATTGTACGTCTACACCACTGAGAATTTAGTTATCGTGTTAATTCTTGTGTTTTACATATTTATGGATTATACAGTGCATAACCTCGTTACTTGCATCTGCACTGAATTTAAAAAGATCAATAACAAAATGACAGTGAAATCATCTTTAGGTGATGTGGCCGTCTTGAAATACCTAGGCAGTCTGCCATCGCAATAGCGGGTTGAGGGGCATCCCCTCTGCTAGGTGTTTTTAAGACACTTGGTGTAACTGATCATATGTAGACAGAGATCTCTGGCTAGTGTATGGATGGTCGATATTTCAATATTTTTTACACTTCTATGTGTCATTAATTCAGGCAATAGCAAATACTGAGATCGCAAAGAGAGAAAGGGCCAGGTTGAAGGAGATGCAGCGGCTTAAGAAGCAGAAGATTCAGGAAATATTAGACACACAGAATGCTGCCATTGATGCTGATATGGTGTGCATTCAGATACTTTTGTTGCAAGAACGATTTTTTTTGTGCGACAATGCTAATTACTAAAATTACGTTGAGCTTTGTAGAACAATAAAGGGAAGGGTCGTTTAAAGTATCTCCTCCAGCAAACTGAGATATTCGCGCATTTTGCCAAAGGTGCTCAAGCCGCAGCTGATAAGAAACCCAAAGGAAGGTGAGTTATCTGACGTAATCTAAGCTTTTACTACCATACCGGGTAGAATTTATCCTCAGCTTCGTAATGTGGAAGACTTCTGCATCTAACATCTCTTATTGATAATGTTTTCGGTTACTCCTTTTGGGATGATGCAGGCTCTGAACGTTTCCTGATATTTTGAGTAGATCCATTCACTTGCATTTCGTTCAAGAATGTCACAGAAGTTAACTATGCCACACACCTTTTTTCTCGTAGTCGGTCATGGTCATGGTCATGGTCATGCTTAAAATATTATTTACGGCCTTGCTTTCCCACGAAAGTGATCAAGTCCAATCGTTTCGTTGAATATATCTATGAATGAATGATACGAATGCGAGTGAATCCTACAGAATAAACATATCGTTGCATACTTGTCGTGCTTGTGGTTTCCCGTTTTATTTTTATCTATTTTTCTGGGGGCAATGATTTTAGTTTTGAAGGATGGATGATACTCGCAACTTTTAGATGAAATGGTTTTCGCGTTGTAAATTACATTAATTGAAAGGTTAACAATCGGAAATAGACTTGAAGAAGTTGTGAAATTAATCTGTGGAAGGCCAGGACAAACGATGCTTTTACATTATCTTCACCAGTCAGGTAAAGTCTGACAAGGAAGAATACTCAGGGAGTTCCATGTGGAACCTTTGAGGAGCTGTTGTTCCCCATCATATGATTTTGGAGCGGACTAGAAAAACACAGGAATTGAATGAAGTGAATTCGCTATCGAAATGTATTGCAATGCAAGACATGAAAAGCCAATAGTTTGCAAAGCTACAAATAAGGTGACGTGCAGATTTTGAGGTCATGCTAGTTCTTTCAGGCCTTTTGTCTCAATCTTTTTTTTTTGTGTTAGTAGTGTAGTATATCAGGACGAGTTCTGCCAAAGTGGAGTCGCGATAACTTCCATGAACATGTTAACCTTCTAAATGACTTCTGGAATTTCGTATCCTATTTGTTCTCATGTAAAGCTCAAAACTTTTTCAGGTAGACGCTCATCTTTATTTTATCTTGTTTAGAATTATCATCCATGCTTGGAAAGGGAAAGTCAAAAGATATTGGCACCATCTATATTTTCAATATCTTCACCTATTCCATGGAAAATAAAAAATGAGGAAGAAAATGACCAGCGCACATTATTAACCTAGAGAAGAATGTGTGGCGGGCTAGTAACGATAGATGGTTACTAAATCTATATCTAGTCGTGGATATGGAAACATATGGGTTGGGGGTGGCTGCTGACCCACAACTAATTGTATGTTTCAGTGCATGTGAATCGCTAGGCTTTTCAGTTGATCTAAACATTTCCGATTTCGATATTTCTCTGGATTTGTTTGTTCTTACCCATATCTGAGGGTTGCATAGTGTACGAATTGTAATCAATGCGTGCAATTACGGATTCAGCCGCACTAATGCCACTTTTGTCATATCTGGTTGCTGAGTTTTGGTTGTACCATGACTCATTAAAGTTGTCAAGGGTCTCAGATTACAGACTGGATTCTCATTTATTTGTATCCTTTGTTTTTCTGGTTCTTGCCAGCTTTGTAGGCTTTCTTGCTTGGTACGGTCCAACTAGTGATGATGTTTTCTTTCTACCTTATTGTTACAGAGGACGTCACGCATCTAAGGTAACAGAAGAGGAAGAAGATGAAGTGTACCTCAAAGAGGAAGAAGACAGTTTAACTGGTGCTGGAGGAGGCACACGTTTGGTGTCTCAACCGTCATGTAAGTTTTCCTTCGTTTGATACATTCGGTGTAACTTGGTAGACATTTCTTCGTTTTCCAGGAATGATTAACTATTGTAAATGCCTATAATCTAGAAAGTTGCCTGGATGGCAATATGTTTGGAAAGTAAGGAGTGGAGGTATATTTGGGTCGGAAGGTGTATGGCTCAGAGAGCTGGTATCACTTAGAACCATGCAGCTTCGATATTATTATGTCGTTTGCAAGTAATTTGGAGATGATTATAAAGGATGAGGACTTTCTTTTGGGGATGTGAAGAAGTAGGGATTGTAATCGTTTCATGCTCAGGAATGTTGCACAGTCATAGAGTAATGATTTTGACCATGGGAACTTCTTAAGTTATGGTTCTGAATCCAAGTTAAAAGCTAGGGATCCGAAGCTATTGAATGGAATCTTTGATTATTTACCCTTAATGATGTACCATATGGACATTGAATATTTTCCCTTTTGCTTCTTCCTGATCGACCTTTTCAAGCATATCCTGCAACCATCATCGCCATGTAGTCTAGTGTAAAAGTTACGGTGGAACCTTCATTTTGCATTTCATCTGTATTCTTTTATATTTTTCTTCATTCGGAGAGGTTTACTGACTTGCGGGCTTCTATCTTTCTTCGTTTAACTGTGACACTGATCGATCTTTTTTTTTAGCTCAGGCATACAAGGAAAAATGAGGGACTATCAACTTGCTGGTTTGAACTGGCTGATACGATTGTATGAAAATGGAATCAATGGGATTCTTGCTGACGAGATGGTATAATTCACATTTTTTTTCCTCTCCAGAATATGTGCCCGGTCTTGATTATATGGGCTGATTGTTGTTGTTTCGGTAGACTGACGTCCAAATTTCTGCTATTTTATGCTGGTTATCTTGATGATGTAATTTTACTACTACTTTTCAGGGCCTTGGTAAAACTTTGCAAACAATATCATTATTAGGTTATCTGCATGAATTCAGAGGAATCACTGGGCCACATATGGTTGTGGCTCCAAAATCTACTCTTGGCAACTGGATGAAGGAAATTAGGCGGTTTTGCCCTATTCTCCGTGCTGTCAAGTTTCTCGGAAATCCAGAAGAAAGGGTAATATTAATAGATCGACGATTTTCTATTTATATCTGAATTCGTCACTTCTGCACTCATGGGATGTTTTCTGCCTTGTCTTTTTTGCTTGAGCTCATCAGTTTTCTGACAGATGAAAATTGCCATTCACTTTCCAGAATTATATACGTGAGAAATTGTTGGTGCCTGGGAAATTTGACGTCTGTGTTACTAGTTTTGAAATGGCAATAAAAGAGAAAACTTCTCTACGTCGATTTAGTTGGCGTTATGTTATTATTGATGAGGCACATCGTATCAAAAATGAGAATTCTCTTCTGTCTAAGACTATGAGGCTATACAACACCAATTATCGTCTTCTTATTACTGGAACACCTCTTCAGGTAATGTTTTCTTTGAAGTAGCTCATCTTCCTGTGCCTTGGATTCATAATGTATTTTGATTCATGTGAATTGATATCAATGGGTGTTTTGACGTGGTCTTTTCGTCTTTGTGCATGTGGAATCATTGAATCATTTACCATAAGTCGTTTCTTGTTTGAGTGACCTATCTCTGAAATGATGTAGAAGTGATCTGGGATGTCAGTGAAGATGTGATTATGCTATTTTTGTTTAGAAGTAAATGCTATGTGATAATAGGCTTCAATGGAATTAATGGTTTCACAGTTTCGTTCATTTGTCTTGAGTTTTACTCAATTAGTCATTTCCAGGTTATTCTGTATCTGTTCTTTCCATTCTTAATTTAGCAGCATGGTCTTTGTTTTTACATTTCCTGTTAAAACCTTTTTTTGTATTTTTAATTGTGCAGAACAATCTCCATGAGCTGTGGTCCCTTCTTAACTTTCTACTTCCTGAGATATTTAGCTCAGCTGAAACTTTTGACGAGTGGTTTCAAATCTCTGGAGAAAATGACCAGCAGGAGGTTGTTCAACAGCTCCATAAGGTAGATTCCGTGAAAGGGCTGCATTAATATTTCTCCTCTTGCACTTATCATTGTTGTTGGTGGATGTGCCCATACTGACTAACCTTTTAACTTTGGAAGGTCCTTCGTCCTTTTCTCCTTCGGCGGTTGAAGTCTGATGTCGAAAGAGGCTTACCTCCCAAGAAAGAAACCATACTTAAAGTTGGAATGTCCCAGATGCAGAAACATTATTATCGTGCCTTACTTCAAAAGGATTTAGAGGTTGTTAATGCTGGTGGAGAGCGCAAGCGCCTTCTGAATATTGCCATGCAGCTCCGAAAATGTTGTAATCACCCATATCTGTTCCAAGGTGCAGAACCTGGCCCACCTTACACAACAGGAGATCATCTTATCACGAATGCTGGTAGGTTCTGACTTGTACAACCTTCTAAACGATTTTTTTTTTTATGCTCATCAGATTTTGGCCAGTGATGTTACTATTCATGTGCAGGTAAGATGGTTCTTTTGGATAAACTTCTTCCAAAACTGAAGGAACGTGATTCCAGAGTTTTGATTTTTTCCCAGGTGAGCCCGTGTTCAGCATTAAGTTTTCCAATTTCTATGGTTATGATGTTTTAAAATTTGAAATCCGATTATGTGCACGCAAGTCTGAAAACGCATTCACTGGTGATTTAGAAAATTAGATGCCGATTGAAATACTGCACTCATGAATGAAAATTTATAAATATCTCATCGTATTACTATGTTCTCTTCTGTTTTTTTTCTTGTTAGTTCTGTAGATCGTAGATTAAGATCTTTTTCCTGATTTCGTGAGCTCAATCTAGGGTTGTTCTGTGTTTGCTTCTTAGCAATTATGTTTGAGACACCAGATCCCACAGCTGTGTTTTCATGACTCTGAAGAGAGACATCAGTTCCTCATGCTGGTAGTAGGTCTCAGGGTTTGGGATTCATTGTGGGTGAAATGATGAACCAAAAAGGAAAATGGAGCTTCATCCCATCTGAACCCTTAAATTTGTGAACTCTTATTTTGGGACGCTCTTAATCATTTTCCTGATGTTGATGCTCCAGCATTCTCTCCTTTTAATTGCTGCCATCACCGTTCATGTTGGTATTTCAATCTTCCGTTTCTCCTTATCATCAATCTCCCTCTTTGTATGTAAATCAGATGACTCGGTTGCTGGACATTCTTGAGGATTATTTGATGTTCCGTGGGTATTTGTACTGCCGCATTGATGGAAATACTGGGGGAGAAGACCGCGATGCGGCCATTGAATCTTTTAATCAGCCGGGAAGTGAGAAGTTCATTTTCTTACTTTCAACGAGAGCAGGTGGCCTCGGCATCAACCTTGCCACTGCAGATGTTGTCATCCTTTACGACAGTGACTGGTAAATCAACGATCCTGTACTCGTGACTCCAGTGATGATTGTCAAGTCCCCACATTTTCATCTCTTTTGTATGTTTTAGGAATCCGCAAGTCGATCTACAAGCACAAGATCGAGCCCACCGAATTGGGCAGAAGAAGGAAGTTCAAGTGTTTCGTTTCTGTACAGAGGTAACCCATTCTTTTGTCCAGTATTTGCTTGGTTCATGCAGCGGCGATCTAATACCGCGGAACTCTACCGTTCATTTTAATTTCTTGTCATCTGTTAATGTTTAGTTTCGGGATTCACAAGATGGCACGAATGTTTTCTGAACGACACCTACGTTTCTTTGCCTTCTCTGCAGTACACAATAGAAGAAAAAGTGATAGAGAGGGCCTACAAGAAGCTTGCGCTTGATGCCTTGGTCATTCAACAGGGCCGACTAGCAGAACAGAAGAGTAAATGCGCTTTTATTTTTGTTCATGCTGATGTGAATTTCTGCGGTTTTATCATCTTGATTCTCTTTTTTATGGCTCAAACAGCCGTCAACAAGGACGAATTGCTGCAAATGGTGAGGTTTGGTGCCGAAATGGTCTTCAGCTCCAAGGATAGCACCATTACTGATGAGGATATCGATCGTATCATCGCAAAAGGCGAGGAAGCAACGGCCGAGCTCGATGCCAAAATGAAGAAATTTACCGAAGATGCTATCAAATTCAAAATGGACGATAGTACGTGTGTCATCTCATCAAAAGTTTGGGCTTCATGCTCGCAAGGTCTGACCATCTCATGTTCTTGTCTCTGCAGATGCCGAGTTGTATAACTTTGACGATGAGAAGGTAAAAGCTGTTCACTCCCAAGCTCTGGCTCTGTGTCTCCGCATCTCTTTGTCATTGGCCACAGAAGCCTGAATCCGCTCCATTGACTCACCTTCAGGAGGAGAATAAGGTTGACTTCAAGAAGCTGGTCAGCGACAATTGGATTGAACCCCCAAGGAGAGAACGCAAACGCAAGTAAGACTGGATTATGGGTCATCAGAGACTGCATTTTCAACTGTCATTTTTCCTTTCTTTGCCATGACTCGCTTGCTTCTTTTTTTTATTTTTCTTACTTGACAGTTATTCAGAATCGGACTATTTCAAGCAAGCAATGCGACAAGGAGGCCCAGCTAAGCCGAGGGAGCCACGGATTCCCCGGATGCCTCAGCTGTATGCATCCCATCCCCTCTTATACTAGCCCATTCGAACCTCTATAGCTTGCCCTGATTTTGCCCCTCCATGGGATTTCAGGCATGATTTCCAGTTTTTCAACACCCAAAGATTGAGTGAGCTGTACGAGAAGGAAGTGCGATACCTCATGGTACGTTCACTCATAGTTTAGCCGTCAACACCCAAAGACGAAGTTTATCTTTAGTCGTGAATATTTTTATTGATATATTTCTATATATAGATTGTTTTTTTTTTTTCAACTCGCGCCAAGCATTATTTCGATGAGCTGACCTCATTGTGGGCTTGTGTCCCATCATCCAACCTTTTTTTGTGCAGCTAACCCACCAGAAAAACCAACTAAAAGACACCATTGCTGATGGGGACGAATCTGAAGGTAACAGGACTTATTAGCCTCTGGATCCTCAATGTTTCCTGCTTCTTCTACCTTGTCCCGACGCTTACGTCTTCTCTTCACTGTAGACGTGGGGGAGCCCTTGACTGCTGCCGAGCAGGAAGAGAAGGAGCGGTTGCTGGAAGAGGTAACGCGTGATCGTCTTCTTGTCGGCCCTTGACCGCTGCCTACGCTTTGCCATTTTTTGAAGCGCCCTCATGATTGGCGCCGGCCGGCCGTCTCTCACCTGCAGGGATTCTCGACGTGGACGAGAAGAGATTTCAACACTTTTATTCGAGCATGTGAGAAGTACGGCCGGAATGACGTCAAGAGCATATCTTCTGAGATGGACGGCAAGTCGGAGGAGGAGGTCGAAAGATATGCGAAGGCCTTCAAGGAGAGATACAAGGAGCTGAATGGTGAGCAAGAACTCAAAGCTCTCCTTCTTTTTATTTATTTATATATATATATATATATGTATGTTCTTTTGAGAATGAAAAAATGGGAAATACGGGCGCAATAATCTTTTTTTTGCTCTCCGCCGCGGCCACAGACTATGACAGGATAATTAAGAACATCGAGAGAGGGGAGGCGAGGATCTCGCGGAAAGACGAGATCATGAAGGCAATTGGCAAGAAGATGGATCGCTACAAGAACCCGTGGCTGGAACTGAAGATTCAGTACGGCCAGAACAAGGGGAAGCTCTACAACGAGGAGTGTGACCGCTTCATGGTGAGCCACCTCTCTCTCTCTCTCTCTCTCTCTCTCTACCCTACCACTCTCTACTCTCTCTCGCTCATCAGCGATGACTGGTATCGTCTCCAGCTCTGCATGGTCCACAAGCTCGGATACGGCAACTGGGACGAGCTGAAGGCGGCCTTCCGCACGTCGCCACTCTTCCGGTTCGACTGGTTCGTGAAGTCGAGGACGACCCAGGAGCTCGCCAGGCGCTGCGACACCCTCATTCGGCTGGTGGAGAAGGAGAACCAGGAGTTCGATGAGAGAGAGAGGCAGGCCCGGAAGGACAAGAAGATCGCTAAGGTCCGAATATTTACTCTGTCTCTGTCTCTGTCTCTCTCTGCGCGGTTTCTCAAGCATGTTGTCATATTACCTTTGGGCGTGGTTTCAGAGCATGACCCCTACGAAGAGGTCGATGAGTAAGGCCCCGGCGATGGAGACCCCCACGCTGAGCTCCTTCAAGAGGCGGAAGCAGTCGGTCATGGAGGACTACGTCGGCTCGGTATGAACTTCATCTCTTTTCCCCACTTCCTCGACCCACCTTATAAAAAACATGAACGGCATCTTAATGTGTTCCTTTTCTCTCTCAGGGGCGGCGGAGGAAAAACCTCACTTGAGAAGGCTTTCTTTAATTCTCTCTCTCTCTCTCTCTCTCTCTCTCTCTCTCTCTCTTCCCCTGCTGTTGGGAGGCGGTCTGAATGAGGGGAGTCTCCCCCTGGAGTAGGCACCGTTAGGGCCCGGAGATCATACACGGAGCAGAAGGCGCACGCTTGTAACTTCATCTTTTTAATGTTTTTGCTGATGATTGCGCGCCATGGAGATTACGAGAAAACGAGCTGCCTTTCTCTTCATCTTCCCACCCCGAGAGAGAGAGAGAGAGAGAGAGAGAGAGAGAGAGAGAGAGAGAGAGAGAGATGTAATCGAGATTTGTGCGTACCTGAGACGCGGCAGGGGGAGAAGAGAATAGTTCGAACAGCCGGGCTTAGGTGAAGACCTGGAGCTGCGACGGCGGCAGCAGCGATAGCCGCTCGCCATGGCGCGGGAGGATCTGATCTCCTCGCCACTAGTCTTCGGCGACGGGGCCGGAGAGCGTTCGCCGAAGAGGCAGAAGTGGAGGAGGGGATTCTCGCCCCGAAAGGAAGAGCCAGATGTGGCGGATGAGAGCTGCTCTCTCCCTCGCCAGTGCCGCGCGCGCTGCGGAGCTTCTCAGTCGCCAATGTAGCGCAGGGGACCCGTCGGCCCCAAGGTATTATCATCATCTACCTGTACTCTTCCCTAGATTAGGTTCAGCTTCTGATTCTTCGTCTTCTTCCTATCGAAATTGGATCACACCAGAAAGGAAACAGTTGACCCAACTGCGCAGCAATAGGCATCGGGTCCAATTACCAAGGGAAATCGCCAATGTTTCCTATTGATTCATAGTTAAACCCATAGCAAAATTGCCCGAGAAGATTCCAAGATCCTGAAGTTTCCTATTATTATGTGTTCAACAATGGAAGCTTGGGATTGTGCCCAAGAACGGTACTCGGGTGAGAATCATAGTTTGTTCCTGAAAATTCCTGAAGATGAGAGAATTTCACGTTCTAATAAGAAGAACCAGGCGAAAAGAATGGAGACGACGGAGTTGTTGAGGGTATTCTAATCAACTTAGCTAGAACAAATCACGGTATTGGTTCTGCGAGTAACATAAACCTACGGGCTCTCTCTCTCTCCCTCTCTCTCTGTGTCTCTGTGTCTCTCTGTCTGTCTCTCTCTCTCCCCCTCGCTGTTCAAAGACTCAAGGTGAATGTTCTGAAAATAAGCCCAAGGCGACGGACGAGGAGGAGGTAGCGGTGTGGATAGCTCGTCGACAACTCCGCCCTCGCTCGCTCTCGGCATTTTCCTGCCGAGCGAGAGAGAGAGTAAATGATGAAACGTCAAGCGTTCGTACCTCCCACAAGAAGGAGTGCGGCGTCTGCTTTGGCGCCATGTAGGTTCACCGCCACGGTTTTTCCGTCGCCGGATGTCGTCATCCTCCTCCCTCATCACCCTCATTCGCTCGTGGAAAACCCACCTTCCGACCAAGGGAATGGCTTTGGAGATCATCGGACGTGGCGTGCGATCCCAGGTTTCGATCGGGTGTCTTCAAACACGTTAGATGCTCTGACCCAATTAATGGCAGGAATGCCCGCAAGAAAAAGTCAGGCGACGGGAAGGGGGACGATGAGATGGACTTCTGATATCAGATCGCCTTCTTGTTTGGCTCTCTCACCTTGCCGGCTACCACTCGCTGTCCCGCGCGATGATAAGCTTTCCGATCATCTCGGGGATGGCGGCGGCCTGGACAGCTTCCTCCACTTGGTCGTCGTTCAGCGGCCAGTTCCAGCGGGAACGGCGAAACCGGGTCGGGGTCCTCAGAAGACTCACGTTCATGTCCTCAAGAAGTGCAGCGGCTGCGGCTACGTGCAGCGGAAGCCGGGTGGTTAGGAGGTCCTGTAGGGGTATGCCGAAGATACCGGGGGCGCGGCGCAGCTCTATCGTCGGCGCGAGCGGGAGATTGTTTTGCACCCCTAGGAGCTCCATGGCTTGGCGGATGTGGTCCCCAATGAAGAAATAGGAGGGGTTGCAGAAGATGAGAAGGAGGCCATCGGGCAAGATGATACCTTCCTCGGAGGCCGCTGGGCGGTAGACCAGGGCCCGCGAGGAGTAGGCGAGGTGGATGGAGTGCATCCAGTAGATGACGGACCCGCAGCTAGTGATTACAGATTGCTGGTTGAAGGAAACGCCCACGGCCCTGGTTCGATCCCCCGAAAGGGACGAGTTCTCGTGCCCACTCTGATGCCTCTATCCAGTTTTCCGTCACGACGACGCGGTATGGGTTCCGCCCGACTGACACGAGCCTGGGATTGCCCCGCGACCGCTCCGACGCCATTCCCACCGGTGATTCTGCTTCTCTCGCGTTCTTGATGGGAGACGATGTGATTTCTTGAGTTCCAGAAGAGGGAGAGAGGGAGGGGAGAGAGAGAGAGAGAGAGAGAGAGAGGATGCTGATTGGCGGCGGTAGTAGATCAACAAGATCAGGGGAAAACAACATACACGCCATGGACGATAACCACCGACGGGGATCGACGTCCCAGCGCTGCACTGATCTTCCGTTCATTTCCGCATCGCCGTTACGAGACTACGACCACACGGGGGTTCCGTTCCTCCGTCATCCGGCCCCACCGTCACTGAATCGGTCGCCTGGCCGTCACCGGCATCCGCCTTCCTCACTAGCGTGAGATCATATACTCAAGTGTTAGTCCTCGTCAAAACCACTCCCATCGATGATGCGCACTGTTTCTTCTGAGACTCGAAGATGATGCGCAGAAAATCGTTCATGCCATGCTCTCCGAAGTAAGGAGAAACCGGAGTGGGAAGATGCTCTACCTCGGAGCAAAATCAGTCGTCATGTCTCTTAGAGATGTGCAGATCATCCCGAGATGCATTCTTTGGTCAATCCTTCAAAGACCTAAAAGAATAATTGCTGAATTTTAAACAAATTTTTGATAGTTATTGACTCATTTAACCTAGTTCCAAATGAATGAACAAAGCATCGGTTGCCTCAACTTGAGGCATTGAAAGTGATGACGAGACAGTAGAATCTGAATTTCTCGGAGTGACATGAAGGAAATTAGGTGGAGGACACTACTAGATGAAAGATATATAACAGATGCCCATTCATTGTGACTACTCCCTCTCACCGTCTTGTTATATCCTTCCTCCTCTTCATCTATTTATAGGGAGGGACATGGAAGAAGTTAGAAGAATTGTCTGGAGAATTGTGAGGGCGGTGAGGACACGAAGGAAGAAACCGGGCTTGGTGAGATAATTAGAGAGGACGGTTCTACCTCTTCCATTTTGGTGAGATAATAAGTTCGATGGAAGACATCAAGACACCTTGTGAGGCTCCCTGTCTATTTTTTCCTGTATCAAATAAACACCTCTAGCTCCCTCCATGGGCATTGGAGGATTTCTCAGAGCCATGTAAATTTTGATGCTTTACTTCTTCGCATTTTTTCATTTGGATTCAATCTTGCCGTCTTTCTATATTACACGTTGATGTTTTTTAATGCATGTATAGTTAAATGGGTAACGCTTCTATGATCCATCTTCCACTGTTTCTGTTTTATATGAGTGTGGTTCTATTTCAGTATCATAGCAAACTTTCTGATACCTTATAAAGTCTAGTATTCTAAAGATGTCAATGACAATTTTTGGGTGTCAAAATTGATGAAAATATTTACATTTTTTTAATGCAGAAAAGGGAGGGCAGCCCTTGTAAAGCAAGCAAGGATTTCACAAAGCTAAATACAGCAAATAAATTTAATACTATAATATATTATATTTAAAATTATTTAGTGTAATTCAATTATTTTTAACCTACGTAAATTATTGACAAAGACTGTACTACTACTGAGTTATATAAAAAATAAATTTTTTATGCGAAAATATCATAAAAATAATTTATATTAGGAGAGGCAATCAGATAATTTATTGTATATTTAATTGAGGAAAAATTCTAGAGTATGTGGATTCATTTAATTAATTGAGGTTACACCTTTGGAATAGCTAATTCCTATGACAACATAATTACATCAATGTAATTCAGTAAGATAATCAAGTGTGAAACATAAGATAAATGGCCCTTGTTTGTTATCCTGGAAATACAAATTAATGTCCTCTTTAACAGGAACAAGATATTAAATAAGTATAAATCTATGGATAATGTATAATAATACTAATAATAATATTAAATTCCCATAAGGTACTAAAAAGAATGTAGTTGATGCTCATATTTTGAATTTATGAATTTAAATGAATTAACTATTGGTGCTTACTAATGTTGGAAATGTTACTATTTACTAAAATTACCACTAGTGAAAAGTAATTATTTATGCATGAGATTTTACACGAATTATTGAAATAAAATTTTAATCAATGTAATATAGATCTCTGCACTTTTAGTTAATGGAATTGGGATTGCTTATGTGGTCCTTTAGAATTTCTGAATATTATAAAATGTTAATTTTATATTATTTATATTCACATTCAATTAAGGTAAGGTAATTTTATATGTAAACTCATTGCTTTATAAGAGAAAGTAATTTTGATTATATTATCAACATCAAATTCTTACAAGACACTTGTGAACTGATATCTTCCAATATATGCATTCATGCTTATTTTAATTTAACTGGTTATCAACATCAAATTCTTACAAGACACTTGTGTATTAATTTAACATTATATAAAATTAAGTACTTAAAAGATGTGTTGTATTGATTTATGAACATCTTAATTTCGAACTAATTTTAAATTTTAAGGTTGAGTGACAAAAAATAGGGGAAGGTTTTCAGTCAAATTTTTCTATGAATTCAATCTCTGTACAATGGCTAATTAGATTCATAGGATCATATCTGACACCAATAAAAATTTGAGAATATTTATAGAAATTTAAAGAGATACTTATAGATATGTTATAATGATCATTGAAACTTGGGCAAACCACTAAAGAGCTACAATTGAGGTACAAATATCTTCATTGATCTGATAGTTTTCTTGTAAATATAGGACAAGAAATAAGTATGATTTTTTTTCTTCACTATATTTTTGGATATGATAAAATCTTGATTAACTAATTGGCATATCTTCCTGTGATGTTTTCCCTTTGTCTCATATGAGACCTAATTGTGATCAAATTTTCACTTAATCATTTAAGAAATATGATCTTTTTAATCAACTTAAGGCCACCTAGGACTGTAAATTTAGAAGAACTTTTTTCAGTGAAATTCTATGGGAGCTGAGTGCAGTATTCAAAGATTGTTGGTTAAATAATTGATTTAATATAACCTAAGATGAGACATTTCTTAAGAGTAGTTATAGGTAGGTGGGTGAACTACTATAAAAATCTTGGACTGATTAAAATTAAATCTAAGGAATCTAAAATAATTTAGGGGTAGAAAGAAATAGATTGATGGGAACAAGACTTAGATTAAGGAGAGGTTGAATTGATCAAGTTCTAATTTTTATTTTAAATAATTATTTTGTAATTTTTTTAACTCCTTCGTCCAATATTTAAATCCTATGACTTTCTTCGATATAAACCTAGAACACTGAAATATTTTTACAATGATCTTTTTCTTATAGTCCCGTGGCTCTCTATTCTTGGATTCTACTAGACCAACTATTTGGTAATCATAGATGCTGATTATTGGGTTCAGTCAGCACACAATTTTATCCCAAAATTATCTCCCAAATTCATAGTTGAGAAGAAAGCCAACTATTAATTAAAGGATCAACTCCCTTAGGTGATTAAATTATTTTAATATTTTATACAATGATCTTAGGGTTCTCTACTGTAGACTATCCAATCAAGTCTTATCACTATTGTATCTATGAATGACATGTCTTTGAAGTATTAATCTAATTTCATATTTAGTTACTTTGGTCTCTTCATTCAATTAGTCCTTAAATATACTCTATTTCTAATGGTTTATTTATTTGAAATTGATCTAATTCACGATGCAGGTAATAGTTTAAGTTTTATTCTCAATCCCATATCACAACAATACTCCACCATTGATTTGTAAACATGACCAAATATTCTTCAGGTTTCATTCAAGATTAGTTTCTTGGACCATCTTGCATATTCTGGGATGTATTGTTTCACATGATCATTCACAAAATCCTAATCATTGGGTAGCTCCTCACCATCTGTTTTTTTTCTGAAATAGACCTGCGTCTACTTGGTCACCACGCAGGTTTACCCCTCGGCTTCCCTACCCGGGCATCTCCATCTTTCCCTGATATCTCAAAAAGCACTTACGGGAACTCCAAATGGGATGGACGGAGCGAAGGGTTCAAGAACATATGACTTATTCCGATGATTCTAAACAACCGCCGGAAATTAAAGCTGTTGATTAGACCTCCCGTCTTGATCGGGACGCAACCTCCCTCTCTCTTCACAACTCAGATATCATCAGTTCGGGGAAAACCAACCTTCCAACCAAGGGACGACATTGGAGATCATCAAACGTGCTGGGCGACCTCGGGTTGGGATCCGCAGGTCTTCATCGTGACCATTTTAGATGCCCGACCTGATTAATGGCAGGAATACCCAAAAGAGTTCAGAAAGAGTCCGCAACCATGGAACCTAACCTGCGAATCCCAGGTTATGACACAAGAAAGGAACAGATGATGATGGGGATATCGCGAGAGAAGAAGATGCGACATATGGCCTTCTTGTTTGCCTCTCACACCTTACGCTGATACGTTGGTCCGCTTGATGACGCGTTTCCCGATCTTCTCGGCGACAACGGCGGTCTGCACGGCTTCTTCCACTTTGTCATCGTTCAGCGGCCACGTCCAGGAGGAAGAAGGGAAAACCTTAGTCTTCAGGAGGCTCGGTTCTACGTCGCCAAGAATGGCTCGGGCGAGGGCTACGTGCAGTGGACACCGTTCGGTGCCGAGGGCCCATCGAGGGATGCCGAGGATGCCGGGGACGTCGCGCAGGTCCAGCGTTGGCATGAGCGGAGGCTTGGTTTTCAGCCCCAGGAGCTCCAAGCCGGAGATGATCTCCTCGCCAATAAAGAGATAGGAGGGATCGCAGAGGATAAAAAGGAGCTGGCGTGGTAAGATGGAGCCGTCCGCGGAGGAGGTCAGGTGGTAGACAAGGGCCCGCGAGGAGCAGGCGAGGTGGATGGAATTGATCCACTGCAGGATGGTCTCGCCGCGTATGGTTTCATTGCATCTGCTGAAAGAGACGCCCACGACCGTGGTTTCCTCCCGCGGAAGGCGGAAGAGTTCTTGTACCCAGTCTCCTGCTTCATTCTGTTTGTTCGTCACGATAACCTGGTATGGGCTCCCGCCGATTAGCAGTGACCGCTTCATTCTACTTCTTTTGTCTTCTTGATTGTAGACGACGAGATTTCTTGATTTCCGGAGGGAGAGAGGGAGGGAGGGAGGGAGGGAGACGATTATTAGATCTGGGTGATTGGCGGCAACAATGGATCAACAAGAGATGGAAACAAAATACACACCATGGATGATAACCGCCGACGTGGATCGACTTCTCGCTGCTGCACTGCTCCGCACCGTAACGAGACATGACCATGCGGGGGTTCCGTTGCTCCATCGTCCACTCTCGGCGTCACGGATTCCGTTACCTGGCCGGCACTGGTCACAACCATCGTTACTGCGGCCTACTCGTGTAAATCTCACACAGTTAATTAATTCATTATTGTTTATTTATTTATAATATTTTTTTGGTGAATTGGCCTTGATATCATTGACAAAGCACTATCATTACAAATTGATCAAGATCTGCCTCAAATTGAACCATCAATCCCAGATTCCGACCAGTAAAAAAGTTGAATTTTAGAAATTGGATACCTAAAATTTTGTTCAATTTCAAATGAAGATTCTTTCCATCATGCATAGTATAAGAATATGTTCTTTAACATGATCATTCACAAGTTCATAATCCTTAGGTATCAATGGGCTTTCAGGATGCCTAATTTTTTTTTTCAATTTATAATGAAGATTATACGCTTATTATCACGAACAGTTTAAGGATATGCTACTTCGCATAATACTTAAGAAATCCTTTATCCTTGGACAACTGCTCAAATTTTGGTAGGCCTTTCTAGGCACGTCATTGGTTCAACCCCAGCCATTGCTACCTGGCTGTCTCCATCTTCCTCCACCTCCAATATTTCAAGAAGCACTCACCGTAACACCATGCTGTGACTATACACAATCTGTTGTATGGGGAAAAGGATTCAAGAAGAAGATATTGCAAACTCCTCTGATTCTAAACTACACCCATGAATTGAAGCTGTGGATTACGCCTCCAACCCCTGTCAGGATCCAATCTCCTCGCTTAAGACTCGGAAAACTAACTTTCCAACTAGGCGTGTTGGGCGAGCTCAGGTCGGCATCGGCAGGTCTTCATCATGATCACTTTATATATAGTCAAGAGTTAGTCCTCGTGAGAGCAACTACCATCGAACATCGCCCCAATCGCCGAGGAGGACAATCTTGCCAGAATAGAGACTAGTACGCCTTTCTCTTCCGCCCCCCGGAGGGCGCAAGGGAGAAGGTAGAACACGAGTGTAAAGAACAGTGAGAGAGGTGAGGAGATGCAGCACTTGGGCTTGGTGAGAGAATAAAAGGGTAGGTTTTCACTTCTTCTATTTCGGGCTCTCTAGTCTACTTCTAGTGGGATATATTTAACATCGAAAATAGTGAGAAAGGTGAGGACATGCAGAAGTCCGGCTTGGTGAGAGAATACAACGTTAGGTTCCAATTATTCTATTTTGGGCTTTCTTTTCTACACGAAGAGGAATACATTCAATGCGAACGATATCAAGACAACTTGCAAGACTCATTTACTATTTTCTCTTCCATGAAACAGATATCTCTAGCTTTCTCTATGGGAATAGACGACTTCTCAGTACAACCTTAATCAATTTGCTACACTCTGTGTTTCTTCATTTGGATTTGATTTTGCCATCTTGGCACATCAATTTCAAGACTTGTCTTACATTCTTGGTACTTGTAGAAATTTGGCTCTATTTCATACCATTTTAGATCTGATGGCAAGCTCTTTCTACCCTTAGATTTTGTGATTTGAGAGAAATAAATAATCTATATAAAGAGCTTTTCTCCACACTTAGGAAAGAAGAGATGAAGGGGAATGATTTAGATCTATCAATCTAGTTTTCACAATAAAACATAAGAAATCGATTAAAAAATTGAACCATGTATATAAACTTAGTCAAATTAGAAAAGTTACTTTAAGATCTCTTAGCTAGTTCCATTGTCTTCGAAATCCTAAAGAAATGGATTGGAAAGTTTAATCATGTACGTAGAGGTTAGTAATTAATTATATCATAACATAGAGCAACATTGTGAAAGACATTTTGAACAAAAAAATAAACTAAAAGGTAAAGTACTTATTTATATCACAAGATGAATTAGATATGAATAAGACCCTTGAACATGCCCAAATAGGATGCATGTCGTAACACAGCGCATGAAGTTTATTACATTTTCTCAAAAATATTTTTTATTGCCTTTTATTTAACTAAAAGAAAAAATGAACTTGTCACCAGGTGTTAAGAGAGGGCATTGAATGTTGTAAAAAATGATAGAGGGAAAGGGACAAAAATGAGATACCCATTGTAGCATGGTCAAAAACCAAGAAGATCTTTTTACATGATTAAATGGTCACTCAAAATTCTATGAAAAAATTAAGAAGTATAATCAAAACGTCTTCCTTAAAAAAAAGTAGATTTTTTTTTTTGAGTCAAGATAAAGAATCGATCTAGAGTGAAAGGCACTTCTTCAATGAGACCCCTTTTCATTGTATCAAACCATCACATTGAGAATGTAACTCCATCTTCATATTAGAATACTGTCAATGTTATACCACCTGGAGTCCTTAGTTTTGAAAGAGTTAGTAGATTGTTCTTGTAATTCGCCCCCTATTGTTTCGAATCCATAAGAGAGAAGTTGAGTGCTCTTTTTGTTAGCCCTCTGTAGCTTTAAACCTAGAAAGTAAGTTATGGGTGAAAACATAAGTCAATTCAAGATGTTAAATTTATTCAATTGTTGAAGCCTTTATGTTCAACTTAAAATATTAGAAAAATAAATAAAGCTTAAAGATGTTTTCCATGTAAAGTGCAGTAGTTCAAAAGTACCAAACCACATTAAAACTTATGTGGCTTAAATATATAATTTATCTTGCCTTTTCATTCCCAATGCTACTATTGAATTTTCAACAAGGTCTAGTCACCCCCTTTCTATGCACTTTTAGTGCTTAGGTCCTTCAATTTGGTATTTCACCACTCAAAGACCCTTAAGTGAATGATGTTTGACATAGCAAGTGCTCCATTGTAAACGAAATTGCCCCAAAATCCATAGGATATGAAATTTAATGAAGAAATCTGTAGCCCTAAATGAACAAATGTCTTTCAGAATGATGCATAAAGCAACAAGAATCATCTATACCTTTGTATCCAAAAGTAATGACAAGGGAAACCTATTAGAGAAAAATTTCTACTGATCAATAATGTATATTGGGTTACAACATGGGAGGTCTAAATGGACAAAACGTTTGTTGGGGCGCCATGAAAAATCATCAGTTTTCTGCTCAATTTTTGTTTCAATATTACACTCTAATCTTAGGAATAGGATAGAATGAGTTCAAAAGTTGATTTTGATTCTTTTAGTAGCTCTTTGTGTAATTTTAATTTTTAAGATAAACTTGATTACAATCGTATGAATTCATTCATTTTTATGGATTAATTTATTTTTAAAGGGATTCAAATAGAAACCGTTTTCTTGTTTTCCCATTGGTAGGGCAACTCTACTGGTTAATAATTTATGCTCTAATTTTCTTTTCAATAGTTATTTTCGTGATTACAATTTTAATGGTAAAATTCAGGTCTCCCAATCATCTAATCCATTTAGTTCAAAAGATTACTTAACTTATATTCAAATTCAGCTCAAATCCTTTTTCATTTCACTACCAGCAGGGTGACCCTATCGGCAGTTATATTTTCTCACTCCTATATTTTTACCCAATTTAAGTTTTATTTTTCATCTTTTATTTTTTTCTTTTATTTTTCGATCTTCTTTGCCATTTTGATAAAAAATTGTTGGTTTCAAGTCATCAATCAATCATAAATATTGGCACACATAAATTTTGAAAATTCATAGCTAAAAACTCAGTGGCATCATGCTTGGGCATTTAGAAAGATTAAAATGTGGATCATTTTATTTTTATTTTTATTCTTTAATTATTTTTTAATTTCGGTAAATTATTTAGAATAAAAAAATTGATATTAGGACTGACCATCATCCTTGTGAATGTCTAAATTGATCAAAATTTAATTTTAGTTCTTTTGAATTTTAAATAGTTGAAATTTTATTTTGGCAACAACCAAAGCCTAGCCCATAAGGAACTATAGTCGACTAGTGTTAGTCTTTTCTATGTGCATGATGTACATCAAAGTCCAAACAATAGTCTTTACTCTGTATAAACAAGGTTTTTTTTTAATTTAAAATTATTAAAGTTCACTTAAATATGGATTTTGTTTAGTAGTGAAATATGTTTGAAGGGTTGATTGGACATTAAAAGTATCTAAAAAATGTAGGTGACAATTGATAGTAATCTAAAGCACTCTCAAATCAATAATTCATTAGAGCAAGGGAAGAAATTAGAAAGGTAATAAAGAAATGGTTCTGAGTGTTTAGCTGATTCCAAAAATGAGCGACTTTAACATAATTTTCAGATGAAATTAGAAAGGTGCAATAAGCTTTGAGAATTTGCAAATTTTAACTCAGAACTAGTTTCCCAATACCTGAAGCACACAAGGAGAATTGACAAACCTCCATTTGATGTGTGACATGAGTCCATTTGTGGATGAATCTTCACCTATTTCTAATCATTTTCTGCTGATTTGGCCCACATATCAATGAATTAAAGCTTCTTTCACTTGAAATTTGATGACATACCAAAGGTGCGGTATGTCAAGCGCCTGCCCAATACCCAATACGTACGGGCGCCAACCCAATAACAAGAGGCCCCCACTGATGACAGACCCAGTCTAGTATAAATATCAGAATTAATGATTGATCAAGAAGGGCAGAAACTGGTACATGGCCCCTCTCTGTCTCACCTTCCCTAGAAGGGATTTCCTGGCCTCCCTCTCCTGTTTCCATCCAGGTCCCCCTCTCCCGGCAACGTTGCAGAGTGGCCTTGGACTACTCTTATCCTCTGGATCCTGTTTTCTCTTCCCCTTTCTCACTCGCTCTCTCTCTTTTGTGAGAAAACCATCTAGACTTTCGGTTGGAACTCCATCAAAATTGTTCAAGGGCTTCTACATGGCAAGAATTCAACAATCTTTCCTCAATTCCCCATCGATATACTTGAATTTTAGAAATTAGATACACAATTTTTCTTCAATTTCGATTGAAGATTATATTCTCACACCATCTTCCGTAGTTTGAGGATATGCTATTTCACTTGATCATCCACAAATTTCTAATCCTTGCCTCCTCATTGACATATTACTCCCCTGGTATCGCAAGAAGCACTCACTGGAACTCAATGCTGAAGGATTCAACCTGGTGCATGCTGCATGGAGCAAGGGATTCAAGAGGATATTGCAAACTCCTTTAATTCTAGACTACAACCGTGAATTAAGCCTGTCAGGACGCAATCTGCTTTTCTCTTAGGACCTGAAAGATCATCCGTCCAACGAAAACCAACCTTCCCACCAAGTGACGGCAATGGAGATTGGCAAACCTGATGGACGATCTCAGGCTGGCATCGGCAGATCTTCATCGTGATTATTCAGAAGGTTCAATGGGCCAGGAAATGGGGAAGGGGACGGCGAGTAGATCTGATGACAGATCGCCTTATTCTTTGCCTCTCGCACCTTACGACGACCGAGTCCTCGCGACGACGTGTTTGCCGATCTTCTCGGCGACGATGACTTTCTCTGCAGCTGCCTGGACCTGACTGTCTCCAAGCGGCCAGGCCCAACGGACAGGTAGACCCTCCGTCCTAAGAAGACTCACCTCCACGTCGTCAAGAAGCGCTTCGGCGAGGGCTACGTGCAGCGGACGCCGTACGGTGGTGAGGGACCATCGTGGGAGGCTGAAGATGCCAGGGACGTCGCGCACGTCTAACGTTGGTACGAGCGGGGGCTTGGTTTCCACCCCGAGGAGTTCCATGCCGAAGATGATGTCCTCGCCGATGAAAAGGGAGCTACCATCATGAAGGATAGAAAAGAGCATGCCCGGTGAGATGGTGCTTTCCTCGGAGGAGACCAGGTGGTAGACCAAGGCCCGCGAGAAGCATGCGAAGTGGATGCACTCCGCCTGGGGGGTGAAAGACCCCTCGGGTGAGAGTACAATCCTCCCGAAGAAAGAGAAGCCTACGATCCTGCTTCCCTCCCGCGGAAGTCGGAGGATCTCTCGGGCCCATTCTTCCGCTTCCCTATATTTGTTTGTCACCACGACCTCGTATGGGCGCCCGCCGACTAGCACTCGCCTGGGATTGCCCCGCAACCCCTCCGACGCCATTCCCACCGTCGAAGCAACTAGTGATTCTGCTTCTCCTGGCTTCTTGATAGAAGAAATAAGGATTTCTTGATTCCCAACCGCAGGGAGAGTGATGAGAGAGAGAAATATATCTGTAGAGAGAGAGATAGACAGAGACAGAGACAGACACACAGAGAGACACGATGATCAGCGCTAGGGGATTGGCGATGATCGTAGACCAACAAGACCTGGGGACAACAGTATACACACCATGGACGGTATCCGCCGCAGCGCTGCTCCTCCGTCATATTTCCTGGTCGCCCAGATGACGGAATCCGTTCCTTCTTCATCCGCCCCCAACGTCACGGATTCCGTCGCTTAGCCGGCCCCGGCGTCCACCTTCCTCGCTGCAGGGGGATCACGTAGTAGAGAGTTAGCCCTCGTGGGAATCACTCCCATAGAGGATCGCCTGAGTCCCCAAATAGGACGACATCGTGAGAAGAGGGACTCAATCGGAGGTCACTCCGATCGCACTGTTTTCTTCCGAGGTCCGGGGATTATGAGCAGGAAATCATTCATGCGAGGCTCTGTCAAGCGCGGGTCAGATGGAACGGAAAAATACCCTACCTCGGAGCAAAATCAATCGTCATGTCTCGCACAGACGAGCGGATCATCCGCAGGAAGACCTGCTGCCGGAGATCGGTGGACATGGACGGCTCCAAGATCTAGCTATTGCAGCATAATATTTTGTTTGGCTCTGGCGAGGGTGAGCCGTGGTGAACCTGCCTGGCTGCCAAAAAGACCCCCCTCGGCGGGCCGACGAGGGAATGGAAGACCTCATCGGCGGAGGACCTCGATCGGCTGGTCGATTCCGTAGATTCGAGCATCCGGCATCTTCTCGCCGCCATGGCAGAGCATCCTCGAGGGACCGATCCCCTACGCGCAGGCAGAGAAGAACGGAGCAGGAACCATCGGAGTAGGGTAGAAGTGGACGTGTAAGCGTCAGAGCGAGAGAATGAGGAGAGGAAGAGGGGCTTTCCCTCCGGAAGACGGATGAGGTGGACCGGTTTAAAACTGAACCGGTATCAAAAACTAGACCGGTCGGAAACCTCGACTAAGTAATTGAACCGGGCGCCTGTAAGAAAAACTTCGACGCGTAAGAGCCACTCCTCGATGAGGCTAATTCGTAGTGGACTGAAGGAAGGAAGATAGAACTCTAAGAGATCAAACATCTTGTTCGGTGGTGTATTACGTGAAGAATTGTAAAGGGCATGCATAAGTCAATAGAGCTGGGAATTTCTTGAGGTTTATAAAGCGTTGACTTTCCCTTATTCATTTTGTTCATTTCTTTTAATTCCAAATTACCCATTAAATATATTACAATACGTGAGATGGCCAACATTTCTATAACGAAATTTGGATTTTTTATACCTTATTTAGTTGGTTTTTTTGGCAGGAGTTATAATAAGTGCCCAAAATAAATGCCTAAAATTTATTTGTATTCATCTTACCATGTTTCCAAACCAGCTGCCTTTTTCGGAAATCAAAACTTTGCCGTACAACTTTGAATTTTCCATTGAAATAGCCATAGTTAGAAATAAATTTATCTCTTGTGTGCTACGTTGTTTTCTGACTAACATTGTTTATTATCACTGAAATTAATTGTGCGAGGGTCAAATCGGAGTTTTGAGCAGTAGATCTCAGGAGAAATCATGGCATCCCGTCCAGAGATACAAATGTTTCGGGCATACGGGGAGCGTTCTTGTTGATCCGACCTGAGGGAAGAAAGGCGGCCCAGTCCGATTCTATAGAGGTAGAAGACGCAGTGCAGCAGCGGCAATGGCGGATCGCTTGCCGAGGTGAGAGGTGGGTCTTCATCTTCCTCCTCGCGTCGCTCTACCCCAAGGCCAGTGGGTGAAAGTTAATGCCGAGCAGCTGATTAACGAAGGCCGTCTGCGCGGCGAGCGCGATCTGAATGTTGCTCATCGGCCAATTGCAGGGCAGAAACCTCTGAAGATCCGCCAAGAGAAGAAGGCCTTCATCCTCGTTCGAGAGAATAACCGCCGCCAGAGACACGTGAAACGGATACGGGCCGCCGAGTATGGCGCCTGAGGAGAGGCCGTAGAAGTGCGCCACGTCGGTCAACTCCGACATCAAGTTGTGCCTGCGGAGGCTTCGGAACCCTAGCGCCCACATGCATATGCGGATGTCCTCGCCGACGAAGATGTTGCGGTGATCGCGGAGGAAGTCGGCGAGCCGGGAGGAGCGGATGGCGTTGGGCGTTGAGCCGAGGTGGTAGACCAGCACGTCAGTCAGGAAGGAGATGTGGATGGAGTCGACTCTCAGCGTGATGGAGCCGTCGGGAAGGGAGCAAGCCTCCCAGAAGAAGGAGAGACCGATGGACCTCCACGGCCGCACTGGCTCGTCCTGCTCCCGCACCCACTGGTCTGCTTCCTCAGCTCTGTTGGTCACGAAGGTTCGAATCTCTGTATCCAAGATTAAGAAATCCCTGATATTTTCTGGCGGAAGCGCAGACGACATTCCCACGGCGGCTAGAAGTTTGCTCCCTGGCGAGCTCTCGATTCTTCAGAGATACCAACAAAATAGGTGGTCCTTCTGCCCGCCTCTTCTCCGGGAACTTTCTTGATTATAGACAGAAAGAAAACAAGGACAGACGGTGGTGAGCTCAAGGGGGATGGTCTACTGCATTATCGCGCACCGTGCGTAGGAGAAATCAAGGGGAAGAGCTACGTCCAGGTTCCCATTTCTGGCCTCCGAAATCTTCCAACTCCGAAGTTTCCGGAAGCGGGAAAACGGACGAGAACGAGGAAACCGCTCACTGTAAGGTCATGCTATGATCATCCTGTGAATTTGATCCTTAACCCAAGCTAATTTGCCAGATCCTATCGCAGGGGATCGGTCAAATCATCTCAAGACGAGAAGATATTTCGCTAGGGCTTATGAAACCATAGGTTCTTGAAAAGAATCGGTAGAAACAACTGAGGCCGGATCTTTTACCTCTGACGCTGTACAGCCTTCCGATCTTTTCAAGCACGCAATAATCGCCGTTACCGGCGCGGCTCAAGGAAAACCTGCGGTCGAAAGGAAGCACATAGTCAAATGAAAAACAAGAATCGATCTCCGACATTATCAGACCTCAACCAAAGAACAAGAAACTAAACAATTACGAATCCGGCTCTGACCCAGCCATACCTTGACCTGAGAAACGCCGAACAGTGACTGGACAATTATCGACCATCCGAGCCGAGCGTCGGCAAATCCTCTGCATTGCTTACGTTCCGCCTTCACGTGAGAGCATATCACTCGGCCGATTCTTGAGATCCGGCGACCGATCGACGGGAGGGTCCAGCATTCTCCATGGATGTTTCCGAGTAGGAGCAAGGTGCGGGATCGGAGCAGCGGCTGACGGAGGAAGAAGAGAGAATTTGTGGAAGTCGAGTTCCCGCCACAACTGGTTGGCCTGGAGGTCTTTCTATGTTACATATCAGCGGCTAAACCGGTGTTTTAAAGGACAAATGGGTACATTCTTTATTCTTGTTGCGAGAGAGAGAGAGAGAGAGAGAGAGAGAGGATGACAGCATGAATTGACTTTTGATTATGGGTTTTTTCATTCCACTTTTTATTTATTTTCAAATTATCGATTGGAATATTTACAAGACAGAAGATTCCAAAATTTGTGAAATAAATTTGGATTCTTTTTCTTAGTAGGTTTAATAGCCGGTGTGATGTAATAAAAGTCCCAATCAAAGCCTAGTTTTCAGTCATTTACTTTTTAAATAACTAAATAAATTTAACTAATTTTAGTCATCTAACCATTTAGCCATATAAAAGGCTAGACCTTAACCTAATCATTCCAAATCAACTCCTTTTTTTGAGGTATTACTTTGGCATACAATTTAAGATTGCTGGTCGAATTTTTAATTTTCCATTTGGAAAATCTACAATTTTCGATTAAATTTATTTCTTGTGTCAAACAATTTTTTTGCCATAAAATTATTTATTACCAATCAAATTAAGCGTTCGAGGGCAGCTTTAGCGTGAAATTGCAGAAAATTTCAAGAGAATCTTGTTATCTCGTCCACTGATACCAATGTTTCGGGCAGAAAATCCATTGTGCCACACGGCCGAACATTCTTACTGATCTGACCCGCTAGAGAAAAGGCAGAGTGGAGCCCGTCGTTCATGGAACGAAGACTTCCCCCATAAAATTCAGAGGTAGAAGACCGAGCACCAGCAATGGCAGAATAGCATGCCGAGGAGAGGCAAGAGGACTGCAGAGAGCGGTGACTTCGTCTTCTTCCTCACCTCGCGCTAAGAAAGGATCCGTGCGAAAGCACAAATACCGAGCTTCTGACCAACGAAGGACGTCTCCGCTGAGAGCTGGACCTGAACTTCTGTCATCGGCCAAGAGCAGGGGATAAGATCCCAAAGGTTTGGCCGGAGAAGAAGGCCTGCATCCACGTCTGTGAGAAGAACCGCCGCCAGACGCACATGAATTGGAAGCTGGCTGGGGGACACGGCGGCGGGGGAGACGCCACAGATCGCCGCCACCCCGACCAGCTCCATCGTGAGGCTGTGTCTGCGGCTGCCGTGAAACCCGAGTGCCCGCAGGCTCTGTTTGATGTCGTCACCGGAGAAGAAGTTGCAGGGATCGCAGAGGAAGTTGACGACGCGGGGGGCAATGGCGTCGTTCTCCTCCGAGGAGAGTCCGTACACCAGCACATCCGTCATGTATGAGAGGTTGATGGAGATGAATCTCCGCCCGAGGGAACCGTCGTGGAGGAGCAACGGCTCCCAGAAGAAGGAGAGACCGACGACCCTCCTCGGCGATGGAGTTTCCTCGACCCCCCTAACCCACTCGTCTGCTTCCGCCGCACTTGCTGTCACCAAGACAAGAACCCGTTGACCTCCGACTAGCAAGTGCCTGAAATTTTGTGGAAGTGGCCCCGATGCCATTCTCACAGCTGCTAGAAGTTGGCTCCTCCTTTGATGGTGCTATTTCCTCAATCCTTTCGAGAACTTTTCGATTCTTCCGAGAGAGACCAGCAGAATCGGTTGTCCTTCCCGCCTCTCCTCGGGGAGCTTTCTTGATCCTAGACAGAAAGAAAAACCAGAAAGACAGAAGGCAGTGAGAGCAGGAGGATGGATAGCTGCAGCATTGAATAACGAGGTGATCTGAATCCAATTCTATCGTTGTTCTCCGCCAGGGATGGTTCATCCCTTCCTCCCCTTTTTTCTTTCCCCGTTTCTGAGGAACAGATGGCACACAGTGCGTAGCAGCACTCAAAGGAAAGTGCTACGTCTGTTTCTGATTGATGCATGTCCCACATCCATGTTTCCGTTTCTGGCCTTCGAAATCTTCCACCTCCGAAGTTTCAGGAAGCGGCAAACTGGACCAGAAGGAAGCTGAAGAGCCCTGGGATCCTAATTATCAAATCTCATAAAAATCCTCCAGTGAATTGGGTCCTCAATACGACCTGCAACGTCACGCTATTATCCTCCTGTAAATTTGATCCTTAACCCAACCTAATTTGCCAGATCCTATCGCAGGGGATCGGTCAAATCATTTCGAGAAGAGATTATATTTTGCGAGGGTTCATGAAACCAGCGGTTCTTGACAAGAATCGGTAGAAACAACTGAGGCCGGATCTTTTACCTCTGCGCTGTACAGCCTTCCGATCTTTTCAAGCACGCAGATAATCGTCGTTACCGGCGCGGCTCAAGGAAAACCTGCGGTCGAAAGGAAGCACATAGTCAAATGAAGAACAAGAATCGATCTCCGACATCATCAGACCTCAACCAAAGGACAAGAAACTAAACAATTGCGAATCGCCGAACAGTGACTGGAGAATTATCGACCATGCAAGCCGAACATCCGTATATCACTCGACCGATCGGGGGGAGGGTGCAGCATTCTCCATGGATGTTTTCGAGTAGGAGAAAGGTGCGGGATCAGAGCAGCGGCTGATGGAGGAAGAAGAGAGACTTTATGGAAGTCGAGTTCCCGCCACAACTGGATGGCCTGAAGGTCCTTCTAAACCGGTGTTTTAAAAGACCGAACCAGCTCGGGTAACCAAATGCTGAACAGAGCGGTTCAATCGCTCAAGAAATCAGATATTCTAAGGTACCTATAGATCTTCATTCACCTCACAAGGTTCCTACAGATATGCTTTCTTTTATTATTTCACACGATTAGAAAAACTTATATGATCCTGAGAAGTTGAAAGCGGTCATGAGAGAGAGAGAGAGAGAGAGAGAGAGAGAGAGAGAGAGAGAGAGGGAGAGAGATGGAAACATTCCATTTTCTCGTAGCTAGAGAGACAGAGAAAGAAGATGATGGCATGAATTAAACCCACGTCTCTCTTTGTTATACGTGCTGAAATTATGCAAAAATTTGACCCCACTTGGTTAACTAATTTGGAACTCTACTAATTTGCTTTCCACATCAGAGAAAAAATAATTAGGTTCAAAGACAAGTAAAGTTTGATGTAATTTATTTTAGGCTTCATTCTTATAACATCTTTCCTGATCACAACACATTGCATTTGACAGACATTCGACCAGCAGGATGGTCCTCCTTTCTTCATATGCTTATGATCTTCTTTCCAGGGAGCGAAGGAGTAAATATTTTGTTTGTGACCATTTTGATTGTACCTTTGTCACATCTATAATGTTTATGAGGAGCACTGGATAAAATAAGATTTGATAAGGTACCAAGCAATGAACTCCTCTTCTATAAGGGCTTTACCTATAAAAAAATAAAGAAGAGAGAAGCTAAGAAACGAGAGTAGATTAATGGAGATACTAAAGAACCAAGGGAGAGGAGAGATCCCAAGAAGAAAAAAGATTCTTCGTTCATCATATAAAAAGAGAAAAACAAATGCCTTCTTTATAGAAGTGAAAGGAAAGGATACTACCCCTCAAAAACTTAGCATTTAGAATCTGTGGGTAGAGGCCCACATCGCCAAGACAAGAACCCATTGACCTCTGATTCGCAAATACCTTACATTTTGTGGAAGAAACTCAGACACCATTCCTACAGCTGCTAGAAGTTTGCTCCCCCTTCGATGGTGCTGTTTGCTCAATCCTTTGGAGAACTTTCCGATTCTTCCAAGATAGGCCAGAAGAATCGATGGTCCTTCCAACCTCTCCTTCGGGAGCTTTCTTGATCCTAGACAAAAAGAAAACTTGAAAGACAGACAGCAGTGAGAGCAGGAGGATGGACAGCTGCAGCATTGACTAACGAGGTGATCTGAATTCAATTATATCATCGTTCTCTACCACGGGCGGTTCATCCCTTCCTCTCCCCCTTTTTCTGTATCTGTCTCTATGGAAGAGATGGCACACTATGCGTAGCAGCACTCAAGGGAAAGGGCTACGTCTGTTTCTGATTGATGAATGTCCAACATCCATGTTTCCATTTCCGACCTACGAAATCTTTCACCTCGAAAGTTTCCGGAAGCTGCAATGCGGACTAGAAGGAAGCTGAAGATCTGAAACATGTGAAAAATTATTTAGTCCCATATCAGAAGGTCGCGGATAATATGAGTATATATGTAAACATGACAAGTCCCCAAATCAGGCATTACCCTGGCCATGGTGGATGACTGGCTAGCGGCCCACTATAATAATAAACACATATATAAAAATAATATATAATAAAAATTCTATAAATAATTTTAAATAATAATAAAGTTATAATAATAATTTCGTAAATATATTTATTTTATATATATCTATAAAGGGAAAAGCACCCTGACTCTTTTAACTTCTGACTTCCAGATTTAGCAGTATATTTCTGCATCTAAAAGTTAACACACGAAAATAAAGAAGCAAAATATCTTAAACCCCAAAAATCTAGTGTTATCAAATGATTTCCAAGATTTTCTATAAGTTGACTAGGTGGCTAGCCCTTTCTCCTTTTATTTAAAAAAATTAATAATTTTTTTTTTGTTGTAGAATCATTTGATTCATTAATTGTTACATCATTTGACTCATTTGCTACATTATACCTATATCATTAGGTTGGGCTTGGGTAGGTTGAGTTTTTAAAAATATAGTCTCTATTTTAGCCAAAATTTAGAATTTGGGTCAATCTAAGTGCTTCAAGGATTTAAATATTACTTGAGTCTCTCCACGAAAAATTATTCCTCTAATTCAGAATATAAGAATTTGAAAAATATTTCCTATTTTTACTAAAATTGTTGGCTATTGAAACCTACTCTTAACTAGGCTGAAATGATTGTTCTAATATAGGACATTGAAATTCATGATGATCATTTCCACCACACAAGTGACAACTACTATAACTACTAATCAAATTAAATTGAGAATTAATAGAGTTTAAGGTGATTAAAAAAGAAATTAAGTTTTTATAATCTTTGATTGATCTAATTTACCTTCTTTCTTAAGCTAAAATCTTTAGGACATTACATTTTATACATTGCTCTTTTCTTATTGATCTCTAAAATTCTCCCTTAAATTCTTATAGAGGTTATACATTTCATTAAGAGTTTTTTTTCATAAAATCTCATCTATATATAGAATCTACCATATTTCTATGGTTCTTTAATAATCCATCATCAAAGATTCTATTGAGCTAGCACTTGATGACAACTTTTTCTAAGCAAATATTTCAATTTTTCTCATGCATGACGTAAGGTTTCTCCTAGCCCTTGAGTAAAACTTTAGATATGAACCCTCATATTTTAGGTTTTTTCTTAAAAGATGAAAATGTCTAAGGCTTGTTTTATGTCTTTCCAACAAATTAATTCCTTACCTAAGGTAGATAACCAATAGTTGGCTTTGTCCATAAGTGTAAGTGGAAATTACTTTAATTGGATAATTTATAGTGTAACTTAAGGGAGATTGACTAAATCACAAATCATATAAATTTTTTTTGAATGATGATGAGGTTCTTCTGAAAGTAATCCATGTAAATTAGGAAGTATTTGAAAGATATCTCGATTTAACTCAAACCCAATAGTGGGCTCTAATGGAATTCTAATATTAGTTAAAAGTTGGTAAGAATCAAGGATATAATGATTTTTCATAGCCATGAGATTATTTTTCTTTGGCCTATACTATCTTCAAGATCCAAAGAAACTAATTTTTCCTTTCGAGGCTTTGTTTTTGGATGAAGTGTTTGAAGGAGGTTTTAGTCTTAGATGTGAGACCTTCTACTATGCATAAACACTTATCAATTTTAGAAAAAGTTTCAGATACCTTACCCTCTCATTCGATCTGATCCAATCCTTGCTTTCCTAATCTTTGTTCCATTCGATTTTTATTAATTTATCTAAGAAGAAAGTAAAAACATAATGACATTTTTGCGTGTATTTTAAGGGGAAAATACTAAAATTATTCAATACATCTTTGGAAATAGAGCCAAAATTTCATAATCATTGTAATTTAAATCGCACAAATTTAAATTTATTAAACTATAAACAATAATTTTAGAATTTTAGAATTTTTCTACAAAAATATATTAACTTTAAATTGTAAAAGAAATTTAAAATGAGTAAAAAATAGTTAAGTCGATCATACAAATGTATGATAATATTAGGTAAAATTTCAGAAATTATTTCAAATAATATGATTTTATATGATTTTTAGACTGAAATATTATAAGTAAATCTTTGTAAAATCAGAGAAAAAGAGAAATTCGTTATCAAGTAGATGTTGCCACTTGCTAGAATAGCGATTTGGGTGAAAATAGAGTTCCATTCAGAAATTATTGTGAAAATGATTTCAAAAAGTTTGATCAATGAAATAAAGGACTAAAAGTACCAAATGAATTGTAATAGGGTAACGATGAGTTTTGAAACTTAAATTGATGAAAAACTATCATTAATTTAAAGATTAAATGAGTTTAAATAACAAAAATAAAGCTTCAGCATCACAATAGCAAGCACTACAGTTCTACATATTTTCAAGGTCTCTATGAGTTGTTCATGGCCTCAAGGCTATCCTTGAACATACATGGTTTGGGCAATCTTTAAATTCTCATACAAAGTCTAGTAGGTGTGTAAAGGTGGTAGTGAAATGGGCCTTCAAGGGCTGCCATTCTATAGAGCAAAGATTGGCACAAATGATTCTCTAATGGTTGTCACCTAGTAAAGAGATGATTAATTAAGGTGGTGTGCAGCTCAAGGAGCTTCTTCCTCAATTTAGCATTACCACTCAAATAAAGCGTTCGAGGGCAGCTTTGACGTAAAATGGAAGTCTTTTGGAGAAAATTTGAACAGAAATATTGATATCCCATCCACTGATACCAATGTTTTGGGCAGAATTCCATCGTACCATGCGGCCAAGGATTCTTTATGATCTAACCCGATAGAGAAAAGGCAGACTGGAGCCCGTAGTCCATGGAACGAAGACCGTCTTCAGAGGTAGAAAACCGAGCACCAACAATTGCGGAAGAGCTTGCCGAGGAGAGGCATGAGGAATGCAGAGGGACGTGTCTTCGTCTTCTTCCTCACCTCGCGCTACGAAAGGATCCTTGCGAAAGCGCATATACCGAGCTTCTGACCAACGAAGGACGTCTCCGCTGCGAGCTGGACCTGAACTTCTGTCATCGGCCAAGAGCAGGGCATAAGCTCCCAAAGGTTTGCCTGGAGAAGAAGGTCTGCATCCAGGTCCGTGAGAAGAACCGCCAGACTCACATGAAACGGAAGCTGGCTGTCCAACACGGCGGCGGGGGAGACGCCGCAGATCGCCGCCACCCCGACCAGCTCCATCGTGAGGCTGTGCCTGCGGCTGGCGTGAAGCCCGAGTGCCGTTAGGCTCCGGTTGAGGTCGTCGCCGAAGAAGATGTTGCGGAGATCGCAGAGGAAGTTGAGAAGGCAGGGGGCAGTGGGGTCGTTCCCCTCCGAGGAGAGTTGGTACACAAGCACATGTCTCAGGTAGGAGAGGTTGATGGAGCAGACTCTCCGCCCAATTGAACCGTCCAGGAGGATCCATGGCTCCCAGAAGAAGGATAGACCGACGATCCTCCTCGACGGCCATGTTGCCTCGACCCCCCGCACCCACTCGTCTGCGTCCGCCGCTCTGGTTGTCGCCAAGACAAGGACCCGTTGACCGCCGGTTTGAAAATATCTGAAATCTTGTGAAAGAGGCCCCGACGCCATTCCCACAGCTGCTAGAAGTTTGCTCCCCTTTCGATGGTGCTGTTTGCTCAATCCATTAGAGAACTTTCCGATTCTTCAGAGAGATACCAGGGAATCGGTGGTCCTTCCCGCCTCTTCTCGGGGAGCTTTCTTGGTTCTAGACAGAAAGAACGCCAGAAACACAGACGGTAGTGAGAGCAGGAGGGATGGACTCATGCAGTATTGAATAACAAGGCGCTCTGAATCCAGTCATCCCTTCCTCTTCCCCTTTTTCTTTCCAAGTCTCTATGGAACAGATGACACACCGTGCGTAGCAGCGCTCAAAGGAAAGCGCTACGTCTGTTTCTGATTGATGCATGTCCAACGTCCATGTTTCCATTTCCGGCCTTCGAAATCTTCCACCTCCGAAGTTTCCGGAAGCGGCAAAATGGACCAGAAGGAAGCTGAAGAGCCCTCAGATTCTAGTTAGCAAATCTCATAAAAATCCTCCGGTGAATTTGGTCCTCAATACCACCTAGAGGCAGTCGGATACTGCAACGTCACGCTATGATCCTCCTGTAAATTTGATTCTTAACCCAACCTAATTTGCCAGATAATATCGCAGGGGATCGCTCAAATCATTTCAAGAAGAGAAGATATTTTGCAAGGGTTTTATGAAACCAACGGTTCTTGAAAAGGATCGGTAGAAACAACTGAGGCCGGATCTTTTACCTCTGACGCTGTACAACCTTGCGATCTTTTTAAGCACGCAGATAATCGCCGTTACCGGCGTGCCTCAAGGAAAATCTGCGGTCGAAAGAAAGCACATAGTCAAATGACGAACAAGAATCGATCTACGACATCATCAGACCTCAACCAAAGAATAAGAAACTAAACATCTGCGAATCGGGCTCAGACGCGGCCATACATAGACCTTAGAAACGCCGAACAGTGACTGGAGAATTTCGACCGTCCGAGCAGAGCGTCGGCAAATCTTCAGCGTTGCGCACGTTCGGGCTTCACCTAAGAGCATATCACACGACCGATTCTCGAGATCCGTCGTCCGATTGGCGGGAGGGTGCAGCATTCTCCGTGGATGCTTTCGAGTAGGACAAGGCACGGGATCAGGGCAGCGGCTGACGGAGGAAGAAGAGAGTTTGTGAGAATCAACTTCCGGCCACAACTGGTTGGCCCGGAGGTATTTTTAAACAGGTATTTCAAATGACCGAACCAGATCTGGTAACCAAACGCTGAACAGGGCGGTTCAATCGTTCCAGCTGATAGATATTTTCAGGTATTGATAGATCTTTATTCGCTTCACAAGCTTTTTTTACAGATATATTCATTTTTATTACATCATACGTTGTAACAAAATTATATTAACGTGAAAATTATCAAACTATGGACTCAAAGCTTGAAATGTAGACCAGTTGAGAGAGTGAGTGAGAGAGAGAAGGCAATAGTCCTTGCTCTTGTAGCTAGAGAGAGAGAGAGAGAGCAACAGAATGAAGTAGACCCATGTCTCTCTTCATTGTCTATGCTTGAATTACACAAAATTTACCCGACTTGGTATGATAATTTGGAGCTCTACTTCTCATTTACCTTCCACCCCCCATGGGTTTCTATCGACAAGTTGGGGAAGAGCAAAGATTTTTTACGTTCAAATATGAGTATATTATGGTGTTATTAGTGTATTATTTTCCTTCAACTTTTTCCCAAGAATCTTGTTCCTGAATTAGTTCTTGTAACCAACTTTGTATTTTTCTATTTTTCAATGAAATAATATTTTTCAATAATTTTCTATTTTTCAAAGAAATAATATTTTCCTACTAGTGTCAATTATGACATCTTCATATGGTATCAACGTGTTGCATTTGAATCACATTATGCTTTTGGGATTGGCCTCCTTTCTTCACATCTACATGAGCTGCTCTCTAATGATTATAGGAGAAAATGTTGCTTTCAAATTGATTTTCTACCTTATCATTTTCTGTCATTTACTTATGTGAAATTGGTTGCAGCTCTTTTAGGAAAAGTACTTTTTTTGAGAGCTTTTGCCATATCTATAAAATTTCTGAGCAGTGGATAAACAAGATTTGACAATGTACCATACCATTCCAACTCCAATGCAGTTTTGGTACATTAGCCATTGCTCCATGTATTGTGACTAGTGGAGAAGTAAGAGTAGATTGCTTTGACCTCTCTTGTGAAAATGAGAAATGTTGTTGAGATTAAAAAATCTTTCTTCAACCTTCTCTAGAAGGAAATATGAACATTCTTCTGCCGCTAACAATGATTGTAAAACCACTTTATTTCAATATTTCTTATGAGACAATTCTATCTTATTGAATCCATATAATATTCTCATTCTCTCAAATTAAATTCAAAAGACAACTAGTTAAATTCTTCTACATATTCTAGAACAAATCTATGTCTTGATTGTAAGTTTAATATTTTTTGATAATCTTGTAGAAGAAATCTAGATTATAGTACTTTTTTCATCTTAAATCATGTAGAACTAAGTTAACAACCTAATCTTGCTTGTGCCACTTGGATGTATTCCCACCATATTGATGTTTGATAAGTCTTCGTTTATCATGAGTTAATAATTAGTAAATAATATATTTTTAGCCTTAACTCATGATAAATAGAGTTATATTTATGTTAAAGTGTGAAAAATGGTTTTCAGTTGATTAACGTGATTTTTTGGCTAATTAAATGATTTTATATAAATTTATATAATTTTTACAATCATACTTTTGAGATGAATAAAGAAAAATAAATAAAAATAAAAATATAGCAAAATGGGGGGTACCCGTTAGCCAACCAGGCCTATAAGCAGGTCGAAAGCACAGTCAAGGAGGAGCCGCGAGTAAAGGCTCAAGTAGCTAAGACTGATGGAGGCACGTGTGCACTACTTCCCTTTCATGTCATTAGTTGTCAATCGACTGTGAGGTAAAGAATAGTCATACATGTAGGAGAAAGGGACTTATTTGTAAATATAATATTAATATATATTTGTCTGAATTTCAGTACACAAGTAATGTAGGACTAAACCCACGTCACACCTTCCCTCGAAAGGCTTCGATGATTTTAATACCTATAATATCCTTTATTTATAACAGAGATAGACCATGATGACATTACTTGATAAAGGCATTAGAGTACTTATTTCAATCTCTCTCATACAAGTAGACAACTGATGTGAGTTTGAATCCTCTTAGAGCCAAAACTCATATTTTTTATTTGATTATCATGACTTTCCTACAAATCATTGGTGAAGGATTAAGCTGTCAAAATTACTAGATCATCGATAAAAATCTCTTCAACGCAATTCGTGAAGCATTGTTCGTGAAGCATTGTTATTAAAATTATTGAATAATTCTCAATAAAAGGATCATGAATCTATTGAGTAAAGTATCTCTAATTGATTGACAAACAAGCTGTCATCAAGAAGAAGATGATCCGTCGAGAGATGAGTCAAAGTAGAAAATTTTGAATAATTACCTAATATTATATTATATCCTTGTCATCGACCTAGAAAATTACTATTATTTTTAGAAGTTTTATTAAATTATAATTGATATATTTGTTTAGAAATACTTCTAAATATCTGAAAATTCATAGTTTCTAGTTTTATAAATTTTAAATTTGCATGATTTAGTATATAACGACTAAGTCACACCAATGTTTTACCCTTCAATTTATAGGCCACAAACTTCACTTCCTCCTATATCTAAATCTTCATGTATTCAAAAATTTACTAATGATCTCCATATTGTTTTTAATGTGTAAAATTTGAACATACACTTTTCTAAAGGTGAAACCCTCTCAGCAACTTCTGTCAATTATTCACACAAATGCCAATGTTTATTGTAATATTCAACAAGAGGAGGATTACGTCAAGATCATTGAACATGATGGGTCATCTCAAGTTGATATTGGCAGATCTTCATCATGATATTTAGATTGTCTAACTTCATAAATAGAATGCATATTTATGTGTCTTCAGAAATGACCACACCAATCATACCTTGAAAGACTCTAAGGCATTAATAAGTCCCTAGTATCAAGAGTTAATGGCTAATGTATTTTATGTATTAACCTCATGATAAATAGTATTATATTTGTCTTAAATTAATAAAATTGTTTTTACATGGCTAATGTTAATTTATAATTAATTATGTGATTTTATATGATTTTTACATCCATGTTTTCAAGTTAAGATAAATTAAAATAAAAATTAAAAAAGTAAAAAGGGGGAACCCTTGAGCTCAGCTTGTGCCCTCTCACTAGCTATTTTTTACATCCAATTGAGTTACCCATTTGAGCTTTAATGCCCTCTCACTAGCTAGCACTTTGGAAGTTGGATCCTTTGGCAAGAAGGCACTATGTTCAAATAGATAACTCAATGAGGGGAACCACAGCTGCGCTCAAGTGGCTCAATGACCCTCATAAAGTATGTGTCTACCACTCTTCTGCATTACTAGAGGGGAACTAGTTTGTGGGCAAAATATAATCATGTAGGACATATTGTGCAGGGGCAGACCACCTAGTATCTCTTCTCCTCAAGTAGTCTTGGTCATTTTGTTTCTAAGAGGAGCCCAAATGAATAAGAAACCCAAACTTTCATAGATCAAAATTTTCACAACACAACCCATCTAGGACTAAACCACCAATGACTCTTGTCAGCTGAAATAATTTCAAAAATACCCCTTTGTAAAGAGAAGGTAGATCCTTCATGTTTTCACTATTTCAAAGGTATAATGAGAAACTATTTAACTTCTTTGACACAGCCACTTGACCAATAGAATTTCAAAGATCACCAATGTCAAAAGAATTTTCCTATTTTAACTTCACGATTTCTATCAACAAACTTCATCAATGAAAAGAGTGAGTGAGATGCTCAATCATCAATGGAATCTTTATCAACAAAAAAGAAGGATCTTCGGTTGTATGTAACTCAGGATTTTGAATAGAAAAACCTAACCTTTTGGAGGAAATCTCATCTCTTGTTAGTCAATGAACAAACCATCATCGAT